CCACAGAACGGATCGGGCTGAAATTTGGCATGCAGGTAGATGTTATGACGTAGGCATCCGCTAAGAAAGGATTTTGATCAATTCTACCCCCAAGGGGATAAAATAGGGAATGAAAGTTTGTATGAAACTTTGTCAATTTTAAACCGATCGGGTTGAGACTTTGCATGCAGATATAAGAAGGATCATAGATGAATGTCATTGTGTATAATACAAGCCTGAGAACAAAAACTGTAGTCTACACTTCAGCTCTACACCGAAGCGAAGCGAGGGAGGGCCGCTAGTTATGATTATAAGACCCGCATGATGGTAAGCAGCCATCATAGCCTATAGTATAGACGCTTGCGATACAAAAAAATCACGCGCAGCGTAGCCTACCCTGACTAGGGTTACTATTTCAAAATTTGAAAAGTCCTGACTAAAAGCCGGACATTTCGATAAAAGTCCGGACATTTTAGTCTCAAAATGCAATCATCACCTACTTACTTACAGTGATATTATACGCGTGTTAGCAGACGCTCGCATCGCGAGAGGAGTCTCGTTGTTGATTTTTAAAGATAATTTATATTTCGTTTTAAATTAATGAGAACTTAATAAAGATAATTAGACTTTTGATTGATTATTTGATATTTTTTAAGGAAATAGCAAAAAAGTTGGTCGACATTACTGGAGACCGCAGAGCTGGCAGCTACCTCGGACAATAGTCTAGCTATTCAAAGGGGGAACGCTGCCAGTATCTTTGGACCCTTGCCTAAAGGGGCTCCTTTTAATAATGTATTTTAGTTATTATATATTTTAAGGTTTTATTTATAAATATCTTACTTACTACTTTTAGTTATAAAGAATTAATACTTTATTTAAATTATTAAATTACCTCCATTATTATTATTATTATAACATTGTATTGTAATTAACATGAAGTTAAGGAAAAAGAACACGTTCTAAAAGAGAACAATGGGTCCATCCTTTTATATCAGATTGATTATTTATTTGTATTATTGAGATTATTTATTATGCTTTCACTATAATAATGAATAAAACTAATAAATTTGCTTACTGCGCAAACAGTCAATTTATATGACTTATTTGATATAACTTAATAAGTAGTTTACTCATCTATACATCTAATTAAAAAAAATCCGGACAAATTATAAATCGGACCATTTAAATTCCGGACAAATTTAAAAATCCGGACAAAATAAAAAGCCGGACAAATTAAAAATCCGGACAAAGTCCGGACAAGTACAAAAAGTCCGGAAAAATCCGGACGGGTGGTAACCCTAACCCGGACCCAATCCCAGACCCCGTAGAGCCCTGGAACTTTTTCACTAACAGAAACACAACACTACAGAAAGGTAGTGTTATTTTACTGTGATCTCCTGGTAGGGGGAAGTTACTTCCCCAGGCCAGCGCTCCAATTCTAACGGAAAAACCGCTGTGAGATACCTTCCTCTTAAAAATAAATGTGTGTGTTAGCTCCGACGCACGACTGGAGTTTACTCCATATGTTCGATAGTCTAACCAGACGCATAAAGAGTTTATTCAACTTAAAAAAGATTGATACTGTATGAAAGGGTAAATTAACAAATTAATGAAAATAATATACATATATAAATATAAATTTATTCATTTCATATACATTTATTATAACTAATCGACGAAATATTTTACATTAAACTTTTTACAATAGTCAATTTCAGATGTACATAAATATATCATTAAGAATGTTGATAAATTATGTAATTATTATTATCAGACTATTATCATTTTTTTTAAATATTAATTAAATCAACATTGTCTGCATTATTAATTACAGTGACAAGTGGTTTATGGTTATTAATGTCAATCCGTCATCTTTGTTTGTCAAAGTTGCGCGACATAGTATGCACACCAAAAACGTAACGAGGTCATACATCGATAGATTTTACTCCTCACATTTTTCTCATACCGGGCCCCTTATATATGCAAATCGATTCTTAAGGAGTAAACTCCAATAAAAGAATTAAAATAAAGGGGCGTTGTTGAAATCTTCTTTCATTTAGCAGTAATATCGTGAAGCGCCATCTCATTTTAAAGTTGAACACTAGAAACGACCTCTTGCTATTTAAAAGCAACCTTGTAATGCACGTCCGTCCCGACGTTTGAAATCAAACAAGTCCGAACACTGGCGCCACTCGGTCACTGCCATACTAACATTGCATTAGAGAACTACTAGCAAACCAGTGAACCTAATGTTCACCAAAACTTGATTTCTCGAAAACCGGAAGTGCTACGTTACTCAAATCCGGTTTGTAGTCTTATCAGACTATTCTTAACTTATAACTTAAATATTCTCTTTATCTATCTCTTCCGGTTTAGCCGCTGAAACAGCACCACAGACGGACGGACTTGTCTAATAGATAAGAGATCGTTAACTTTTTGTGATTAGTGGGACTTGTTAATGAGGAATTCTAAAAATGGAGGTTTTTTCTCTATAAGCCCGCCACTAATAAGAGAAATCAGTTTCGGGAGCTTTTTGCGAGCGATTTATTCACAATCTGCCACTATTTCTTCCGGACGACATCTTTAAAGTTCAATGTTTTAATATCTCGAAGGTTAGAAGCATTCATTTTTCGAAGGCAGAAGACGAAAAAACCGGCCAAGTGCGAGTTGGGCTCACGCACGGAAGGTTCCGTATCATTTTCTATCCAACACTAATGTTGTGTATAAACACTAAAATTACTATAATATCGAGCAAAGAACGGCAAAAAAATCAAGTCCGTTGTGTGGGGCCTCCGTTAAATATATTTTTTATTTTAACGTCTACCTATTGCCTTTATTCTTCATATTTGACGACCTCCGTGGCCGAGTGGTTTGTACGCCGGGTTTCATGGTGTCGCCGACTCGAGAGGTCCTGGGTTCAAATCCCGATAGGGGCAGATGTTTGTGTGATGAGTACGAGCATTTGTACTCCAGTCATGGAAGTTTAATATGTATTTTCCATATAAATATACTTATATATGTACAATATATGTATTCTATCCGTTACCCTAGTATCCCATAACACAAGCCTTGTAGTGCTTACTTTGGGGCTAGGCTAAATGGTGTGAGTGTTAGAAATATTTATTTATTATTTATTAATAAAATGGCAAAAAAACATGTTAGTTGTATGGGAGCTCCTATATTTTTTTTTGTTATTAATAAGTGAATGTATTAATTAAAATGACTGTTTAATAACTCAATGCTATTCATAATAGAATGCGTATACTTCAAAAAATAAAATTTTGTCGTGACATACTGTAGTATATGCACCACACACAATTCATTAAAAAAAAACTATTGCTGGCTTAATGCTACAAGTGGTTCAGACTATTTCGCACAATCTGCTGATGAAAAACGAGACTGGATACGGGAAATAAATTAACGAGTATAAATCACTCGCTTACCGCCTTAGCACTCCTTGCGATTTATGGCGTGCTTTTAGCTATGTAATAGGGTTTTTGACAAGTTTTAGAAAACGATCTTACGTTATTGACTAACTAGTGAACCAAATGTTCACCAAAACCTGATTTAAAAAAAAAGAAATGAATTTAATTAATTGAGAACTTCGGAGATTTTGTGTGGTTTCGTTTGAAATTTCGTGATTTCTCGAAAACCGGAAGTGCTACGTTACTAATCCGGTTTGTAGTCTTACGGTTTGGCCGCTGAAACAGCACCACAGACACACAGACGGACGGACTTGTCTAATAGATAAGAGATGTTTATGGATTCGGTAAAAAGTGGATATTCATCATTCTGTTGTGTATTTCAGTAAAAATAACCAAATCAAAAACTCCATTTTCAAGTTGCCGCAAATACGTTTTGCTTTACAATATGGCGTCTTACTAGTGTGTGACACACAAATTAGACCTACAAGGACACCACAAACCAATAAATCATGATCCAGAAGAGATAAATCCAATACAAGACACAATTTTGTACATATCGTACCAACATCACTGCGAAAAAGTTAATTTAAAGCATACGACCGTCATTATTTTGTTTATAATAAAAAAATAGGGGTTGTCCAGCGGACAAAATTGTGAATCTAAACCATTCTCAGATCCCCTTGAACACACACAAAAAATTTCATCAAAATCGGTCCAGTCGTTTAAGAGAAGTACAGTGACATACACATTCACAGAAGAATTATATATATAAAGATGAACATCAAGCAGTACCATACGCTGGCCATTAACTGTACCCCTAGCACGAACCAATATCAAATTCGTATCTTTTGCGAGTCCGAAATGTCAAAATGTGTACTGATTTTTAGTTCTCGTTACGTACTTTGTGCCGCTGCTGTTCAAGTTTCCATACAAAATTTGACATTGACATTTCGGTTTGCAAACTATTCGAATTCGATAATGGTTCGTGCTAGGGGTACTGAACTAACAGCTCATTTCGAACGACTGATAAGTGCGACCAGGATCTGTGCTAGGAAAAGGGGCGGAGCCAGTCAATGGGCGTGAATCGTTGCAGAAAAAACAAATAGTTACTGCATAGGGCGCGACTCCAGTTCATGAGCGACAAAAATGTTGTAACATGAGCGATAAACTCGATGTGTAATGGTAATGTAAGTGCAAGGGCGGAGCCAGCTTTGGCACCAGGTCATATCACTATATGACCCCCCCCCCCACTGTTATGGTTCGTGCTAGTCTCCACTGTGTCTCCATCTGTCCCCACTGTGACCCCCTGGTCACCTCTGGATACGCCCTTGTGTAAGTGTAACATGTAAGTACTCACTGTGCCGTTGGTCTGTCGGCATCAACAATTTGTTACTGCATAGGGCGCAAGTCCAGTTCATGAGCGACAAGAATGTTGTAACATGAGCGATAAACTCCATTTGTAATGGTATTGTCAGTGCAAGGGCGGATCCAGCTTTGGCACCAGGGGGGGGGGTCATATAGTGGGTCACAGTGGGGACAGATGGACACAGCCCCTCTGGATACGCCCTTGTGTAAGTGTAACATGTAAGTACTCACTGTGCCGTTGTTCTGTCGGCATCGGTGGCACGCTTGTGTAGGCACGGTCGCGGGGTATGTGATGGCCCAGCATTCGGTGCCCAGCCTCTTCTAAGCTGGCCTTCGTGTGAGAACGCACCATGCCTGGTACGAATTAACAAATTAATTTTTAATTTTTACGATATGTTATACAGAATTAAAAATTTGTAATTTTGGAACGTTTCATAATTGTGACTGTAGATTCTATCTATTTAGTTTAGGATTATTGCAATACCCTAACTGGGTTCTTGTTTGGAATGATATATATATATTTTTGTAACAGCATGTAAACAACAAGAATGCAATAAATGAATATGAATATGAATTGTTCAAGTTTAAACATCGATAATGAAGATAAAATCATCAGTTCTCTCCAGCACAAACGTGTCTTGATCAGAGGCTTAAGCCCGATTTTTTGACAGTTCCGTGATCGGATCTCATCGTCTCAAAAGCTTTAATGAAAACTAAGCAGCGGCTTCTATCAAAAGACCGAACAAACTAGTGTTTCCCATACAAATATTGACGTAGACGATATGATTACGGAGCTGTCAAAAATCTGGTGTCTCCGATCTGTCAAGAAACAAGTCGTATACTATATACAGATATACACTTAAAACTAAATTTAACATCAGTCTCTCTTTTTCATTCTGTATAGAAAATGACAAGGATACACTGTTATCAAATTTAAGTTTAAGTTTAGAGAATCATGCCAGAATCGACACCAATGTCATTATAACTAGCAAACCAGTGAACCAAATGTTCACCAAAAAAAAAATGTATTTAATTAATTGAGAACTTCGGAGATTTTGTGTGGTTTCGTTAGACATAGAAATCACGTGATTTCTCGAAAACCGGAAGTGCTACGTTACTCACATCCGGTTTGTAGTCTTATCAGAGTATTCTTAACTTATAACTTAAACATTCTCTATATCTATCTCTTACGGTTTGGCCGCTGAAACAGCACCACGGACGGACGGACGGACTTGTCTATTAGATAAGAGATACAAGTATGATTGACTCACCAATCTGCGGCCTCCAGTTCCTATTCTCCTCGTGTGACAGATTGCCAGGTTTCAAGATCCTGGGCGGTTCCACTGCCCTCAACAGCCTTCGAGCTGGGAATATGAAGTCCTCGGGGTACTGAGGGTCCTGGAAGCGGACGCATACGGCCCGGTTGCCGATCACTGGGGCCAGGCCTATCACCGGCGACGCCAGTTGGCTAAACAAACAAATAAGTTTTTAAAGAAATTTTTTCTAGAAAAAAATCCACGCGGACCAGGCAGCAGATGCGACTCAAACCCACACCCTTCGCTACACCGACCGTTATGCTATCGCGGCCCTAATGGCAGTGTCGAATTCTTTTTAGTATTTCTTAGGCAGCAAGGCAGCGCCATCTCTAAGCATTGTTGGTAACGCACAATGTCACATTTATTTTTTCAGATTTCAACATAACATATTTATTAAAAACTAGCTGACCCGGCGAACTTCGTACCGCCTTAGCGTAGCTTTGATGCACTATTTTATTTTGTATAGCTGACCTATCTTATGTATGAGTACCTATTCAATTTTTTTTATTTTTCTTTATATTTTTTTCCGTAAGAACCTTGTACAGAGTATTAGAAAACTACAAAAAAAAAATCAGCCAAATCGGTCAAGCCGTTTTCATGTTATGTCGTGACAACGGAAAACGGGTTTCATTTTTATATATATAGACTAGCTGACCCAGCGAACTTCGTACCGCCCTAAAAAAAATAGGGGTTGTCCAGCGGACAAAATTGTGAACCTAAACCATTCTCAGATCTCCTTGAACACACACAAAAATTTCATCAAAATCGGTCCAGTCGTTTAAGAGAAGTTCAGTGACATACACACTCACAGAAGAATTATATATATAAAGATGTGTAACAACCCTAGTTCACCCCCATATAGGCTCGTCAACCCTATGAATTGCACTCTTGCGCGGTAGAGTCGAGCTGTGAGTATCCTAGCAACGAGCTCGAGTGATAGAAGAGAAAAATAATAATTTTACTATGTAGAAGCTGTCTAGTGATTTTTGTTGTATTTTAATAATAAATGCCTTAAGCAGTACTGCTGGCTCATTATAAATGTCTATTTGTTTTGAAGTTTGATTAAAGTTAAAAGTCTCTAGGCCAGGAATATGAAGTTCTCTGGGTATTGAGGGTTATGGTAGCAAGCGCATACGGCCCTGTTGCTGATCACTGGGTCAGGCCTATCACCGGCGACGCCAATTGGCTAAACAAACAAAGACTTTTTTTATTACTAAAAGGCCCCATTAGAAATTTCAATTTAACTTCAGTTTATTTAAAGTTTTAAGTCTTAGAGCCTTGAATATGAAGTCCTCAGGAAACTTAGGGTCCTGGAAGCGAACACATACCGCATAAAAAATGTTACTCTTCGTTAATGGAACATACAAGCCCTAACAAGACGCTAACCATGCAAATGTAAGAAGAAATACGTCAAGAAATTCAACCTGTCCATTACGTTTACGGTAGCATAATGGTTAGCAGAATTTGGATGGCATGGGGTGCTGATTTAATATCACCCTGATTCTTGGGTTCAATTTATTTCTCGGGTCCATAACATATCCCGGTGGTTCGAAGATTATCTGACCCGCCTATGACAGTTCAGCATCACATTCCCGCACCCTCTCACTACGGAACGAGTAACGTTGGTCGACGTTTATAAACCTCCGTAGTTCATTCCCACTGCTTCATGCAAACCAACCAAGATGTATACCTTCCATGCTATGAGCGCGCCGCCCCGGTAGCGATATCTCTTGAGAAGGCAAGTGACTTCCCTCAAAATATAATAGGATATATGTCACCTCCACCTTCCACCGAGCTGAGTGATGTCAACTTGGGAGTCGCGGCCCGACCGATTTCAGTCAGGTTCTGTATATATGTATTAGCATCCGAATTTCTATAGCGCGATGTAGGCCTTACATACAATTGAGTGCGCCGCCGGTAGCGATATCTCTTGAGAAGGAAAGTGATACCTTTCCTCATGATATAATAGGATATATCTCACCCGCCTATGACGACGTGGTCCCGACTCAGCATCACAACACCCCTCACCCTCTCGCTGCAGAACGGGTACCGCTGGTGGGCGTCTCTGAGTCTTCACAGTTCATTACCGCAGCATCATACAAACCTAGCTGATATTATAGGATACTAGCAAACCAGTGAACCAAATGTTCACCAAAACCTGATTTCTCGAAAACCGGAAGTGCTACGTTACTCAAATCCGGTTTGTAGTCTTATCAGACTATTCTTAACTTATAACTTAAACATTCTCTTTATCTATCTCTTACGGTTTGGCCGCTGAAACAGCACCACGGACGGACGGACGGACTTGTCTATTAGATAAGAGATACCTCACCCGCCTATAACGACGTGCCCACGGCAAAGCACCACATCTATTGGGTCTCCGAAGTTCGTCTTCTTGAATTTATACAAACCAAGTAGGGAAAGGCCAAAGAGGGAGATCTTCCACCGAGCTGAGTGATGTCAACTTGGGAGTCGCGGCCCGACCGATTTCAGTCAGGTTCTGTATATATGTATTAGCATCCGAATTTCTATAGCGCGATGTAGGCCTTCCATACTATTGAGTGCGCCGCCGGTAGCGACATCTCTTGAGAAGCCAAGTGATACCTTTCCTCATGATATAATAGGATATATCTCACCCGCCTATGACGACGTGGTCCCTGCTCAGCATCACATCCCCCCTCACCCCCTCGCTGCGGAACGGGTACCGCTGGTCGGCGTCTATGAGTCTCCGCAGTTCGTCTCCCGCCGCTTCATATAGTCCGAGTAGGAATTCGTAACTCTTGTTGCCCGTACAGACGTAAAGACGGTCGAGGCCGCGGATGTTGCGTTGTACTGAGAAGGATAAAACTTAATAAAGATACGATTCAAGAAAATGTACTGTAAATTGAGAAAAGACTAGAGGGTAATTGAAGTCGGTTAAAAGAGGAAAATCATCTTTACTTATAGTTGAATTTCTCTCCTCGCCCCATCGATACATTTCGGATGTATTCCGAAATATACATCAGTATACTGGCCAGTGGTAATAACGTCACGAATCCGACGCAATTTTGTACTGGTACGGTATGCTACCATATTTTTACCGGGAAAACGAATATGATGTATGACCGAGAGTGCGTGAGATGCCTTCGAATTTTATTCCTTTTTTATCTAAAGAACAATAATGGCACCGATCATTCCGAACAAAAAGAATTCCTTTTAATTGATGAGGTGAATAAATATAAATTTTTTTTTCGCACTATTTTTAATATTTTGTCGATTTATGACGTCAGTGCACTGGGCAATATATTTCGGAACAATTCACCAGTATAGCGTCGATTCATGACGTCATTAGCACCGGCCAATATACTGGTATATATTACGGAATACACCCTTCATCAATTCGATCTCACCTCATTCCAAACTCGGTCTTATGTCACTCAATTCAATTTACGTCACTTTCATCTCGATCCAAACTCGATTTCATGTCAGTCTCATCTCGACCCAAACTAGATCTCATCTTGATTTACTCGATCCTGACTATGTTTAAAATATAGTGGGGGATTTGTATAATTTAAAGAGCAAGCCAGTACAGTTTTAACTAATCGTGAGAGCTACTTTCTCACATAAACAGCTTTTAAATAGTAAAATCAACCTTAACTAATGAGTAAATAAATGTCATTATTGCAATACTCACTCTCGGCTTGCGTGAGTTCCTTGTAATAGGGCTCCAGAGCCTTAAATAGTCGCGTCTCATCGACGAAGGGCAGTAGAGCGACGCCCTGCCACGCGAACTTCTTGCCGTTCAGGTCAATCTTGAAGTCCGTTGGGTAGAAGTCGATGATAGGCGAAAACTGGTGAAAAAGAAAACAATCTTCTATCTATATATATAAAACTCAAAGGTGACTGACAGACTGACATAGTGATCTATCAAAGTACAGCCCAAACCACTGGACGGATCGGGCTGAAATTTGGCATGCAGGTAGACGTTATGACGTAGGCATTCGCTAACAAAGGGTTTTGATCAATTCTACCCCCAAGGGGATAAAATGAGGAATGAAAGTTTGTATGAAACTTTGTCAATTTTAAACCGATCGGGCTGAGACTTTGCATGCAGGTATAAGGAGAATCATTGTGTATAATACAAGCCTGAGAACAAAAACTGTAGTCTACACTTCAGCTCTACACCGAAGCGAAGCGAGGGCGGGCCGCTAGTCATATTATTTACCGCGAGTTATATTCAGCCACTGACTGATCTGTACCCTTAGCACGAACCAATATCGAATTCGAATAGTTTGCGAGTCCAGAAATGTCACTGTCAAATTACTGATTATTAGCTCTCGTTACGTACGGTGTGGCGCTGCTGTTCAAGTTTCCATACAAAATTTGATATTGACATTCCGCACTCGCAAACTTTTCGAATTCAATAATGGTTCATGCTAGGGGTACTGATTTTTTTTTAAATAAAAAAGTAATAGACAAGCTTTTCACCCGCCTGATCGCGAGTAGCCGCCCTTGTATATATTTATATTTAAATTATTTCCGAGATCATGTAAGAGTTCAAACCTTACACCATTGCCTATTGACGCTTGTGATATAGATGAGATATAGATGAGAACAAATAAACTTGCGCAGTAGATATTTTTGTATGTAAAATTAGCTACTGCGCAGGCTGCCTTGTCTATGGTCGATGTTAAAAAAGTCTGCCTATGTGTATACCAAAGTATCATATCCTGACTATATTCCATACCCCATGCAGCATTGAAACTTTACTCATTGAAAGAACACAAAATCACCAAAAGGTAGTGTTATTTCGCTGTATTCTGTGTGGATTGCTACTCGAGATAAGCGTTCCAATGCGAGTGGAAAATCTGCCTGCCCTACTGTTCTAGACAGCCATCCAGTAAAACAAGCACTCAGTTATTTCACTCTCTTTATTGACTTGTTGCCGCCGGCGATGGTAAAGTGTGACTAATCAAATTTAACAATTGGTGTTGCCAGTAATAATTTATATGTTTGTACCAAACATAATTGTGGGCGGCGATAACTTTAGACATATAAAAATATAATATACATAAAATTGCAAATACAAGTAAAATACGGCTGTTAACAAACATTTTTTAAGTTATTCATAGGTCGCTGGTTCAGATCCGGCTCGAAGGACCATATGTTCTAGACAGCCATCCAGTAAGACAAGCACTTATTTATTTCACTCTCTTTATTAACTTGTTGCCGCCGGCGATGCTAAAGTGTGACTAATCAAATTTAACAATTGGTGTTGCCAGTAATAATTTATATGTTTGTACCAAACACTTACCTTGATTCCTTTTTAATATCACTTTTTAATACTATGTGAATTTGGAAAGAGGCTAGTACTTATATTATCTTTTAAGTACCAGCAGCTATAATTGTATGTGATAACTTTGTCATACCTATGTAATAGTATAGTAAGCTATTTAATCATTATCTTTTGTGGAAAAAAATAAACTATTACTCACCGGGTCACTCATGAGGGTGGCCCAAGGTTTGGGCACATGTTGGGCGCTGGCTGCCGGGAACACGCCCATCAGTTGCTCCAGTGGACGGAACTGATGACAAAACACCAATTATTTCAATACAGATTTGATGAAAATAACGTTGTTATATGTATACATATATATATATATGTCGGCGGATGGCGTCTCACTCGCTCCTTCGAAACGTTAAACCGACAACAAATGTCATCAGTCAGTGTACCATTGCTTTGTGAAACGTCAAGTAATGACAGTGACAGCTGTCATCACTTGGGAGTGGTCTATGGTAAGGGTAGTATTTAAGGGGCTATGCTTCATTGGAAGGGGATTCTTGGGGCATTCGGCATTCAGACGTGAGCCGCGATAGTGAACGGACGTTAGCACAGAACTCTCCGCGCTTCACAGAGCAATCCGTTTGTACCTTGGCAATCATAACAAATTTTGTAAAGTAATAAGAAGATTCAAATTAAACGTTAGCTTGGTCACTAGACTACAGTTTTATTTTCGGGAAATATCATTGAATAACCAAGATGGCGGATCAAGAAAAACCACGTAACCACCGCCTATATCCCGCTCGCCCCCACTTCGACAAATATATATATATATACACATATATATATATACTAGCAATGCCCCGCGGTGTTATCCGCGGTTAATTTGGGAATATTTTTTTTTATTAAAATCGCTACAGCCGTTTAGACGTGAAGAAGTAACAAACATACACACTTACAAACTTTCGCCTTTATAATATAAGTGTGAGTGTTTTTTAATACATCGTTGTTAGCAACTTTTAGTTAAGGTATCAGTGAATAATTTTATTGATAATGGTGTCGCTTATTGCTGGATTATGTAAACGTAAAATTAAATTAAATACCAATGTATCCTTGCCATTACATTGTGATTAGATAGTAATTTTTGACACTAGTATGTCCTGTTTTCTGAATTACAGTACTTAATTTATGCTTATTGCTATTATGAGTAACTGCTATTTTTGGGTGGCGGTTGCGGTTGCGTTATCAATCATGTATATTTTGAATATAAATTATTTTTTTAGGCTGAAATGAATTGCTTCGCTTTGTTTTGCATTGCTTTGCTTGCTGTTAAATATACTGTTGTGTTGTTTCCTGTTTTTGATTGACTTTTATTTATCTTAATTTTTTGTTACTGAAAGCAAAGGATGTTAAGCCCATACATCCTTTCAAGTAATAAAACTTTTTACATGTCGTTTTTGTGTCACTAAACAGGCCCTGCCAGAATAACAGCGCTGGTGCGACACAATGTCGCATCAGCTAATGCTGAGGCAGGGTCCTGGTTAGCCCTGACTTCTTTTTTAATTTGTACCTGTAAATGTGTAATATCTGAAATATGAGGGTTAATAAAATATATTCTACTAGCAAACCAGTGAACCAAATGTTCACCATAAAAAAAAAATGTATTTAATTAATTGAGAACTTCGGAGATTTTGTGTGTTTTCGTTTGAAATAGAAATCACGTGATTTCTCGAAAACCGGAAGTGCTACGTTACTCACATCCGGTTTGTAGTCTTATCAGACTATTCTTAACTTATAACTTAAACATTCTCTATATCTATCTCTTACGGTTTGGCCGCTGAAACAGCACCACGGACGGACGGACGGACTTGTCTAATAGATAAGAGATTCTACTCTATTCTATATATCTCACTCGCCTATGACGACGTGGTCCCGGCTCAGCATCACATCCGCTCTCTATATCTATTCCGATAAATGTTTGTCTGTGGACAATACTCACAGGCTGTGTGCCGAGTTCGAACTTGGTGTTGAGGCCGGTGATGTTGACGAAGTCTGACGCGAAGGGCGCGTAGTGGTAGGGGAAGTACCATTTCCAGCTGGCACAGCCCTGGTAGTAGTAGCGAAGCACCCAGCAAAGCCCGCGCACGTATTGGAGCGCTACGCGATATCTGCGAGGGGATCAAACGAAGTAATGTTCTTTTTTAAGCATGTAACTGCTAGATGTTTAAATCTAAAGAAAAATTTACTATAATTTTAATTTTTTAAGCATGTAATTGATGTCGATTCTGGCATGATTCTCTAAAGCTAAACTTAAATTTAACAACAGTGCATCCTTGTCATTCTCTATGCAGATTGACAAGGAGAGACTGATGTTAAATTTAGTTTTAAGTTTAGAGAATCACGCCAGAATCGATACCATTGCTTGATGTTTAAATCTAAAGAAAATATAACTAGAAAAAATTCCACGCGGACCAGGCGGTCCCGTCTGCTGCCTGGTCCGCGTGGATTTTTTTCTAGTTATATTTTCTTTAAAATTTACTGGAAAAAAAAGGGTATTTTCCAATTTTTTGATAACTGCTTATATTTAAAGACGTTTGGAGGTTAATTCAAAAACATCAAAAATAAATCCAACTTTTATTGTTCTAATGGAGAAAAAAAGACATGAATTAATTTATTTTTATGTTTCTGTTAAACCGTTTGTCCCAATCTTTAAATATAAGTTTTCAAAGATTTGTATAATACCCTATTGTGGATCACATACAATGCGAAGAGATGGCGCTGCCTTGCATCTTAAGTAAAGATAGAGAAAATTCGGACCGGCCATCAGGGCCGCGGTAGCATTGTCATCATCATCATCAGCCTATTAATGTCCGCCCTGCTGGGGCACAGGCCTTCCCTATGGATGGAATAGGGAGGTAGGGCCATGACCCACCACGCGGGCCCAGTGAGGATTGGTGGGTGCTAACGACTGCAGATGCAGCCGGGACCAACAGCTTAACGTGCCTTCCGAAGCACGGAGGAGCTCGAGATAGTAAATTTTTGGTCACCCATCCAATGACCGACCACTGTGAAAGTTATTTAACTTCAACGATCGCAGCCGAACGCGCTAACCACTTGCGTCATCGAGCTCCTCCCGAACGTGCTAACAACCAGCATAATGGTCAGTGCAATCGTCCGGATAGCGTGGGGTGCGGATTTGAGTCTCGTCTGCTGCCTGGTCCGCGTGGAATTTTTTCTAGTAAAATTGTCTTATTAATTAATGATATGTGTAGCATAACTTGGGACTAATAGGGTATTTGAATCAATAGGCCTATCGTTATTATGCCTATTTTCCAAGCTATCGATACTCTCGACTGGTGTGTGTATGTTAAAAAAATAGATAATAAACCAGTACCTGAACTCCATAAATAAATAAATATTTCCAAAATTATCAAATGACCTATTACAAAAAAAAAAACAATACAATACTAACTTACCCCAATGTAAATTACATAATAAAATGTAACTTTGTCCGCCATTTGTTGTAAATAACAATAAAGAGTAAATAAATAAATAAATCTATATATATAAAAATGAAACCCGTTTTCCGTTGTCACGACATAACATGAAAACGGCTTGACCGATGTGGCTGTTTTTTTTTTGTAGTTTTCTAATACTCTGTACAAGGTTCTTACGGAAAAAAATATAAAGAAAATCCCAAGGGGATAAAATAAGGAATGAAAGTTTGTATGAAACTTTATCAATTTTAAACCGATCGGGCTGAGACTTTGCATGCAGGTATAAGAAGAATCATAGATGAATGTCATTGTGTATAATACAAGCCTGAGAACAAAGCTGTAGTCTACACTTCAGCTCTACACCGAAGCGAAGCGAGGGCGGGCCGCTAGTAACTTATAAAAGTCTCCTATGTTTTTCGTATCAAATAGCGAAAAACAAACATCCATATGCTAAAATGCTCAACCATCTAAATAATCTGATTCAAATAAATGTTCTTTGGTAACTCTCCGGAGAATAACCACCGGAACCCCAAAAAAAAAGTACCTGAACTCCATATTGTCGCTGGAGACTTCAAACTTGCTCTCGTAGTATCGCTCCTTGAAGCCCTCCTCCCACAGGCGTACTTCGTCGTGTTTGTCATCATCATCATCAGAATCTAACTGGGCTTCCGCTGCCGACCGCTTCTTGCCGCGCCTGTCTGCTTGCCCCAGCTAAATAAAAAGAAAAATAGGGTATTTGACAGTATTAAAATTAAAGTGTCAATTTTTAGCATCTGCGTTTACAATGAATAATGGCAGGGATTTTTACTATATTTACAGAAAAAACATTCATAATTTTACTAAAAACCCACGAAAAACATAATAGTTTTCTTATCTATTGTCACGTGACCCAAAACGCTTGGGATTGGCGGAGCCTAAAATGACGTCACACGCAAGTAAACTTCCGGTCAAAGTGACATTACATTGTATCGTTTGACGTTTTAATAACAGTCGTGTGACGTCACTTTCGCGGCAACTTGAAAATGGAGTTTTTGATTTGGTTATTTTTACTGAAATACACAACAGAATGATGAATATCCACTTTTTACGGACTCCATAAACATTAGTCAATAACGTGAGATCGTTTTCTAAAACTTGTCAAATACCCTATTGCCTTTGCTCAGAGGCCATTACTTGCACAACCAATTTTGATTATTTTTCGAATATAAGGAGCGGGCGAACAAAAAAGTATAATGACATAAAATGGAATTAAACAGGAGCTGTATAAAACTAAATGACATACCTACAGTGAGCTTTTGGCATGGTTTTTAATTTATAAATTTAGTAATTTGAACTCTGTTTTAGGCTGTTTTGATTGATTATTAGTGGAGATTCAAATTCAAAGGGCCCGAAACCTCCGAACTGTAAAAAAAAGTAATTTGACCAGATGCGTAATAGGGTATTTATTTGACATGTTTTAGAAAACGATCTCACATTATTTACTAATGTTTATAGAGTCCATAAAAATCTATAAACATTAGTAAATAACGTCAATCATAAAAATGGATATTCATCATCATGTTGTGTATTTCGGTAAAAAAACCAAATAAAAAACTATATTCCAGTTGCCGCGAAAAACGTATCTCTGGACAATATGGCGTCTCACTGGTGTGTGACGTCACACGACTGTCATTAAAACGTCAAACCATACAATCAAATGTCACTTTAACCGGAAGTTTACTTGCGTGTAACGTCATTTTAGGCTCCACCAATCCCAAGCGTTTTGGGTCACGTGACAATAGATATGAAAACTGTTATCGTTTTCGTGGGGTTTTAGTAAAATTATGAATGTTTTTTCTGTAAAAACAGTAAAAACTCCTGCCAATATTCATTCTAAATACAGATGCTAACAATTGGCACTTTATTTTTAATACCGTCAAATACCCTATTATACCGTTTTGTTCAGTTTGCCAGCTCCTCATATATATTTAATCAAAGAAATATAAGGTGGTGAAATATTATTTTTTGGTGGACAACCATATCGGCTATTTGACAGTATGAAAAATAAAGTACCAATTGGTAGCAATATGTATTAAATATGAATATTAGCAACGATCTTACTATTCTGAGAGAACAAATTATAATATTTTTTCTAAATAAAACATTAAACGGGAACGATTTTTTGTTCTACGGTCACGTGACCGAAAACTCCTCGGATCGGCAAAGACTGAAATGACGTCACACGCTAGTAAACTTTTGGTAATAGTGACATTACTTTGTGTCGTTTGAGGTTTTAATGGCAGTCATGTGACGACACATACTAGTGAGACGCCATATTGTCCAGAGAAACGTTTTCGCGGCAATTTGAAAATGGAGTTTTTGATTTTGTTATTTTTACTGAAATACACAACAGAATGATGAATATCCACTTTTAACGGACTCCATAAAGATTATTCAATAACGTGAGATCGTTTTCTAAAACTTGTCAAATACCCATTTCTAAGTAGAAGTCAAGATACAGGCGTAGTCTAATTTCGGAACCTCTGTGTATTCGTTGATTATTAGAATAAATGCTCCATATTTGTATCTGCAGTATGGTATTGTTCCTTTGAGAAAGAGCTTGATGGCGCAGGTGGTTAGCTCGTTCGGCTGCGATCGTTGAAGTTAAGTAACTTTCGCAGTGGTCGGTCATGCGATGGGTGAACAAAAGTCTTCTATGTCGAGTTAATCTGTGCTTCGGAAGGTCCGTCAAGCCGTTGGTCCCGGCTGCATATGCAGTCGTTAGCACCCGCCAATCCGCACTGGGCCCGCGTGGTGGGTCATGGCCCAATCTCCCTATTCCATCCATAGGGAAGGCCTGTGCCCCAGCAGTGTGGACATTAATAGGCTGATGATGATGAATATAGGATTTATAGTTCTTAACTTTTTGACATTTATAAGTTCTTATTGACAGATATAACAGGTACTACGGCAATGAATGCTTTTGCCTGTTATCCCTCTTATTTCAAACGTAAAGTGTAAAGGCACAGAATATAAATCTTTAGCTTATAGGTATATATACTGTGGTAAAGGTGTATGAAAATTAAGCATACCTACACATAACCAAGGCAGAGAAGCGAATGTCATATACCACAGAACACAGAAAAAGGCCCAATCTCCCTATTCCATTCTTAGGGAAGGCCTGTGCCCCAGCAGTGGGGCCATTAATAAGCTGATGATGATTGTTCCGTTGTGCAAATAGGTTTAAAGACTCACCTCGGCCACGAATTGCATGCCGGCTCGTCGGATTTCAGCTGCCTCTTTCCTTGCATTCTCCACTGTCGCAACTTCACCCAGCGCCTGTTACAAATTAATTTGAACTGTTTTATTTTCTTAATTATAAAATACTAGCAAACCAGTGAACCAAATGTTCACCAAAACCTGATTTAAAAAAAAAAAATGTATTTAATTAATTGAGAACTTCGGAGATTTTGTGTGGTTTCGTTTGAAATTCGTGATTTCTCGAAAACCGGAAGTGCTACGTTACTCAAATCCGGTTTGTAGTCTTATCAGACTATTCTTAACTTATAACTTAAATATTCTCTTTATCTATCTCTTACGGTTTGGCCGCTGAAACAGCACCACAGACAGACAGACGGACGGACTTGTCTAATAGATAAGAGATAATCAGATTTTGTACTTTCGGGGACTATATAAATAAAGAACGCGGACCGCCTGCCTTCGCCTGGTAGGTAACCCACAATAGATTTAAAAACCGAGCAGTTACGTGCTTAAAAAATAAAATTTATGACTATGTATATAAATAGTTTGACTTTTACGATCCAGGATAACAATATGACAAACAGATGTTGCGAAAGCCTTTAGCAGAGCAGCCATTTCTCACGCAAAAGGAGAATGCCCTTGTTTGGTACAGCGATGTCTCAAGCATCAAGATAAAAATAATATGATAATAATTTTCTTTAATTCATACGTACGTACGTTGGTCTATCAAAATGGCTATTTTGAACAGGGAATCATTTTTGAAATAATATATATAATAATATTAGTCATAGTACTGTTTATATTTTGAGCCAAATATCTGACGTTTGTTTATTTATCGTGAACATAGTGATGCCTTATTACCCTATTAATTGAACACTAGCAAACCAGTGAACCAAATGTTCACCAAAACCTGATTAAAAAAAATGTATTTAATTAATTGAGAACTTCGGAGATTTTGTGTGGTTTCGTTAGAAATTCGTGATTTCTCGAAAACCGGAAGTGGTACGTTACTCAAATCCGGTTTGTAGTCTTATCAGACTATTCTTAACTTATAACTTAAATATTCTCTTTATCTATCTCTTACGGTTTGGCCGCTGAAACAGCACCACAGACGGACGGACGGACTTGTCTAATAGATAAGAGATTTTAATCAATTGTTGTTTTTGTTACCGATGTATGTACCATCAAAATGCAAATATGTAATCACGTGTTACCAATTACTGTTTAATAGTGACTTTACTGTGTCTTAACAGTTGCAGTGACAAACAAATCTTTTCAGTAGGTTGGAAAAACTGTGTGAGTAATTGATCAAAAATAACGCAACAGAATAAAAAAGTACCCAAATTATCTGTAAACCTAATTTTAAATAGGGGTTATTGAGGATTTGAGGTTATGTCATATTTGTTACAATAACATTAAAACCCCTGTTTTTATTTTCAAAATACCAATTTGTCATGCTAATTTGTAATGTTAAATGATCTAAACGATCAGTTTGGTATTGATGCAATCATTGTACGGTGGTCCATACATCCATGAGCATTCTCATTTCTATGAAATTGCATTGTCAAAGTGCATTCTATGAAAACTAAACAGCGCCCCTACCGGACGTAAGAACTGTCAGAAAAGTCATACAAAATTTGACGATATCAATAAGATTTCGGATCTGTCAAAGTTCGTGCTTGGACCTCTGGGGGCCAATCGCCTAACGGAAATGCTTTGGGAAACGCTAACGCTTACGATTTTATATTGTTATTTCTAGCCGCCTGAGGTTTTCGAATACCTCACGCTCATTTTTTTTTAATATTGTTATTACCAATGCAAAAGAAAAAGAAAGAGCGCGAGGCATTTGAATACCTCAGGCGGCTAGAAATAACAAAATAAAATCGTAAGCGTTAGCGTTTTCCAAAGCATTTACGTTAGGCGATTGGCCCCCTGGTCTTCGTCTCTTTTGTATTATGAATTTATTCCTCACCTTGGGAGCGAACTGCGTCTTCTCCAGCATTTCGAAGTTGACTCTCTGCTGCTGTCGTTTCTTGGCTTTGTCTCTCGCCTTGAAGTTTAATTCATTCTGGTGTCTACGGCGGAAGATCTCGTCCTCCACGTGGCCGAGTTCTGTCATTATCATCTGCACGCGGTCCAGGCGAACATCGCCCGAATCTGTTATCCAACCCTGAAAAGTAACGAGTGGAAAGTAATACTAAGGCATTGAATATAATGTAGACTTGCAACGAATAGTATATTCGGCAGTATACCGAATACCGAATATTCGGCAAGGCCCCTAACCGAATAGCCGAATATTAGGCAAAAGTATTCGGCTGTATTTTAGCGCCAAGAACTTGTACAGACGTGATTGTTTCGCGCTCCATTGTATTGTTCTAATCTGCCGTCCTTAAGCTAAAATGCGGCTAAATGACAAAACTTTAAATTATTGCTATTATGTAACCATTCATCACATGACTGAATGAATTAAAAACTGTTAACTTATGTACCAATTGTTGAGGATATAAACTCAAAGATGAGTGTCATAGACACTATGTATATGATTAATTAAGAAAAATAATAAACTGACACTAGTGTTTCTCAAGCATACATGGCCGTTTTTATTTTCCACATTATATATAATTTCCCAATATGGTAGCAGGGCTACGGGAAAAATTAATAATTTAGTTGTTTTTTGTGTTGCGCGGAATCATGGCAAATGTTGCGGTAGTGCCTGCCGTTGAAAAACTAAATGGCTTGGAAAACTATGCACAATGGAAGTTTGTCATGAAGATGATCCTCATACACGAGGACATGTGGGACTGCATCGAGTGCAAAGATAATGACACAAAGAAACAACTAAAGGCCTTAGCGAGGATCTGCCTTAGCGTCAATCCAGTAGCATACGTGCATGTGCGGAACGCAACTACGGCACATGAGGCATGGAGTAATCTAGAAAAAGCTTACGAGGACAGGGGTCTCACGCGTAGACTCGGACTGTTACGAACGCTTTTTGGATTGAAGCTGAGCCAATTTGGGGGTATGGAGGAATACCTGACCAAAGTCGGTGACATCTCGCAACAATTGACGGATATCAAATCGCCGTTAGAAGACGAATTTGTAGCTGTCATCATGCTGAGTGGGTTGACAGCTCATTACGACCCACTGATAATGGCGCTGGAAAATTCTGACGTGAAACTGTCAAGTGACTTAGTCAAGATGAAACTGTTGCAGGAGAGTTCACGTAAGAACAGTTGTGTTGACAGTGAGCGAGAGACAGTTTTGGTGACGAAACGACCACCAAAGAAGCGAGTCGTTAAATGCTTTAAGTGCAAGAAAGCTGGACATATTGCGAAAGATTGTCGCAACAAAACCGAGACGGGTCTGAGTGTGGAGAAGAAGCCTACTGTATCGTCATCGTCAACGGGAGCTACATTGGTGTCGGCTCTGTCGTTGTCAGTGAAGCAAGAGGCATTCTACATTGACTCGGGTGCAAGTTGCCATATGTTCATCAATATATGTTATTTGACGGACAATATTCAAAATTTTGCTGTGGAAGTGCAAGTCGCGAATGGTGAAAAGCTGTGTAGTGTAGCTCGTGGTGATACAAACTATTTAGTCAAAGCAGGTTTGAAAAATTTACGTGACGTATTATTTGTACCTAATCTGTCATGTAATTTGTTGTCAGTCAACGGATTGACAAGTGACGGTTACAAATTATTATTTTCGAAGAAATTTTGTAAAATTTATTTTGATAATAATATTGTATCCACTGCAAATAAGGAAAATGGTTTGTACAAATTAAAATTGTTTTCTGGTCAGAGCGAGTTACTTGACGAAATAGTACACTTGAATTCTTCTACAGGTCGGATTGCGTCAAATATTCATAACAGTGTTTGTGCTTTACCTGCTTTAAGCAGCAGGAGTGCGGATCACAGCACGTGGCATCGACGTCTGGGACATCTGAACGCCAGGAGCATGGGTTTGCTCAAGCGTGGGATGGCAGATGGGATTAGCTATGGTGATGATTATGAGCCTTGTATAAGCTGCATTGAAGGTAAGAGCCCTAGATTGCCTTTTCCTAAAAAGTCATTACGTCGTGCTAGTGATCTGTTAGTGTTAGTGCACACTGACTTGTGTGGGCCTATGCAAGACAAATCTATAGGCGGTGCTAGGTACCTATTGACCTTCATCGACGATTTTAGTAGGAAAACGGTGTGTTATTGTATAAAAACTAAGGATCAGGTCTTACAATGCTTTAAAGAATTCAAAGCATTTGCGGAGAACCAAACTAACAAAAAGATCAAAGCTTTGAGAAGCGATAATGGTGGCGAATATGTAAATAGTCATTATAGAGAGTTTTTAAAGTCGTGTGGTATTAGGCATGAAGTTACGGTGCCTTACTGTCCACAGCAGAACGGAGTAGCGGAACGCGCTAACCGTACCATTATGGAAGCGGTAAGATGCATGCTTCGTGAGGCTGGTCTGGGAAATGAGTACTGGGCTGAGGCTGCAAACACGGCAGTGTACTTGAAAAATCGTTGTCCAACAAAGGCGGTTCGTGGAACGACTCCCGAAGAGAAGTGGTCTGGACGTAAGGTAAATGTGTCCCATTTACGAATATTCGGATGCTTGGCGTATTCAGTTGTAAATATTAGACGTAAGTTAGATTTAAAAACTAAAATACACATATTCGTCGGCTATTGTGAAGATTCGAAAGGGTATCGCCTTGTCGACCCTGAATCACGCATCCTAAAAATTTCAAGGGATGTGGTGTTCCTTGAACATAAATTTTTCAAAGATACAGTACTTCAAAACAGTGAACCAGTGCAGTACAACGTTTTGGAAAATACTGATTTGGTTGAAGAACCGACAGTAGCTGGAGATAGTTCGCAACTGAATCAAACGGGTGTGTCTTTTCAGCAAACTATCAGCTCGGACGAAACCATTTCAGAAGAGAACGACAGCTCGGACTTGTATGTTCCGAATAGGTCGTCGTTTGATTCTGAGGATTCGCGCAATTTTAGTGATTTGGAAGACAGTTTCATTTCAGCCTTTCTTGCGGGGAAGAAACTGAATGAGGATGGCGACCCAAAGACAGTTCGTGAAGCTCTCAGTGGACCAGATACGGCACAGTGGAAAGCTGCTATGGATGAGGAGTACAAGTCTTTTTTGGATAACAAGTGTTGGTCACTTGAGGACTTGCCAAAAGGTAAGAAAACTATAAAATCGAAATGGATTTTTAAGAGGAAAAGAGGGCTGAACGGTGAAGTACTACGTTACAAAGCTCGCCTCGTAGCAAAGGGATACACACAAAAATTCGGTGTAGACTACTTTGAGACGTTTTCACCCGTTGTGAGGTACTCTACGTTGCGCATGTTGTTTGCTCTAGCTGCCGAGCATAATATGGATGTAGGACCATATGGACGTGAAGACAGCGTTCCTAAATGGCGATTTAAAGGAAACTGTTTTCATGGAAGTTCCAGAGGGGTATGAAAATGTAAATAGTAGGCATAAGGTTTATCGTTTACACAAGTCTGTGTACGGTTTGAAGCAGGCGCCAAGGGCGTGGAATGAGAAAATTAACTCAGTTCTCATCAAGAATTTGAACTTCAATCGGTTGACATGTGAACCGTGCGTTTATGTGAGATCTCAAAACGGAGCTTGGTGATCATCGCCTTTTATGTTGATGACGTAATTCTTTTTAGTAACTGTCATAAGTCTAAAAGAATTGTAAAGGACTTACTGATGGAGCAGTTTGTGATGACTGATCTTGGTCCAGTAGAACATGTATTGGGCATGCATATGTACAAAAAGGATGGGACGTTTATCTTAGAACAGTCTAGATACATTGAAAAGATCCTAGACAAATATAGTATGATGGATTGCAAACCAGCGAGTACGCCTATGGCAGCTGACCTCTACAAACTCACCAAAGCTACCGGAGAATGTAATTTGGATTACAGGAATCTGATTGGCTATCTCCTGTACGTAGCAGTGTGTAGCAGGCCTGATATCGCTCACACCGTCGGAGTACTGAGTCATTTCAACAGTTGTTACTCGGAGGCTCACTGGAAGGCGGCGAAACGAGTACTACGATATTTGAAGGGTATCTTAGGCTAGTGTTTTTTGAATGTTTTTATTTTTCTATTTGCCACTGAGTTTAAGGCGGCGTGTTGAGGATATAAACTCAATGATGAGTGTCATAGACACTATGTATATGATTAATTAAGAAAAATAATAAACTGACACTAGTGTTTCTCAAGCATACATGGCCGTTTTTATTTTCCACATTATATATAATTTCCCAATACCAATGACTACTTAATAAATGATTATAAAAGAAATGAGAACCTTACCCTTCTAAATTTTGATTACCACAATAATTAAAATACATAGAATCCTCCATTTTTCCAATTCAGAAGATGATTATGTACCTGTGTTACGTACCAATGACTACTTAAATGATTATATAACAGAAATGAAAATATGAATATATATACGTAATCAATCGATTTTAATTTTCATTTTACCAATTATTTCTCTATGACAAAATATATTATTTAAGTATTCGGTATTCGGCCGAATAATATGTACATATACGATATTCGGTCGAATATAATAAAAGCAGCCGAATAGGCCGAATACCGAATAGTAACCGAATATTCGTTGCAAGTCTAATATAATGCGATCATACACACAAAGAATGAACCGAGCGAACCTCTCACAAAATAGGAATGAAAAATAAAGTATTAATTATTGCCATGTGTATTCAACATGAAAGTTACGTACCATTTCACTATTCTGACAAAAAAAAGAAGTTGGTAATATAACTAAAACACATGACATAGAAAAGTATTTATTGATATATTTTCACGTGACCGGAAACACAAAAGAGTAGCGCGCCCTAAAATGACGTCACCTGCTTGTAAACATGCTGTCGAAGGGACATTACTTTATAGTTTGACGTTTTAATGAGAGTCGTGTGACGTCACCCGCCTGTAAGACGTTGCTAGAGAAACGTTTTAGCGGCATTTTTGAAAACAGAATTTTTGTTTTTTTCTAATGGCATACGTAACAGAATTATACACATCCTTTTTATGCAGTCACTATACACTGAACGTATGAACGTTTTCTTGTCAAATAGCCGATTGACAACACTCTTCTCAGGACTCTTGTCTTTCTCAGGCTTACTTTAAATTTGGACAGAAAATGCTCAGTCCGTTCTCTATGTGTACAGTTACCGATATTCAGACTTAATGGCCATTTTAATGAAGATATGCAATCAAATTATATTGTAAAAATATAGTGTTTAAAATATGTATTTTTAATTCCTGCCCTATATATGATTTCCGAAAAAAGTGATAACAAAAACAATTACTAGAAAAAATCTACTCGGCCTTGATGTCCGGCTGAATTTGATACAGTATATTACACTATATTTTTCAATAATTATCATGAATTTAATTTTTTTTATAATAATAAACTTAAACTTACCCCAGTCTTATAAACGCATTTCTTATACAAATTCACCAGCCTATCTACAGCGCCCTCTCTAATCTCCAAGCTCGGCAGATGAGGCAAAAAGTCATTGCCCACGAAGAAGCACATAAACACCCAGTCGTCGAGAGCTCTCTCGAAGTCGTAGGCGAACGGCAGGTTGTGCATCTGCAGCTCCCTCTCCAAGTATTCCCTCAGGACGCTCAGGCGAACGAAGATAAAGTTGTCCTGGTTACCGAAGGCCGGGTCAGAACGGACCAGGGACGCGTCCGGAGTGCTGCCTGTGCATTCCTTCATTTCGTGACCTGTTTCAAAATTCAAAATTCAATATTCAATATCGTTTATTCAGTCTAGGCTGTTACAAGCACTTGTGAATGTCGAAAAGCTACGCCATCGGTTCGCAAATCTACGGCGGGAGACCTTGTACTGAGAAGAACCGGCAGGAAACTCAGCAAGGGCTGTTTTTTTCTCCCTGTATTATATACAGAGTCGTCAATTTGAAAAATTACTTCAATATGAGATAACTCATGAAGTCACTTTCCATTACAAATGTAAATGATAAAACAATTATGACTATAAAATAAAAAATATAAAAAACAGATTTAAAAATGAAAAAAGTTTAGGAATGCCGTGTCCTACTGTTTAGGCATAAAAACAAATGTACCATTAAAGTTAAATACAACGATTAATAGTACCCAATGTAGCAAGAGCAGACTCATCTCCGCTGGCAGCACCCGTTCACGAGCATGACGCATGAACCAGCCATCGCTTCGCTCAACCATTTTTTAGGGAACGTAACGACCCGCCTCACACGACACCGTATTGTTTGCCAATTTATGTTAATGTTATATTGTTTTAAACTTTCATGGCCACTGTATAAACATTAGCCAATCCTTGTAAACTATTAAAATTACTACATGTTTCCCTTCCTATAATTAAAAACAAAAAATTGCGCGCGCGACGGTCGTGGCGCAACCGGAAAACAAAAAAGACACTTCGATTTGGTGCGCTTAAGAAGAACGTTTAACGGCCGCCTGAGCCTTGCGTTGTTTGTCAAAAAGCGAATTTATATTCATTAAATCCTTCCTGGAAGCTTACGTCTGTGGATTTTAGTGGTTGTGATCAACTCCTGTGAATATTTTGTGGAGAATCAAAAGGACTACGCTAATATAGGTGGAATTGCCGGCCGGCACGTCGCCCCGTCAATTAAACCATCAAGATCTCCTTCCTACCTCATCCTGAGACCAGGTTAGTTTATAAAGATTCTTACTACTTGTATTGTTCGCGGGGGTTTCACAATCGACTCACTGAAAAAAGGAGCTTCTCCAGGAAGCCTATCCAGCCACTATAATTTATGGGATTGTGAAACTAAACTAATATAAATTTTACTATATGTTTTTGTTATTAGAACTACCGTTACACCTTTTTGTATGAATAAGTTATACTATACTGCCCATAAGTTAACAGATGTTGGTGTCGATTCTGGCATGATTCTCTAAACTTAACAACTCTTTTCACGGATGATAATTTATGTTATCTGTGTATCGCAAGCGTCTATAGGCTATGGTGGCCACCATTAGGCGTAGGCTTACCATTAGGCGGGCTCTTATATGATTATGTGCCATTCTTTAAACATTAAAAATATCTAGTTGGTCCTTCGAGCAGGATACGAATTATGTCGTCAGAGCGTATTTTACTCACCCAGTTGTCCGCACACGTCACACGGGCGCGGCTTATTCGGCTTGAACTCCTCACGTATGATGGTGAAGTTGGGCTCGTGCGTCGCCAGCCCCAACATTATGAGGTCAGCGTCAGCACCGCATAGCACGTGCTGAGTGTTGGGATCGTGGTCCGGTTGTGCTAAGAAATTACATGATTTTTCATGTTAAGTACATTTACGTAACCGCCTAGCCTAAACAGCGGTAAACTGCGTACGTGAAGGAAGAAGAAGATTGCAAAAAACATGAGATTCCTACTACTAAAGATGTTTCATGTGTTGTATCTAAGTTAAAAAGATATTGTTTATTTGGTCATGAAAATAGAATATGCCCAATAATATATACTCAAAAAAATCAAAGCAAAGTAATATTACACAATATTTTAAATGTACCAATGATTAACTACATGTGCAAATACTTTCAACAATAAATTAATGTCACTAAACTGTGTGTGTCTGTATACCTATGCCTGTTACGACTTCCGGATATAACAATGAAATTAACCGGTCCCTTCGTGTGTGCCCTCAGAACTAAGTGTTAATTCTGTCATGCTCACATTGATATTGTTTTAAGGCAACTAACTTTTAAAAAGACTTCAATTCTTTAATTAAGGCTTCATGAGCTTTTACTCTCCAAAGTGCTAGTAAAATGTAGAAAAATGGTTGACGACAAAACCAGTTTTTCTATAAAGAAGCATAGCAGTACATTAAACTGCTTATGAAATTACTGTTTGGCTACAGAGATTCCCATTCTATGCAGTGATTTATTTATAGTTATATTTTTTCGTTAAAGATGTTTATATCGAAAGAAAATATTATTAGATTTTTTTCACTGACACACTAATTTTAAAATTAAAATCCTCTTACCTCTTTGTCTGCGAATGTAGTCCATGATTTTGTGTTCTCCTTCTCCAGGTACATTTGCATCAGACAGAATCACCTTGATGCCCTTCCACCCAGGATCATTATTTAATCTATGGAAGTTGTATTATAACTATTATTGAAAATAATTTAATATATTATATCAAGCTAGATATTGTTTCTGAGGACAAACTTGTACTTAATAGGCTATTTGACAGTATGGAAAATAATGTACCAATTGTTGCTATTTGTATTTAACATGAATATTAGCAGCAATTATACTATTCTGGAAGAACAATTAATTATTAACTTTTCTATAAAATCATTAAATAAAAATGATTTTTTTGCTCCATGGTCACGTGACCGAAAACGCTTGGGATTGGCCAAGACTAAAATGACATCACACTCTAGTAAACTTTAGGTCAAAGTGGCATTACAGTGTATAGTTTGACGTTTCAATGACAGTCGTGTGACGTCCATAATGTCCAGAGAAATGTTTTCGCGGCAACTTGAAGATTTAATTTTTTATTCAACTTTTGTTACCGAATTACACAACAGAATTAAAAATTTCCACTTTTAATGGACTCCATAAACATTTGCAAATAACATGAGATTGTTTTCTTAAAGTTGTCAAATACCCTATTGTTCATATTCTCCTCATAGGACCAATAAAAAATACTGATTTTATTGGTTTAATAACTTTTACATCTAAATGTTGCAAAATGCAAGGCCAATTTTTACATAATTTTACATTAAAATTTATTTAAATCAAAACTCATCTGGGACCATTTAATTATTCATATCCAAGTGGAGCCATTTAATAAATGGAGAAAAAACATAGCTCTTGCTGAGTATCTTCTCAGTCCAAGGTCTGCCGTCGTGGATTTACGAACCACTGGCAGTTTGATTTTCTGAACTGTTGATAACAGCCCAGACTGAATAAATGATTTAGAATTTTGACCATTTTGGTGCCATACAAAAACATGCATAATGTTTTTTTTTAATTTAATAAAAAATTCTCTAACCTGTCATGTATGTAGTAATGCAGACATTTACTGAGGCGATCCATAAATGGTGTCCCTGGCGTGATACAATTTGAGTCAAAGTGAGCTTCCTTGGGCCTCTCAGGGGGCAAGTAAGCACCCTTGGTGAGAAGCTCCGACCTGATACGAGCTATCTCATCTATCTTCTCCTGAGTTTCCTTGGACGCTCTGAAGCGACGTGATCGCTGCTGGTTCATTTTTGCTCTTGGTGCCTGAAACAAGTTTGTTGACATTATTAAGTACTTTGTTTATTTATCAAGTTTTTAAGTTGAACTAAGAAGTTTAACATATATTTATAATAAATTAATGATGCAACTAATTTATTAATACTTACCACACCATCAATGGCCATATAGAGCAGCTTTCTAGGCCTGACAATACGAAACAGTCTGTCGATGCATTCAAAGATAGCAACCATCATCTCATCCTCGTCTTTGGGCGGTGGCTTGTCTTCCGGATGAGTGCACGGGTGGATGATCCCGTTCATGTCCAAATACAAGTTGTCAAACTCCACCCCATTGGGGTTTGGGAGAGAAGAGTCCACATACACAAGCTGACCATCTACGTCGGTTGGCTGAAATGATATAAGATTTCGTAAAGGTTTCTATTATTATTTTCTTCTTTTATTTGTATTTATAGTTGTTTTTTAATCACAACAAATGAAATTTTATTACAATCATAGTTATTTGTTGTTGAGAGATTTATTACAGAAATCGTTAATCGAGTCACTTTAAAATCACGAATGACTCTGATTATTAAATTACACCAACTTATTTCGAACTTCAAATAAATTGAATTTAAAAAAATCAACAATTAATCTCGGAATAATGAGGTTTGTAGGTTAAATTTGGATTTTACCTTCTGTTCAATACACTCTACAATTACACTTGGATATTTACGACTGAGCCATCGGAAAAAAGCTGGGACACCCATCTTTGAATAATTTTATTTATTTAGTTCGATAAATTTTATGAATTAATAAATTTTATCACGTATTCAACACAAACAAATCGACGCAGGGGCCATGTTTGCAAGAAAGAGAAAGATACAAGATAAAAGATAGACCAACTTTTACTTTTAAATATCTTTCTTTTGTAGGCACAGAGTTTTAGCTTTATACAGAAAAGGTTTCAATATGATGGGCCTAATTCTGATAAAAGTTCACCTTTTTCCTTTTTTAAGTGAATTTGTTGATAGCTTTGCTTACTACCCACAAAAAGACTACTTATTTTAAGAAAGAAGTAGAAGTTCAATTGAACTAAAAAAAGATATTAAGGAAGACAAGATACTTAAACGGAAAGCTTGGCTCCGGCCTCAAGAATACAGAAACTACAGGATAATAATAACAAGAATTGTCTGTATGGGTATTTCACCCTTGGCCTTCCCAGAATGGGTAAAAAAACTTAAGTTGTTGACAGTGACAGTATCAGCTGGTGACTGAAGTGACAAGCGAATGAGAGCGTTTAGTTTTAGTTTTTATTTCTGAACTCAAATTAAATACCGAAAATGAAGACGTTTTGTTTAGTAAATTATTACAGAAAACTATTCAAAAGATTATCCATACGAAGATATTGTTCTCAAAGCAGCAAAACTAGGCTCAGTAATACAGAACACATCAGAAATATTGGAATCTTAGCACATATAGATGCAGGTGAGTTTATATTTTGGGAAAAATTTTAGTGCATTACAGTTGATGCTACAAAGCGCACTAACTAACAAATCGAAAATTTTCATCTCTAGGAAGTGCAATAAAAATAAATTGTAACTAGCTTATAACCATTGCTAACCAAAAAACTTAGATAAACATTATGAAAAAAGTAAATCCACATCTTAAAGTTAAACTACTCTAAAATTTCTACTATCAAATGCCCGAAACAGTCAATGGTAACAGGTATATAAATATGATTCATCATCATCAGTCCATTAATGTCCACACTGCTGGGGCACAGGCCTTCCCTATGGATGGAATAGGGAGATAGGGCCATGACCTACCACGTGGGCCCAATGCGGATTGGCGAGTGCTAGCAACTGCAGATGCAGCCGGGTCCAACGGCTTAACATGCCTTCCGAAGCACGGAGGAACTCGAGATAGAAGATTTTTGGTCACCCATCCAATGACCGACCACTACGAAAGTTGCTTAACTTCAACGATCGCAACCGAACGCGCTAACCACCTGCGCCATATCGAGTTCCTCATATGATTACACAAATACATTTCAATTGCAGGCAAAACAACTACAACTGAGCGAATGCTCTTCTACTCTGGTACAATCCGGTCTATGGGAGAGGTACATCATGGGAACACAGTCACGGACTACATGGAGCAGGAGAGGCAGAGGGGAATCACCATAACTTGTGAGGTTCTTTTTTAACTTTTTCCTTAGGTATTACAAGATACGCAAATAGAAGTTAATTGATTAAAATTAAAAAAGTTAATAAATTTATTGTCTTACTTTCTGGTTTAAACTCATAACCAATACTGTCTAAGGCAGACCTCTATCTATACTCCTGTAAGTGTTCATATATTTAAAGCTTGGTTGATGCCATTCTTACATTTTACTTAGGTCTTATCACTTGTTTGATTGTTGGCTGTGATAGGCTGTCTTTTCTTAATATTCTGCTTATAGTAATTGAAGGTGACTTCAGAAGTATCTCTGAAGTCATTTTCCAACTTGACAACTCTGTATATAACAATACAGGGAGAAAAAAACAGCCCTTGCTGTTTCTTGTTGGTTCTTCTCAGTACAAGGTCTCCTGTCGTAGTTTTGCGAACCAATGGCGTAGCTTCTTGACCTTCACAAGTACTTGTAACATCAGCCTAGACTTAAAGAATGATTTTTGATTTTGATTATACAGGGTGTAATAAAACCTATAACGAAGTCAAAGGCCACATCATGACTATCATTGTTTTCTTCTGGACCATACCTGGGAAATTTATGGTTATGGAGATATTGAAGGTCAAAGCCAAAATATTTTTTTCATGTTTTATACATTAATATTTTCAAAACGTTTTTTAGAAACTTTTTTTATTGATGCACTTAGACACACACACACAGGCACATTCTTTGCGTAGCGCCACTGTAGCGCGCCGCGCCATTCCTTGCGTACTGGAAAAAATGTATTTACAATTTTTTCCCACCTATAATATTCTGTAATATGACTTGTTTGGGTGAACAGAATGCGTAGTTTAAGTCTTAGTCATAGGTTTTTTTACACCCTGTATAATATCTGCTTCTCTCTAACCCAACAGGGTCCAATGCTGTCTTTGACAAACAAAAAATATCAGTAATTATGTAGTTCTTCTTACACAATATCAAGTTCAACCAATTTCTTATATTTGATAGTTTCTCTCTGTTAATAATTTGTTTGTGACAGATACACATTTTTGCAGAAGTATAAACTTACTTCATCATCATCATCATCATCATCATGATGAAGTAAGTTTAAACTATATAAACTTAAACTTATAAACTTACTTACATATAAACTTACTTATCCACATGTAATTTTACTCAACATAACTGTCCATGCCAGCTGCTGCTGTGTCATTCCCATGGAATGGCCACCAGATCAACTTGATTGACACACCAGGACACATTGACTTTACCATGGAGGTGGAGCAGAGCTTGGCCGTGTTGGATGGTGCTGTTGTGGTTTTGGATGCATCAGCCGGTGAGAATAATTTATTTACCACTTATCTTTCAGAAGCATCATAAAACTACACACTATTGTTGTAATTATAGCTCGATGGCGTAGAGGAGCTCGATGGCGCAAGTGGTTAGCGCGTTCGGCTGCGATCGTTGAAGTTAAGCAACTTTCGCAGTGGTCGGTCATTGGATGGGTGACCAAAAATTACAGCACGTTAAGCAACTTTCGCAGTTTTCGGTAAAATTACAGCATGTTAGCCGTTGGCCCCGGCTGTTTCTGCAGTCTTTAGCACCCACCAATCCACACTGTTCCCTCGTGGTAGATAATGGCCCAATCTCCCTATTCTATCCATAAGGAAGGCCTGTGCCCCAGCAGTGAGGACATTAATAGGCTGGTGATGTTAAACAAATCCGTCCTTTAAAATTCGTTTCGTTGCATTAAAATCTGACGCTCAAGTCGTGACGCGGCTTTGAAAAGTTACACTCATCACGCACAAAGAAGTTTCACTTCAAAAATTAGAAATAGACAACAAACCACCATACCAACCTATAACAGGCCGCCATAGTTCTTCGTCTCCTTCGCATAAATCTGACCAGTTTTACTTCACAGTTAGTTAGGGTCTTAGTCTTAGTAGAACGGCGGGCTGATTCCGCAACTCGACACCTAGTGCCTATATTGCATGGAGATTGGCATCAGTCCTGCCATCCCTGCTCCTCCAGAAAGCTCAGCAGTCCCCGAACGTTACTGCAGGCCTCTACTATAGTCTTCGGGCTTCCTATTAGAGAAGTCCTTTGTCTTGCAACGCCCCTGCACTCCAGCAGCACATGGGCGCTCGTCTCCTCGTCCTCCAGGCAGGCTCTGCACAGAGGCCTGACAGAAATACCTATATTACAAAGGTGTTTGTTGAAATAGCCGTGACCCGTGAGTATACCCACGATTTGTTTTAGGGCTTGTCTAGGAAGTCTGATTAACTTACGTGTTAGCTGCAGGTTTACCTTGGGAACGGCTTCCCTAGCATGCCTGCAGTCCGTGAGTTCTGTCCAGTATTCGTTGTGTTGTCGTTGACAGCGCTCCCTTATCCATGTTCGCAGCTATCGATAGGATATGGGTACACAGTTAGTTAGGGAGCGGCAGTCCAGTCTCTTTCCCTATGTTGCGAGTATAACAGCAAAGGCTTTGTCTTAACAGGAGTGGAAGCCCAAACCCTGACCGTTTGGCGTCAAGCAAGCGGGTACCGTATCCCTCGGCTACTATACCTCAATAAGATGGACCGCGCGGACGCAGATGCAGCTGCTTGTGTACGCTCCGTGCGCGACAAACTGAACGCTGACCCGCTGTTATTGCACGCGCCCGTGCTGCACGAAGGGAGATTCATAGGTGAGTGTCCTAATCTTGACTCTTAATATAAATGCGAAAGTGAGTTTATCTGTTGTTTATTACTTCATCACACGAAAACTACTGAATCGATTTAGAAGAAATTTTATACACATATAGTTTATGACCTGGATTGAGAGACAGAATAGTATGTTAGAGGCGATTCATAACTGAATCCCGCAGTTACGCCTGGAGGGTGAGGCTTTGGTTGGGGAGTTGGTTTACATGGTAGCTACTAGTGATGTAACGAATGTAATTTTTTGAACATTCGGACGGATTCACACGCATGCGAATATCTGGTACCCACATTCGCGAATGCGAATACGAATATATATGTTTTTGTTCAAAATTGGCGCCAATTGTCTATGGCATGGTGGCAGTCTCGTTCGAATTGCCGAGTTAATATGAACTCATCCGACTGAAGTGTCATTCCGCTCGCGCCGGTCTTTTCGTAAACAAAACAAGTGAATTTTGAGGTTAGAGTTTGAATAGTGATTAATTGACATGAGTAAATCAAATTCTAGTGAAATATGGACTTATTTCACACTATGCGATGCTGAACGAGCTAAATGCAAGCTGTGTAACAATGAATATTCAAGGAAAGGAAGAACTACAACTTCTTCAAATTGTTTTTTTTTTATATTCATATTCGCAAAACATTCGCAGAGATTTTTGTCGTTCCGTTCGGACTGCGGTCCGTGAGACTAGTCAGGTGACGCTGTGTACGGAGAAGCCCAGGATCGGCTAAAGCGGGTGCGGGCCGGGTTGCTGGTTGGAGACAGGGTGGTTTGACGTCTTTCACGCATGCGTGAACGCACGTCAAAGTAAACCTGCACCGACTAGTGGCCCTCGGGCTGCTCGTCGCTAGCCAAATGCTCCACGCAATCATCTGCGTCGTGAGGGTTTGTTCATAGCAAGCCAACGCGGCGTTGGTCATTGTGGGATTAAGACTCTATGGTGAAAAGGACTTAATCAAGTTGACTTTGTCTACAGGGCTAATCGACTTGATAACCTTAGAGGAAATAATATGGACGCAGGGCCGCGGTAGGAACATAGCGCGGCGAAAACTTACCGAAAAATCAGACGGTCGCAAATGGGAGGACGCGTTGAAAGGGCATAGAGAACTCGTCGACTCTATATCGTCTATGGACGACCAGTTGGCAGATATAATTATAAAGGAGGAGTCTTTGGACAACATCGCCAGCAAAGACATCGGTGACGCAATCAGAAGATGCACCGTCGGAATGAAAGGATTTCCAGTGTTATGTGGTAGCTCTTACAAGAACATTGGAGTTCAGACGTTGATGGATGCTGTGGTGTCTTACCTTCCTTCTCCAGAAGAGTGTAATGATTTGTACCAGTGCTTTAGCCAGGATCTAGCCGCGAGAGCGTTCAAGGTGCAGCATGACGATCAGAAAGGAGTTCTTACATTTTTAAGACTCTATGAAGGGCAGATTAGTAGAGGACAGAAGATATACAACTTGGCGAGGGATAAGAGCGAACAGGTATTACCATATTGTTCCTTTAAGTGTCTATACTTTTCAAGTTATCTATTCATCATCATAATGTCCCCACTGCTGTGGCACAGGCCTACCCTATGGATGAAATAGGGAGATTGGGCCATGACCCATCACGCGGGCCCAGAGAGGAATAGTGGGTGCTCACGACTGTAGATGCAGCCGGGACCAGGGGCTTAACGTGCCTTCCGAAGCACGGAGGAGCTCGTGATAATAAATTTTTGTCACCCATCCAATGACCGACCACTGCGAAAGTTGCTTAACTTCAACGATCGCAGCCGAACGCACTAACCACCCTCGCCATCGAGCTCCTCCTGCAATGTGTGCGTGACTTTAATGACAAATTGTACTAAAGCAGTCAAAGTGTGCGAGTGTAGCGACGAGCATATCTACCATATGTAGTAGATATTTTTTGTGCCGCTTCCGTGCAGTTAATACTTAATCTAGGTGTACATTATCAAAGCTATTAGATAGATTAATGCTTTATTTTGACACCATAATATACATAATTACATTACATTAACAAACAATTAACTTATTACCTTTTGTTAGAGTTACATAATGATACTAAAATATGAGAAAATGGGTGCTTACTGCTTACGAGTGCCGATGCAGCCAGGGCTTATGGTTTTGCGTGACTATGCCTTCCATAGCATGGAGTAGTTTGAGATAGTAAATCTTAACGATTCGATCTCGATACGCGACAAATGTAAAAACAAAATGTATGGAACATTTTTAATTCTCGTTCCGTCCGTTGTGGCGCTGTTCAGATTTCCATACAAAACTTCTTGACGCGCGAATCGAGATGGAATTCAACTATTCGAATTCGATATTACTTATTCGATTCGATATAAAAAAAATCCACGCGGACCAAGCAGCAGACGGGACTCGAACCCTCACCCTTCGCTATCCGGGCGAATGATGATGGCCGTGTCGAATTCTTTCTAGCCTTTCTTAAGCTGCAAGGCAGTGCCATCTCTTCGCATTGTAGGTAACCCAAAATGTCAATTGAATACCTTTCCAAGTATTAAACATGTGAAAGAAGAAATAGCAATTAGAGTTACAATTTTTATTTTTTAAGCATGTAAAATATTACTAGAAAAAATATTTTCTAGTAATGTTTTACACACTTATATCTAAGTTTTAAGTAGAATAAAAAATGTATTATTCGTAAAATTTACATAAAACTGAAAATGTAAATTTGACGGCCTCCGTGGCCGAGTGGTTTATACGCGGGGTTTCATGGTGTCGCCGACTCGAGAGGTCCCGGATTCGAGTCCCGGTGGGGGCAGATGTTTGTGTGATGAATACGAGCATTTGTACTCCAGTCATAGATGTTTAATATGTTTTTCTATAAAAATATACTTATATCATCATCATCATCATCAGCCTATTAATGTCCCCACTGCTGGGGCACAGGCCTTCCCTATGGATGGAATAGGGAGATTTGGGCCATGACCCACCACGCGGGCCCAGTGCGGATTGGTGGGTGCTAACGACTGCAGATGCAGCCGGGAGCAACGGCTTAACGTGCCTTCCGAAGCACGGAGGAGCTCGAGATAGTGATTTTTGGTCACCCATCCAATGACCGACCACTGCGAAAGTTGCTTAAGTTCAACGATCGCAGCCGAAAGCGCTAACCACTTGCGCCATCGAGCTCCTCATATATGTGATATACAGCATGTACAGTATATGTATTCTATCCGTTACCCTAGCATCCTATAACACAAGCCTTACAGTGCTTACACACCAATTAGCCTAGCCCCAAAGGCTATAATATTTATTATTATTATTATTTTATTAAAACATGGATATTTAATGGAGGAGCGGAGTCACCTGGCACAAGCACTGATTTGCTTAAAAGGGGACTCCTGCCACTAACTATTGTAAACCAAATCTTTAATGAATAAATTGTTATTATTAGTAATAGGTCGCTTTAGATTGTCTCTATTTGTGTAGACAGGTTCACTGTACGTAGCGCTGGCTGACGAATACAAAATGGTGGAGAATGTGACAGCTGGCAACATCGCCGTCGTGAGCTCTCTAAAGGTATACACACCGTTAAACTTCTTGAGCATCGACCATAGACAATTAAAGCTGCGCAGTAGCAATTTTACATGTCTAGAAGCACAAGTTTATTTGTCTGTGGTTTTACTCATGAATTCGCTACCTATAGGCCTACAGAGATCTAACTAACACTTAGAAATCAATGTTCTTTTTTTAATTTTATTTAATAACCGAGTAAATAACAGTAGACATTTAAATCCTAGGGTTTCACGCACATCACACATTAAATAAAACATTATTTTCATCATCTCATCATCATCTTTATCATCTGTTGAAGAACAGCAGATGTAAGCAACTTGCAAGCCGCTTGCGTTTAGTTTTCCTATTAGCCGCTAGGTGTGGGTTGAAAATGTCTGTCGGCATCACGTAATGCTTCTCGTACCACCCTAAGAGGCTTCACTTGAGTTTTTGTAGCAAATCCCAATGCAACATTTCCTCTTTATATTTGCTCCGTGTTCCTTACACTGTTAAAAACGCACGTGTATGGTAAAATACCTTAATCAAAGTTAAATAGGGTATTTGACAAGTTTTAGAAAACGATCTCACGTTATTGAAAAAGTGGATATTCATCATTCTGTTGTGTATTTAAGTAAAAATAACCAAGTCAAAAACTCCATTTTCAAGTTGCCGCGAAAACGTTTTTCTGGACAATATGGCGTCATACTAGTGTGTGACGTCACACGACTGTTATCAAAAAGTCAAACGATACAATGTAATGTCACTTTAACCGGAAGTTTACTTGCGTGTGACGTTGTTTTAGGATCCGCCAATTCCAAGTGTTCTGGTTCACGTGACAATAGATAAGAAAACTATTATCTTTTTCGTGGGTTTTTAGAAAAATTATGAATATTTTTTTTGTAAAAATAGTAAAAACCTCTGCCAATATTCATTCTAAACACAGATGCTAACAATTGGCACTTTATTTGTTAATATTGTCAAATATCCTATTCCTAACTTTTAGTATAATTCAGGCTACAATGACCGGTGACTTGGTGACATCTACGCAATCTGCCGCCAATCGAGCTAAGGAACGTTTGACTGAACAACTGGGAGATCCTACCCGCCTGGAACACCTGCTCGTTCCCAGTGCTAAGCAGCGGCTACAAGCGCTGGAAGAACAGCCCACGCCTGGGGAAATTGCAGACATTATGCTGGGAATCGGTAACTATATTATACTATAATCAAAATAACAGTAGTTAGCAGCAGGTGACATTAAAACACCTGAAGGTATAGTCGACCCCTGGGGAGTTTGAAGTTAAAATCCTGGGCATTGGTAAATTTATACGCTAATTGAGCAGTTGGTTGGAGACACTTTAAGAAGAAGACCTTGGAAGACCACAGACATTACCTAGATGGGTATTGTTAAATGACGTTGACTAAATAGCTAGGAGACACTTCCCGCCTAAAACGATTGCTTGTGCCAAGCGCTGGAAGGACAGCCAACGCCTAAGGAGACGGCTGAAATAATGCTGGGCTTCGGAAAATATGTTCTACTCTAATGGAACAGCAGTTACACCTCGATCATCGGCAATTCAGAACATTGACCACGTACTATTCGAGTGCGGTAGATATGCAAGAATTAGACACGAATATATTTCACGCTGCGATCTTCATAAAATCAACCCACGCAATATGATTGAAACAGCCTCAAACGAAAAAACCCGAGTAGCAATGCTCGAATTCATTAAGGGAGTATTTGGGACACTAAAGCGGTTCAATGGAACATAGCCATACTTGGCTGGGTTCCGGTGAACTGCTTTGGTGTAAGCAATCAATACAATATAAACACTACACTAAACTTGTGTAGAAATATATAAAATAACATATATTATTAGTAATTAATATTGTATGTATATATATATATATATATAATCATTATACATATGAACATATATATAATATCAAAAATACATACCCACAGTGAAACACGAATTAAACATATCTTGAACACCAAAGGTTTTGCTGTATCAAATCGCAGCACACCAAACCTGCAACCTGAAAAACAAACACATAATTAAGATCATCTGGAGGTACAGATCGGTTGTGGGAAGACAACTGACATAATGCTGGATCTGAACATCGGTAAATATACACTGACTGAACAGCTAGCAACACCTAGAACACTAGGGGTGTATTCCGAAATGTACATCAGTATACTGGCCAGTGGTAATGACGTCACGAAAACGACGCCATCTTGTTCTGGTATGCTACCATATTTTTACCGGGAAAACGTATGACGTATGACCGAGCGTACGTGAGATGCATTCGAATTTTATTTCTTTATTATTTAAAGAATAATAATGACATCCGAACAAAAAGAATTCCTTTTAATTGATGAGGTGAATAAAAAATCTTCTTTATTCGCACTCTTTTTATTCAGAAATCAGAAATCAGAAATCAATATATCTTTATTCAAATTGGATGTATAGTACAACTCTTTTGAATCGTCCAAAAATTTTTTTCCCTACCACTCGTTATGGACATATTTTTTAGCTGCGGAGAAAAACGAGCGAAAAAAACTCCACAACATTAAAAGTCTAATGTAACAACATTTACAATTCATTATGTTGTTACAACGTCAATACAATTATGATTTATTTAATATAGAAAACCTGTTGGAATGATTGGAACAGTTCAAACCCAAGCATTTTTGTCTGTAATATAATCAGACACTTTGTAATAAGCTTTTTTAATAAGTGTTTTTTTTATAACATCTTTAAATTTATTTATGGCTAACTCTTGGATATTGCTTGGGACTTTATTGTATAAGCGAACACAAAGACCTTTAAATGAATTATTAATTTTGTGAAGCCTAGTAGCAGGTAAAGTTAGTTTATTTTTGTTTCTTGTATTAATTGTGTGAACATCACTGTTTTTAAGAAACAAATTAATATTTTTTGTTACGAGTAATAAATTTTCGTATATGTATTGTGATGCGACCGTCATTATTCCAAATTCCTTAAACTTATCTCTTAATGATTCTTTAACTTTAAGATTATAAATTGATCGAATAGCTCTCTTCTGCAGCACAAAAATAGTTTGAATGTCGGCGGCATTTCCCCACAATAAAATTCCGTACGACATTACACTATGGAAATAACTAAAGTACACTAATCTGGCCGTATCTACATCCGTTAACTGGCGTATCTTCATTACGGCATATGCTGCAGAGCTAAGTCTATTTGACAATTTATCAATATGTGGGCCCCTTTGAAGCTTAGAATCTAAAGTTATCCCTAAGAATACTGTGGTGTCTACAAGGCCCACATTCATATCCTTTACATTCACACTGGTTTTTACCTGTTTTACATTAGGTAATACAAATTTCATACATTTCGTTTTTCCTTCATTAAGTAATAAATTGTTAACATTGAACCAGTCGACTACCTTTGAGATACAATTGTTCACGTCGTCAATAACTTTTTCATTGCGTTTGAGTTTAAATAAAAGTGATGTATCATCCGCAAACAATACTATCTCATGGTTATCTCTTACATAGTAAGGTAAGTCATTAATATAAATTAAAAATAAGAAAGGACCTAGGATTGAGCCCTGCGGAACACCCATCTTAACCGGCGAACCCGGAGACTTATTACCATTAATGTCAACCCTCTGAATCCTATCCCTCAGGTATGATGCAATAAGATCCAGATCAGTATCTCTAAATCCATAGTGGTGGAGTTTCCTGAGTAATGTTTCATGAAAAACGCAATCAAAAGCCTTGGACAAGTCGCAAAACACACCTAGAGCGTCCTGCGAGTTCTCCCAGGCGTCAAAAATTTGTTGTATAAGTTCAACACCGGCATCGGTTGTTGAACGACCCCGTGTAAAACCAAATTGTTTACAGTGAAGTATATTATATTTATTAAAATGTGATTGCATTTGATCTAACATGATTTTTTCAAAAATTTTACTAAAGGTGGATAGTACAGAAATTGGTCTAAAGTTTGTGGGGTCTGATGTACTTCCCGTTTTATGCAAAGGGGTAATTTTACTGTATTTCATGAGGTCAGGAAAACACCACAGTCAACACAATCATTAAATATGCAAGCTAGAATAGGAGCTATTGTCTCAATTACCGATTTAGAAACATCAACGGAATTGCCCCACAGATCCGCGGTTTTCTTTTTATTTAATTGGTGAAACGTTTTTATTACATCTTTAAAGTCAACATGTTTAAAATGAAAATAACTAGTACAAGGTTTCACGTTTTCTCTTAAGATTGATTCGGCAGCAATGGGGGAAGAGTTCAAAGATTTCGTAGTTGAAACTGGAATATCAGTAAAGAAATTTTCAAACACCTTAGCAACCTCAATAGCTGATGTAACCTTTTTATTATCAATATTTAGGTTATAATTATTTTTGCGAGTTTTGCATTTTCCAGTTTCATTGTTTATAATATTCCATGTCATTTTGATTTTGTCATTACTGTTCTTAATCTTTGAACTTAAGTAATTTGATTTTGCTAAGCGGCATACTTTTTTAAACAATTTGGAATAGTTACGAACATGCTCTTTAAATTTTACACTAGTGTTAGAGTTTCGTTCATTATAAAGTTCATAAAGTGTTCTTCTACTTTTATGAATTCCAGGCGTAGCCCACTTACTAAAATTTACCGCATCATTAACACATATTTTTTTGGGTACAAAAACATTATTAAATTCATCGCAATATATATTAAAAAATCATTATATAAATCATTTGGACAACGATTACGATTTGGATTATTTCGTCGATTTATGATGACAGTGCACTGGCCAATATATTTCGGAACAGTTTACCAGTATAATATATTATACTGGTATATATTACGGAATACACTCTAGGGCTATCAGAGAATATCTAATTGAACAGCTGGGAGACCCTTCTCGCCTGGAACGTCTGCTCGTGCCCAACTCTAAGCAGCGGCTACAATCGCTGGAGGGACAGCCCACACCTGGGGAAATTGCAGGCATTATGCTGGGCATCGGTTACTATATAATTTGGCCATAGACATAAATGACTAAGCGACAATCATATGAAATTTGAAGAGCGAATGCGATAATGGAGTCAATACCAATACGAACTATTGTCCGTCAAAATGGGTTTAAAAGTTAAATGCCTAAATTTATATGTAAGTTATATGGCTGGTAGCATATTTACTATTTAGCTCGATGGCGCAAGTGGTTAGCGCGTTTGGCTACGAACGTTGAAGTTAAGCGACTTTCGCAGTGGTCGGTCATTGGATGGTCAAAAATTGACTATCTCGAGCTCCTCCCTGCTTCGGAAGCCACATTAAGCCGTTGGTTCCGGCTGCATCTGCAGTCGTTAGTACCCACCAATCCGCATTGGGCCCGCGTGTTGGGTCATGGCCCAATCTCCCTATTCCATCCATAGAGAAGGCCTGTGCCCCAGCAGTGGGGACATTAATAGGCTGACGATGATGATAATGATGATATTTACTATTATTCAACAATGAATCCTGTCCTCAGGTACTAGAGTTCCAGACCCGGTGTTCATATGTTCCATTGAACCGCCTAGCGCCGCGTTCCAAAGCGCGCTGGATACCGCCTTGGAGGAGCTGACGAGGGAAGACCCCAGTCTGAGGGTCTCCACTGACGAGGAAACCGGGCAGATAGTGCTGGCTGGTGAGTTATTATAAACCTTATTCCCAGCCATTACAGTCCATGACGTTTCCATAGCACCCTCGTCACTGCCTTAAAGAAGCTGGCGAGCGAAGACCTAGGTCTGAAAGTCTCCACTGACGAGGGGACTGGGCAGATAGTACTTGCTGGAAAGTATGTGTTATCCAAAAATGAACCCTATACCTAGGTATTGAAGTCCAGAAGACCCTAGTCTGATGGTCTCCACTGTCGAGAACACCGGGCAGGTAGTACTAGCTGATGAGTCATTGTGAACCTTATCCCTAGGCATGAGAGTCCAGAAGACCCTAGTCTGATGGTCTCCACTGTCGAGAACACCGGGCAGGTAGTACTAGCTGGTGAGTCATTGTGAACCTTATCCCTAGGCATTAGAGTCCAGAAGACCCTAGTCTGATGGTCTCCACTGTCGAGGACACCGGGCAGGTAGTACTAGCTGGTGAGTCATTGTGAACCTTATCCCTAGGCATTAGAGTTCAGAAGACCCTAGTCTGATGGTCTCCACTGACGAGGACACCGGGCAGGTAGTACTAGCTGGTGAGTCATTGTGAACCTTATCCCTAGGCATTAGAGTTCAGAAGATCCCAGTCTGATGGTCTCCACTGTCGAGGACACCGGGCAGGTAGTACTAACTGGTGAGTCATTGTGAACCTTATCCCTAGGCATTAGAGTCCAGAAGACCCTAGTCTGATGGTCTCCACTGACGAGGACACCGGGCAGGTAGTACTAGCGGGTGAGTCATTGTGAACCTTATCCCTAGGCATTAGAGTTCAGAAGACCCTAGTCTGATGGTCTCCACTGACGAGGACACCGGACAGGTAGTACTAGCTGGTGAGTCATTGTGAACCTTATCCCTAGGCATTAGAGTTCAGAAGACCCTAGTCTGATGGTCTCCACTGACGAGGACACCGGACAGGTAGTACTAGCTGGTGAGTCATTGTGAACCTTATCCCTAGGCATTAGAGTCCAGAAGACCCCAGTCTGAGGATCTCCTTCCGTCGTCACGTCTCCTCTTACTTATAATTTTAAAAGTAAGATGTATACGTAATCTTCCGTAATGAAAGCTAGAAAAGACTATTAATTAAAAAGCTATGAGACAAAACAAATGTCGTGTTTAAAGTCTTATTAGCTTTTGAGATATTTGATTCTTAAGTAAAAAATCTAATCATTTTTAAATTTAATAAAATCTATAGATTTTTATCGACAATCGTGTTTCTGCGCTAATAAAATTGAAGTTAAGGAACTAAAAATATACAAATAATAAATCACATGTACAACGTATGGATATTTATTTTATTAATAGCTTCAAAAATGATTATTTTAATATTTACAGCGTTTTAAATTAAAGTGAAGCTTAATCTTCTTTAGCACTTCACCCATATGATTTATCCATTGTTTAAAGTAAGTTAAGAATAAATGATACTTAAACATGATAAGCTTTGACAGGACATGGTAAAGTTTTGTATGAGAGAATGCCCTAGCAATGTATAAATGCTGAATGGCTGAATATTTATAATTTCTACGAAAAAAGGCTGAGGAACTTTTAATAAAGTTACAATCCTGAAAATTATGAAAACTCCTACTACGTCATTGCATAGCTACATTTGATCAAAGATCAACAATTTCGCATATTTCTCTTTTAAAATATCTTTTTCAAAATCTTTCCTATTCTTAAAAATATTTTTAAAGCAAAAATAAATACAAATAATTTGTTGTCATCGGCCTGAGAGGAAATCTGTGAAGTTTTATTTTGTTCATTTGCTTAAATCAAAGGATTAATTATTATACAGCCTTGTCTCAAGTCTGATCAGAAAAATAAAACTATTATTTAAGCCTTCAGTGATTTGTTAACAAAAAAATAGTAAGTAAATATTTTTTAAGTTTTTAGGGAGTTTGAAATCAATATTGTTTATTACGATATACTAAGACATTCTTTTTTTTTTGTAAAACGGAACGTTTTCCTTTTGAAACAGACATGATGTCAATTTTTATACTTTTAAATATTTGCTTATTTCACGAAAGTCGTATAAGAATAATAAATAGCTCGCAGAGCTCGATGGCGCAAGTGGTTAGTGCGTTCGGCTGCGATCGTTGAAGTTAAGCAACTTTCGCAGTGGTCGGTCATTGGATGGGTGACCAAAAATTTACTATCTCGAGCCTCCGTGCTTCGGAAGGCACGTTAAGCCGTTGGCTGCATCTGCAGTCGTTAGCACCCGCCAATCCGCACTGGGCCCGCGTGGTGGGTCATGGCCCAATCTCCCTATTCCATCCCAAGGCAAGGCCTGTGACCCAGCATTGGGGAACTTAAAGGCCGATGATGATGATGAATAATAAATAAAACAAATATTATAATGTTACGGGCTTGTCCGAAATAAAATTATACACGTTAAGGGCATTTTCTCACCTATGTCCTTTGATTTATGAACTTTGGTGCAAGGGGGTTTAACATGAAGTGGAATTAGAATTAGAATTTATTTGTTGGAATTGCGTTCAAGTGGAATTAATCAATACATATTATCTCCACGTGACAGGTATGGGTGAACTCCACCTAGAGATAATAAAGGAGCGAATAATCCGCGAGTACAAAATCGACGTGGAGCTGGGCGATCTGCAGATAGCTTACCGGGAAGCGTTAGTAGGACAGGGTAGGCACACGCTATCCGTCGATAGGAAGATAGGAAGTGCGCGACAGCAAGTCAAAATCACCCTATCAGCCAAGAACTTGAAGGTGCCGCAGGATAAGGTTTTCAGGTCAGTATTCGAAGTTTAGGCAATGAATAACTTTATATTCTTTCCCGATAAGAATAGGTATGATGACGGGGTACGGTAAACGAAATTCTATTTAGTCCGTCAGTTAGATGATCAAAAAATAATGGACACGTATTTTTTCTTTGGGAAATCAACCAAAAAATGACAAAGTTATAGCGCGTCAAAGTTTGGGAGTAGGGGCTCGTGACGTCACTTTTGAGTGAATTTTCACTTATAAGTATATACTCAAACGTGACGTCTTGCCACTTTTCAAATCAATATACCTCTGCAATGTTTATATTATGTGAAAAAAGAAAAAATACGTGTCCAATACTTTTGATAATCTACCTGATAAACGAAGAAAAAAAAATAGTCATCATCCCTATTGCTATCTAGAGCTCCTCCGTGCTTCGGAAGGCTAGTTCCGAGTTCCGAGAAGTTAAAAGTCCTTTCACATTTTTTGCAAAAAATCTTAATTTTTGAGCGTCTTGTTTTACTCCCTTAGAAAAGATTTTAACTATTTCCAATAGAAGTAAACAGTGGATTTATTCTTCTTATTGTCAGTTAAGGTAGAATATTTGCAAATACTTTTTTCTTTTTTTTATACTGATCGTGCTACTGCAGCTAGTTTACGGAAAAAACATTAAACGCCTCAATCTCTCATTAATGTTCAATAAATTAGATCAAATTAATTACTATGACATCAGAAATATGTTTTTGTTGTAACATAATGGGTAAGAATTTTGATTTTCCATCTCAAAAATTATCAAAAAAAACATATAACCTCCGTGAGTTTTCCCAAAAAATAATGCAGGTTTACCTCGTATTTTGATATTGAATTAAATAGAATTACTATCAAAAAACTAATCTACTATCATTGAACTACTGAAATATGTATATATTTTTATAATTAGCTCAATAATAGTTATTTTATAAGACTCGAAACATCACCCTTAAAATGCAATATATACCTACTAGTGCAAATCTACCTACGCGCCGATCAGTATGGCAGCGGCGTTTTTTTATAAAAGGGCTCTTAAGCCGTTGTTCCTGGCTGCGTCTGCAGTCATTGGCACTCGCCAATCCGCACTGGGCCCGCGTGGTGGATCACGGTTTGATCACCCTATTCCATTCATAGGGAAGGCCTGTGCCCCAGCAATGAGGACAATAATAGGCTGACAATGATGATATAAGCACCAACCTTCCTAATTTGAATAAGAGCTTCATCATAATTCCACCACCATTACACAGTAATATTATCTATACAGTATTATGACTCGGCCTGTCCTTGAAATAACTGCCTACGGCCGAGCGGGGCGTATCCACGCGGTAGGGCTGCCCGCCTACAGTATTTTAATTTCATCTACATAATTGAGTTTCTTTCTAGTTTTATGATAGTAAATATTTAATTTCATATGTAAAAAAATGTTGTTAATGAATTAGGAAGTGTTACATAAAATACATGTTATTTATAGATTTAAGACAGAAAAATATCACGAAAAGCCTTATTATTAAATTTAATAGTATATTAAATACGCATTCGTATAAAAAGTTAAATTATTGAAGAGTTCAAGCAACCAAAACCAGCACAATATTGACTATTGCTCTTTGCCATATTAAATTATGTAGGTATCTACTTAATTCAATCAAATATTCACAATAAAAACGTTAAAGTACGGCTAACTGCTTAAAAACAATTCGACACCGTTCGATCGTCGCTGCGGCGCATTTGCGACTGGATGCCCACCGGGTGACGCGCGAACTCGAGTGGCGTAAGTATGACACGCTTTCCAACCGTTTTTATGAAGATAGAATACTGTATAGATAATATTACCGTGTTATTAATGTCCCCACTGCTGGGGCACAGGCCTTCCTTATGGATGGAAAAGTGAGATTGGGCCGTGACCGACCACGCGGGCCCAGTGCGGATTGGTGGGTGCTAACGACTGCAGATGCAGCCAGGACCAACGGCTTAACGTGCCTTCTGAAGAACGGTGGAGCTCAAGATAGGAAATTTTTGGTCACCCATCCAATGACCGACCACTACGAAATTTGCTTAACTTCAACGATCGCAGTCGAACGCGCTAACCACTTGCGCCATTGAGCTCCTCAACCTATATTGCAGTTTAAATATTGGTAAACTTTTACCAATAATTCTCACCTATTTACCTAAACGATTTAAATTTGTGGGTAGGTTGGATAAGTCACCGGACAGTGCTGCCAACCTGGCACACCTCCACCCACGCCACCTGGCGGCGATGAAACGAGGCGTCGATACAGCCATACAACATGGGCCTAAACTGGGCTGCCCGGTAAATATTATAAACTACACTCAACGATATTAAATACCCTAGATACACCAACACGAACAAAATCTTGCCCGGAACCTGTCCAAAAGGTACATTGGACGATCCACGTAGCTCCGTAAGATGATCGCGTTGTCAAAAATAATATAAGGCATTATTTAAACATGGAAAGTCACCTTTAATGCCTACTGTATAAGGTCTTAATGAAAACGCAGGCGTCAAAGAGTTGTGACAGTTCGAAATGCAAATTCGTAAAATTTTACGACTTGTTGCTGTATGCGGAGCAATATAGACCTTATTTCTTTGACTCGACGCGCAATTTTGAATGCCCTGTTAGCAATACAGAAGGTACGGAGCGCGAGGAAAAGCGATGGCTGTATAACCGACCAGGCATTTGAATATCACAAATATTTCTATTAAATCAGTTTATACTAAGTATTAGAACAAAATTTGCCTCAAATGCGTTAAATTATCTAACGTCGATTAGATACCTATCGAAAAAACGACACTTCACATACTATAAATATTTTTTTAGCATTTTTTCACGGAGCTCCGCGGCAACTTGACTTTTCAACGGTCCGCGCGTGACTGTGAACCAAGAAGTGCTTGAGTGGCGTTCAAGCACTTCTTGATTGGGACACAATTCGAGCGCACGTGGTGTATCTAGGGTATTTAATATCGTTGACTACACCCTAATAGGTTTTATGATGTGAAACATCTTTTGGCGCACGTAAAACCGATTTCTGGCGTGGCGAAGCTCGCCCGTAAAATGTATTATATACCAGTGCTCAACAACTCGCCGATCAGTACGGCGCCAGCGCCCTTCGAGGCAGGACCTATGTAATTTTTTACCGCACGCATCCCGAGCATCCGAGTGTATTTATCGTAAAACTGGAGGGCCGGCATTATAGTTACTGTATAAATTGAAATTTATGTAATGTATGTGTTAGTCATTAATTAGAATTGTATTCCGTTATATGTATAATTGTGTTCTTTGATTTGTTATTGTCTCACTTATTCCGGCATTCGCAAATCACATTTGCCATAAGGCGCTGGCTGAAAATCAGCGCTGCTGTGGTATCGCGAAGGCGGTTACCACACAGTATAGCTGAGGCAGCGCCCTATTGGCCTTCCACGGCACGATGTTTTTATTTATTTTTTATCTTTTATCCTTATGTTGTTTCACTATTAAATAACCATTTGTATTTCTAAATTAATGCTGTGAAGGCTAATAAAATGTTTTTCTTTCTTTCTTCTTTTGTTTCTTTCTAAAACGGCTAGTGTTTCACATCTGCCAGGCGTCCCGTGACAGCTCACATTATCTTTTAATACAATGTTGTCGATTCTGGCGTGATTCTGTAAACCTAAATTTAAATTAGACAACACTGTATCCTTGTTATTCTCTATACAGAGAGAAAAGGAGAGACTGATGTCAAAGTTGTTCAAATTTTAGATAATCATGTCAGAATTGACATTCTTGTTTAGCTATTAACGTAGAAAGTTAAAATTTTCATTGATTTTATTATATTTTTTTAATGTTAAAAGCACAGAACACAGAAAGAGGTTAGAATGGCCTTGTGGGCGGGGCAGGCGCGTCACAGTTATGAGCAAATGCTCATAACTTGACCGTAACGTCCGATCGCGTCGTTTAGTTGCCCGCGACCGCTCAGTACGAGAGTATTGTGATTACCGCTTAAAATATGCCTTCGTGTGCCGTAATTACTTGCAAAGTAAGGAGTCAATCATCAAATCTACCTAAAGCAGGAATTTCTTTTCATCGGTAAATATAAAACTTCTTAGTTAGACTGATATTTTAGCAAAAATTCGAGAAATTTTGATAAAACGATAAATCACATATATATTTCCACAAAAATATACATTGCTGACAAAGTACGCTCGCTATTCTTTCTACGACATTCAAAACACGTAACGTAGTACGATCGAGCAAGAATGACGCGTGGATCACAGAGCGCTCCACGTGGCCGCACGCAGTACAAGGTCATTGCATCTACTTTAGTGGTGTCTTGCGTCGTACATTTTAGATTTTCGATAGATTTTATCGACTGAATTTTAGCACCTAATAATGGAATTAAAGTTACTTTTAGAAATAAATAAAAGCTGATTGTGAATGTTTATCATACATCATATCATTAATATTATAAAGGCGAAAGTTTGTGAGTGTGTATGTTTGTTACTTCTTCACGTCTAAACGGCTGGAGCGTTTTTAATAAAATTTGGTATGGAGTTAGCTGACACTCTGGATTAACACATGCGCTACGTTGAACTGCGGGAAAATATCCAGATCATTGCCTAGCCACACTTGAACTTGATAATACACACGACACAAGTGTTGAAAGGCAGAAGCAGATGTTGGAGGCAGACAATACCACTGTACTGTTTTACTGTTCCATGCAGATTTATATCCCATAGTAGGCCTCAGAAAGATATTATAACAGTTATTGTGGTACTTAGCTTTAGCAGCAACTAAGTTATACTCAATATGTAAAATATGAATTTTCTAATTATTAAAACAGCGATATCTCACGAATGGTGTGTCGTGAGAGAAAAAGTGACTGGACCAGTTTTGTAGAGAATTGTATGATCTTCAACTTTAGTCAGAGCTATTTTCACGATAAAAGTTACCGTTTTCGAGAAAAATGGAAAGAACCATAATTTTGTAAGTTTGACCTTGAATATTTTTTTGCAGAAGTAGGATCGAAGGAGATTTTAGACATTTTATTTATAATGATGTATTTAATTTCTCCGCCAATTTTCAGCTCTATGCAAATTATCCCTAAGTTATGACTTATTTTTGTCTATTTGGACTGGACTATAGAGAGAATTAACTTGTCCACACAGTCAGTAGAAAGAGATTGTAAAGAGCCATCTGAAAACGAAGAGGATGAAGATGTAGATTTTACTGATTTCAGTACACAATGTGGTTCATTTCCTTATAAAAAAAAACTAATGCGATATTTGCCTTGGAGCCCTAATATCAGATTCAAGTAATAATTAACATAAATTTATTTCGTTAAAAGATAAAGGTGGCCTGATATATCCGGCCGTGGTGATGTTATAAAAATATGCAAAAGTGCAGAAACTGTAATACGACAACATGCAGATAATTTGAAAAATGTCAAAAAAGAAATTTTAGTCCAAAAAATATAAAAAAAGTTTATTGGCACTTCATTATTTGATGAAATATCATTTTATCAAGTCGGTGAATTCCCATTATCTAACCACGTAACAGATTCAATTAAAGTGGTAATTGAAATATATATATATATATAAATATATTTCTTTTGAAAAATAACTTTAAAAAAGAAACAAAGCGTCACCTTTCTCATAAATATATATTGTTTAAAGGTCAATAGATAACTATCTGTAGTAATGCGGCTTACATTAAATCATTTTCTTTATCTTTACTGACTTTGACAGGATACAAAAAATTCCATACAATCAAGTCCAACTCGCACTTGGCATATTTAATATCGATAATATTTCATCGATTCAGTGACAACCACTAGAGCTAAAATCGGTGTGAACGAATGAACGCTCACAGTCACGACTGTGCGATTCGATGAGCGCTGATTCGTTCGGTTGCTTGATGTCGCGTCGTTTGATTGGCTTATTATCTATTAGGTGGAAGTGTAGTGGGGACGAGCCGGCGACATCGGTTCTCACACTGGCGATCGCTTATCGCCCTTCTAACCTCTTTCTGTGTTCTGTGGTTAAAAGGGTGGCCAGCTAGCCTATCGCCCACCTGATGGCAAGCGGCTACTATAGCTTATAGACGCTTGCGATAAAAATAAAATTTTATGCCCTGAAGAATTATAAAATTTTATTGTGTTCTTAATATTCTTTCGACCTTAGCAATAGAAATTGTTATGCATGTAATTGAAATAAGTTTTTTTTATATGACATTAAAAAAAATATTTGAATTAGTGGATAGTATAGGTATAAATTCTTTCTATTGTCAGGTTATAAAAATAAATGAAAAACAACTTAAATTCAGATTTAAACACAATAATTCTACTTATCAAAAGAGTTCATAATGGAGTTTATCGCTCATGTTACAGCATTTTTGTCGCTCATGAACTGGAGTCGCGCCCTATGTAGATCTATTTGTTTCTTCTACAACGATTCACGCCTGCTGACTTGCTCCGCCCCTTTTCCTACCACTGATCCTGGTCGCGCTTATCAGTCGCTCGAAATGAATTGTTAGTTCAGTTGATGGCCAGCGTATGGTACTGCTGGACGTTTTTACAATTTAATAAACAAATTAATGATGTTCGTATGCTTTGAATTAACTTTTTTGCAGTGATGTTGGTACGATGTGTGCGAAATTGTGTCTTATATTGAATTTAACTATTCTATATCATGATTTATTGGTTTGTAGTGTCCAGGTAGGTTTAATATTGTAATTTTAATAGATTTGTATTATCTGTGTTTACCTACCTTCTAATGTGAGCATAAAAATTCAAATGTTATATTTTAGTCCTTATTTTCATTTTTTGGTAAAATTTAGTATTGGTTTGTTATAATATTGATAAAAATGCACTCGGACATATTTTTTGTTTTGAAATTACCTTCGATGGATTTTAAATTGTGGATATTTTTGTCTCATTTTAATTTTCTCTCTATACAGATTGTTTTAATTAATTTTATACATTGATAGGAACACTGTTTCATATTATACGGGAATGGGCGTTAATTCTGCAACACAGTTTTTGTAAAACTAAAGCAGTTTTAACGATTCATAATTTTATGTACATTTGCACTTGTTCCAAATAAAGTTATTATTATTATTATATTATTATTATATAAAAACTCTTATAACTTGTGGGAAATTCAAATATCTGAGACGCGACAGAGCGGATGTGACTTAGAAATACATACAAACAACGTACCCAATTTCAAATGTAAGAATATTATAGTTGTTTTAACAGAAGAATTGCCAAGTTAGAATTCGATTCGTAATTTGAGCTTTATGATGTATGATTTAAGAAACAATTTTGCTTGCTCGTAGTTGGTGGACGTGCAAGTGACACTGCACTGGTTTGAAGTTGGTCGCGGAACTTCGGACTCCGTCATCACCGCCACAGCAGCGCAGTGTTTGCGAAAGGTAAGGCGTTTATTTTATGCAACAAATTTGAAATAATGTAGAATACAAACTGCGCTAAAAAGTGGTTCCACGCAAACTGAGATTAAGTGGGCAGGGCGAAAAAATGCGATCAACACGTCGATCATGTGATTGTTTGGGATTTCCGTTTAACAGTATCTTACCTAATAAATGGATAGGCGAATTCAGTTGCAGATATTTGATTTGACTTTTCTGTGATTTTATTGGTTAAAGTTTTTTGTTTTGTTACCAGCAAAACAGGATATACAACAACAAGTAGAATACAAGCACACTACACAATATGGAGAGACAAGCAAGACCGTAATAAATAAAAAAAAACATGTATTAAAAATTTAATTAAGAGACATGTTGTTCGGCCGGAAGCCGGTGCCTGTCTCCAACAATGTCTCAATTTCCCAACTCTGCAAACTTTTATCTTTACTAGAAAATAACCTGTAATATGATGACTTATTTTCTTTTCTTCTAAAAATATTGGACACGTATTTTTTCTTTTTTCACATAATATAAACATTGCAGAGATATATTAATTTGAAAAGTCACATGACTTCACGTTTTGGTACAATTTCCACTTAAAAGTGTCGTCACGAGCCCCTACTCCTAAATTTGACGTGCTATAACTTTGTCATTTTTTGGTTGATTGCCCAAAGAAAAAATACGTGTCCATTATTTTTTGATCATCTAACTGGCGGACTAAATAGAATTTCGTTTACTGTACCCCGTCGACACCCCTCTTATAGCGCGATTATACTTGGTCGTTAGCCCAAATACGAGTGCCAATAGAATAATTCGGGTAAACGACTAAAAGTAAATGAACAGAGTCGATTACTCGGGTAGATTTCCTTTTAGTTACCCGACACCATCTACTATAGTCTGTCCATTCTATTATTATCTTTTTGACAGATCGATCGAAATAAAAATAGTGACACCCTATCACATAACTCGTTCGATTTAAAGCTATAATCGATTTAATGCTAGAACATTGTTTAATCGATTATAAGTATCGAATATATTTTAGATATAAAAAATACTGTTGTTTAATAAATTATTACAAAATCTCATTAGATTTATTATTTTACCTAGTACAAATATTTGTGTGATGAACACGACTATTTGTTCTGTGTCTGGGTGTGATTTATATACATTATGTGTATATATATAGGGTGAAATTGAATGTTTCTATGAAACTTCGTGAGATTGTTGGGTTATGTGTATAGAGTATGCCTGTCTTTTTTCGGATTTTTTTGAAGTATATTTTTTTCATGTATTTATTTATAATTTGTGTATTTTTATGTCCCTTCCTCGTTTTGAGTACTTAATTCATTTTAAACAAACAAACTTACATATCCAGTGAAAAACAACTAATAAATAAGCACTTCTAAAAAACGGAAAAACATTGAAATTCCACCGCGGGTCAACGACCGACCGCGCCCGCCAGCCGTTGAGTAAGTAGCTACCTAACTCTACACAGAGCTCAACTGACTCGTTTGATTCCACACAATAGGTACAATAAAATCGTCTTAGATGCCTTTATTGAAATTGAAATAATAAGCACAAATGTCATCTTTTCTTAAGCAGAGAAAAACTTTAAAAGTTAATAATAATTTTGTCACGATTGGAAATAGGCAAATGTTAAACAAAAAGAAATACTTATTGCTTAATACCCCAAGAATGAAATTTATAACCAGGTATTCAAAAGTACTTACGAGACCGGCGATTTAGGTAGGTACAACGAGGAACGAGGAACATATTCATTTTTTTCACTAGAACTTTTTATCAAATCAATCACACTGGTAGTACACAATTAGTTGTTTCTAATCAAAAAGTATTTACACTAGCAATAAAAAGAGACTTAAATTATTATCTGCAAATTGTTGCTCTAAACCACAATTTTGCTGCAAACAAAGGTAGGCATGTTTGCGGACGTGTCTTTTCACCTTTTTTAAAGTGTCCCTATCACTACTGACTGCACAAAATGCAACTTCTATGGTTTAGGGACTCATTCGTAAACCAAACCTACTTCGTCACACTCGCGATAGCAGTACACCATCTCTAAATATTCTTGGTTTGTATACCGAGGCATAATGAAATTATCACAGTCACCAAGTCAAAAGATGCGCACGCTCACGCGCGATTGATATACTTGCGACTGCGTTTTGCATGCAATCAAAGCAAACGTCCGCGTGCGGGGAAGAGGGGAGGTGGGCGGAATTCACATCATCAAAGACGCCGCAACCGGCGCTAGTTGCCAGCGTGCGGCGCGCCGCAATATTATTATTATGTGTGTGTGTGTGTGTATGTGTGACTGTGGCTGTGATTAAATGTGTTCGGAATTTCATGACGTGGGCAAATCAGACACGAAGAGTTCCTTCCTTCACTAAGCTCGTAAGTTATACCGATTTGCTCTTAATTTTAAGAAGATTTATTTTATTGATTAATTACTGTGCTTTATGAAATAATATTCAAAGGTATTGTGTATCAGTGAATAAATAATTATAATATAGCATCTAAGACTATTTTATTGTATTGTTTTTAAATAGTGTGGATCAAAGCGAGTAGGTAAGCGCCGAGTCATCTGTGCGTGTAGTTAGGTACCTACAGGCGGCCGCCGGTCGTCGCCCCGACCGGCGCTGATCTCGACTGGAGGCATAATGAAGGCATTCATTAAGTTTCCGTTTTTTTAGTAGTGCTTATTTTAAGTTGCTTTATAACTACTATGTAGACGTGTTTAAAATGAATAATTACTCATAAGGAAGAAATGACAAAAAAATAACCAAATAAAAAATTAAAAAACGAAAAAAAATATTTTAAAAAATCCGAAAAAAATCAGGCATACTCTATACATGTAACCCATCAATCTCACGAAGTTTCATAGAAACATTCAATTTCACCCTGTATATACAACAAAAAAAGCAGTATACTTTTTATATGTTTGTTTATCCTAAAACTAATACTCCGTACAATTAGATTTATGGATTATTATTAATAATTTCATTTAAAAAAAGGTTTATAAAAAAACTGTATCTTTGTCTTTTTCTTTACAATTTGGTTGTACTCATTTATTTCTACCGATTATTTGTAATCTGTGGCACAATCTTAATAATCATTATGTGCAGCACATCACTAAGTGGGCGGTACCAGTCCATGAAGTACAATATTATTTGTATAACATTTTAACGTAAACAATACAAAATTTCATGGGCGTCGATCTGTCAAAAAGATAATAATAGAATGGACAGACTATAGAATACGGGGTATTCCATCGTAAATATTGTTTCGGTACCCACATTTGAGTAATATCTTTCGTGTTGCTTATTCTACCTACCTAACTTCTCATACACAGGTGTTTGAAGAGGCGGATTCCGTTCTGCTCGAGCCGATGATGTTACTTGAGGTAGTTTGCCCTGAGAGCCACTCGGGGAGAGTGCTCGCTGATCTCAATCGACGACGAGCCAATTTACGACACGTTACCATCAGACAACAAAACAAGGTATAAATATTAAAGTTAACACATAGATTACAATTTCTTTTTGAGAATACGATGGGTATTTATGAAAAATAGCCAATGTCACATCAAACATTGGTCAAACGTCTCTATCTCTATCCGCCCGCTTACGTCTATGCATCCCCCCGCTTACATCTATGCATCCTCCCGCTTACGGCTAATCATCCACCCGCTTACTTATTGCCATCCACCCGCTTACAGCTAATCATCCACCCGCTTACGTTATACCATCCATCCGCTTACGTGTATCCATCTCCCCGCTTACGTCTTACCATCCACCCGCTTACGTCTTACCATTCCCCACTTACGGCTAATCATTCACCCGCTTACATTAAACCATCCACCAGCTTGCGTCTATCCAGCTCTGCGCTTACGTCTAACCATCCACCCGCTTACGTCTTACCATCCACCCGCTTACGTCTTACCATTCCCCGCTTACGGCTAATCATTCACCCGCTTACATTAAACCATCCACCAGCTTGCGTCTATCCAGCTCTGCGCTTACGTCTAACCATCCACCCGCTTACGTCTTACCATCCGCTCGCTTACGTCGTACCATCCACCCGCTTGCGTTTAACCATCCACCCGCTTACGTCTTATCATCCATCCGCTTAAGTTAAACCATCCACCTGCTTACGTATATCTATCTCCGCGCTTACATCTAACCATCCAGCCGCTTACGTCGTACCATCCACCCGCTTACGTCAATTCATCCATCTGCTTACGTTTATTCGTTCACCCCTTTACCGTCTTTAAATCCGTTCAACCACTTAAATTTTGTCAACCCGCTTATGGCTCGTTAACCACCCGCTTAAATATATCTTTAACCCGCTTATAGTTTGATTTTCACCCGTTGACATTTATCTTCAACCCGCTGTTGGCTTACTGTCCACCTGCTTATTTACATCTAGTCGTCTATCCGCTTACGTATACCCGTCCACCCGCTTAAATTTAACCGTTCACCCGCTTACGTTTATCTGTCCACCCGCTTGCGTCTATCCTTCCACCCGTTTACGTCCTGGGATCGAAGAAGACTAAAATGACGTTACACACTAGTAAACTTCCGGTCAAAGTGACATCACATTGTTTCGTTTTACGTTGTAATGACAGTCCTGTGACGTCACACACCAGTGAGATACCATAGCATCCAAAGGAATGTTTTCGCGGCAACCGCTTTTTTTATTGAAAAACACAGCAGAGTGATGAATATCTACTTTTTAAAAACTCCATAAACATTAGTAAATGACGTGAGATCGTTTTTTAAATCTTGTCAATTACACAAGCTATCTTTGCAAGTGGTCTCCACATTTACCACCTAGTGGCATCTATTCTTCAGTTAATCTAATAATATAAAATTCTCGCGTCGCGGTGTTTGTGGTTAAACTCGTCCGAAACGGCTTTCCCGATTCTCATGAAATTTTGTGTGCATATTGGGTAGGTCTGAGTATCGGACAACATCTATTTTTCATCCCCCTAAATGTTAAGGGTAATCCACCCCTAATTTTTTTTTTCAATTTTAGATATTTTTTTTATGTTTTTTTATGATACAGCATTAGTTATACTTAAAACCCTGAATTTTCAATCCTTTACAATCAACCCCTATTTTTTTATGGCGGTACGAAGTTCGCTGGGTCAGCTAGTTTTCTATAAAAAAGTGTTGACTCAGATGTTAATGATGATTGAACAGGTGATCGAGTGCCTGGCCCCGCTCTCAGAACTACTGGGATACTCGTCAACGTTACGTTCCCTGAGCTCTGGTCTGGCGTCCTTCACCATGGAATTCCATTCCAACCAACGCATGACGCCCACGGACGAACATAATGCCATCAAACGAGTAACCGGGTTTAGCGCATAATCTCTCTCATGGCAGTAGCAATGAAATCGCCAGTACTTTGAGACGTCAACTTAAAATTCCTTTTTTAAGTGACAAGCAGGATAATATTTGTTTCTTAGGTTTTCACGCACATCACTCATTAAATAAAACTAGTTTTTACGGGTTAATGCACGAAACTTTATTTATTTATTGACGTTTCGCAGCCTTTTCAGGTCTGCATCGTCAGAATGAAAAGGCTGCGAAACGTCAATAAATAAATAAAGTTTCGTGCATTAACCCGTAAAAACTAGTTTTATTTAAGCAGGATAATGTTATAAAAGAGTCTTCAGCGTATAGTAGACCTTGATTCTGTGATGATAAGAACGATGATGCCTTGCTGCTATACTCCTCAAGACTACATTCCCTGAGCTTTTGAATGACGCCCGATAACGAAAACAATGTCATCAAACTACGGATTTAGCGTATACATTTAAAGGGCAATTATGTCCTTATAGAAATATCGAGAAGAGATAAAATTATTTGTCGGGTCATCACTGCGAACCATAAGCTCCGATCTCGCGATTTCAGTCATGGGGTTCCAATCCAATCAAATATAAATATACTCTTGGACCAATATTAGGCACTGTGGATACGCTCTGTTGTTGTTTGTTACACAGGAACTTAATTCAATTTTAGTCCAGGGGGCCATTCGCCTAACGGAAATGCTTTGAATAACGTTAACGCTTACGATTTTATTTTGTTATTTCTAGCCGCCTGAAGTTTTCAAATGCCTCGCGCTCTTTTTTTTTTCTTTTGCATTGGTAATAACAATAATAGAGCGTGGGGCATTTGAAAACCTTCGGCGGTCAGAAATAACAAAATAGAATCGAAAGCGTTAGCGTTTTCCAAAGCATTTCCGTTAGGCGAATGGCCCTCAGATCCTGGACTATCTATGTGCTTAATTACGTCCACATTCGTGCAACCGCTAAATAGGGTGAAACAGTCTATGCAAGTAGTTTACTGACTGGTTCTATGAATCCGTACTCCTAGGGAAAATCTACTACAATTAAAGCCTTGCCTGTCCGTACATCTGTTAGCGGTTTCATGAACTGTAATAGGTAGATTACTAGGACGCTGTAAACGCCGGTGACGCTGTAAAGGTCATCTACGACCAACAGCATACACACTTTTAAATAAAAGGTAGTTTATTTTATTAATAAATTTGCAACTGGCTAGTGCAACTATACAAGAAACATTAAGAAAGCTTTAAAACGTCTGCAGCTGTTCAACTCAGAGCTAAATCTTGTTCAATGGCACAGAACCCTTCTTTGGCGAGTTAAAAACGATGACTTAAGAAATATTAATTCATTGAAATACCACACTAGTAGAATTTTTGACAATACTTTGATTTTTATGTCATTTACGTTGTAATGTTTGTCATTTTAGAAGAAATGTTATATCAAATGAAACTGTGATGTGTAATAGGTACTGCCGTCGTAACTAAAAGGGCAAAAGTGCATTTTTGTGAAATTTTTAAACTGTATTTCAGAGTAATATTAGTTGTGCCCTTTTTCATTATGAAGGCAGAATAGTAGTTAAGAGTTATTTTTTGTTTGTTATGTATAAAAGTTTTTGCTAACACTACTTAGCTGGAATCACTAATACTTTAGAACAATACTACTACTGCGACATTAAGAATATGCATAGGAAATTTTCAATGCAGTCATTAAAGATTACAAGTTTGAGGAAAAAATGAATATCCTATACGAATAATGTGATTAAATCGAGGCTCCGTATTTGGACACAATTTGACATTCATAGTATTGGTCTCCATCATCAGCCTATGAATGTCCCCACTGCTGGGGTACAGGTCTTCCCTATGGATGCAATAGGGAGATTGGGCCATGACCCACCACGCGGACCCAGTGCGTATTGGCGGGTACTAACGACTGCAGCTGCAGCCGGGACCAACGGCTTAACGTGCCTTCCGAAGCACGGAGGAACTCGAGATAGAAGATTTTTGGTCACCTATCCAATGACCGACCACTGCGAAAGTTGCTTAACTTCAACGATAGCAGCCAAACGCGCTAACCAACCGCGCCATCGAGCTCCTCCTGCCATGACATCAGTATTGGCCTCATGCCGAAGCAATTAAAGCGATGTTCTCTATGCAAATGTATCTATTCTTTGGGCCTTGTACTGTTGACAACACTCCAGTTTACCACAGGGTAACATTTTCTTCATCGATTATGAATCTTAAATCAAGCTAGATAAAGTTCAAGGTCAGTTGGAGGACCTTTACATTGTTGTATAACTTGTGTCGTTGACTGTGTAAGCTTTAAAATATTGTATTCAAAAGAACATACATCTATACTAGGAGGAGGTTGCGAACAAAACGGTATAATTACGTATCTGGTCAAACTAAATTTTCTGTACAGTCTTGGGGGTTTCGGCCCCGTTGAATTTGAATCTCAAATAATTTTCAATCAAAGACCCCTAAAACAGTGTTAAAATTACTAAATTTATAAATTGAAAACCATGCCAAAAACTCACTGGAGGAATGTCATTCAGTTTAATACAGCTCCTGTAAATTTTAATTTTATGTAATTATACCGTTTTGTTCGCCACCTCCTCAGATATAATGGTATATAAAATACAATAAAAATCAGTTTTAAAACCAGAAACAATGTATATTTATTTCATGAAACATCGAACATGTCGAGTAAGAATGCATTCTGAAGGTACATGTACAATATACATAGGAATCAATAAATATTTAATAAAAGTGCAATTGTTTAAATATCACACATAAGCACATCTTATAAATACAATATTTGGAATTAAGGCTTGGCGGCCAAACTAGAGACAGACATTTTTAGGGTTCCGTAGCCTAATGGCAAAAAACGGAACACTTATACATTTATCATGTCCGTCCGTATGACACAGCCACTTTTTTTAATTTCGATACTTCTCTAAAGGCCAATTTTAATGTTATCTCCCTTGATCCCAATAGACCATATTATATTTGCGTTAATTAGTTCTAAATTATAATAGGCTATTTGGTAGTAAGAAAAATAATGTACCAATTGGTGCAATCTGTGTTTAATATAAAATATTAGCAGCGATTTTACTATTGTGAAAGAACAAATAATAAATAAATTCTTAAAATCATTAAATAGAAATGTTTTTTTGCGCTCCATGGTCACGTGACGAAAAACGTCTGGGCTTGGTCAAGGCTAAAAATGACGTCACACGCTAGTAAAATTCCGGCCAAAGTGACATAACATTGTATCGTTTTAATGACAGTCGTATGACGTCACACACTAGTGAGACGCCATACTGTACAGAGAAATGTTTACGCGACTATTTGAAAAATTAAAATTATAATTTAGTTTTTTTACTGAATTGCGCAAAAGAATTATATCACTTTTTATCGACTCTATAAACATTAATAAATAACGTGTGATAGTTTTCTGATACTTGTTAAATACCCTTTTGTTGCTAAGTAACATAACTAGATTAACGGCCGGATTCAATAATCAACTTCCAGCAAAGGGTAAGAACAATCTGGTTCCGTTGATAAACACCTTGGCAACATTTGTTATTATGGTCATAATAATAAAAATATCGGGGTAACAAAGCTCTAGTAGACCTCTTACTGCAGTTTTATTATCAAAAAGGGCCGTAAACTTCCCCTTTACTGGTGGTTGATTTATTAAATATAAGCCACAGAATACTGAAAGAGGTTAGAAGAGTGATTATAGACTGTTTGTCGCCGGCTCGCCCCCACTACATTTCCACATTAGGGGCTGTTCAAGTATTACGTAAGCACTATAGGGGGCAGGGGGTCTTTGCTTTGCTTATTTTTGATGACATGGGGGGGTGGGCTAAGAGATGGTGATTACGTCAGCATCGTCGATTAAACCTTTTTAAGTACTGCTCATGAAGCTCAAAAGCTCATGAATCAATAAAAAAAACAGAATACATTAAAGGAAAAATGCATTTAGGTACCAATGTTTACGTAAGGATGGGGGACATACTTGAACGACCCCTTATAGATTATAGCCAATCAAACGACATGACATCAAACAATAGAACCAATGAACACTCACACCCGAGAACGACGACGCAATCAGAACCAAGTTTTGGTCAAGTTATGAGCACTTGCTACACACACCGTGGCGCGCCTGCCCCGCCCACAAGGCCCTTCTTACCTCTTTCCGTGTTCTGTGATACGGTCAATAGTAACATGTTGTCTGATTTTGCTGATCTCAAAGTTACAGGCAACTTCAAACCAGACTTAAAAATATACTTATCTCTCAGTGCAGCATGAGGTTAAATATATTTTATGTTCGTTAGTTAATTTCCTGTGTGCCCTGCCCCCAATTTCAATAGTTGTACCCGTCCTGTAAACCTATTCGCCAACTGCTTTTGACATATGGAAGCGATAATCACAGAGCTATTTAGTCATTCATTAGTGCTTTATTATTACGCCTCTAAGATACTTTTTCTTGAAAAGCATCGATGGATACATAATTTTCTCTTTAGTTACACACTGTTAATGTCCAAAAAGTTAGCGATTAGGCAGACTGATCATGAAATCGGTTCCCCCTAGCACGAACCAATATCGAATTCGAATAGTTTGCGAGTCCGAAATGACATTGTCAAATTTTGTATGAAACTTGAACAGCAGCGCCGTCGCGGAGCAACGGGCGTAAAGAGAACTAAAAATCAGTACACATTTGACAATGACACTTCGCACACGCTAACTATTCGCATTCGATATCGGTTGGTGCTAAGGGTACTGATCAAATCATCAATCACCAGATCACGAAGAAACGAAATTAATTAAATTGATTCAAACTCTGGAGATCCATTGGCCACATCTATGATAGCTGTAGGTTTTTTATCATAAGGCAGAACCTCGAGTAAAATGGATTTTAAGATATCAAAGAGACTGTTATTAATTAAAAAAGACTCATTGTCACTTCTGCCCCTCTAGCATGACCACCGAAACGGGATATGATAAAGCTATATATATCCCGTTTTGGTGTCATACAATCGAGTTTGACAATAGTCTGACAGTTAATGCCGACATATCGCTTTATCATATCCCGGTTCGGTGTCATACAGTAGAGTTTGACAGTAGTCTGACAGTTAATGCCGACATATCGCTTTATCATATCCCGGTTCGGTGTCATACAGTAGAGTTTGACAGTAGTCTGACAGTTAATGCCGACATATCGCTTTATCATATCCCGGTTCGGTGTCATACAGTAGTTTGACAGTTAATGCCGATATATCGCTTTATCATATCCCGTTTCTGTGGTCATGCTAGAGGGGCTGAAATATCTATAGAAAAAAATATATTAATAATGTCTCTTAATTTGCCGGGGTTTTTGGTCAAACGTACAGCAGTTAAAATTGATCTTTCACTTTAAGGGTATAGTTAAGCGGCAAACATAAATCCTGTTATTAATAAACGTAGAATAAGCTTGGATTAGTTACTTCATATTTTGTCTCTATTCATTGGATTCCAAATGGCATTTGAGTGATATGAACAAAACATGGCGTAACTATTCTAATGTTATTCCTCGTTAATTAACGGTTGGGCTATAGTAAAACCATAGATAAATATGTTTTATACGCCAAAATTGGTACTGCGTAGGGTTCGTTGTCTAAATTGTATGCTCAAGATATTTGCCGGGATATAACAACCGACTTTCGCGCCGGTCTGCTAGTCAGCGGACACCTTGAACAAGTTGCCCAGTTCGTCGAGCAGCGTCTCGTGCCGGAAGGAGATGCGTATGTCGGGCACGTTGGTGCGAGTGATGTCGTTACCGCACGGGCCGTCCTCCTGGTAATCGGCGCCCACCCAGTACTGCTTCATCTGGGAACGACGAAGGAAGAAAATATTACTAGAAAAAAAACCACGCGGACCAGGCAACAGACGGGACTCGAACCCGCACCCTTCGCTTTCCGGAAGAATGCTCTGTACATTATGCTACTATCGACCCTGATGGCCGTGTCGAATCCTTTGTAGCCTTACTTAAGCTGCAAGGCAGCGCCATCTCTTCGCATTATAGGTTAATGGAAATCACAATCAATACAGTCCCACAGTCATACCGATGTCAGAAAAATGCTTTAGCTCTTTTATTTCTATGCTTATCCCACGCCTGATTCAAGCATTCCCAAAGTTTTTTAAGTTACAAAAACTAAGTAGTTTATGCTTTCAAGCTTCTTAATAAACAAGGAATAAGCTTCAATTAATTACTCCATGTTTTGTCTCTGTTCATTGAATGACAAATGGCATTTGAGTGACATGAACAAATCACGACCTAAATAATCCAAGCAGTGCCATCTTTGACCTATTGGAGGCCCTGGGCATATTAGGATAATGGGGCCCCTATGACTTCGTATTTGATTAGAGGGGGCCCCCTATCGATCGCGAGGCCCTGGTCACTTGCCCAAAGTGCCCACTGGGAAAGACGGGTCTGAGTCCAAGATTATTCCTTGTTTAATAATAAGCGGGAATGGGTTTAGCGGCTGATATACGGCAAGTATATAAATAGTGTTACCTGCCTACTTTCGTGTCAATAAGTATCTGCGATTTAATAATAAATAAAGGGGAGAAAGTAAACACAAATAATTGCTTTCACAGAGTAATAGAACTCAGGACCTTTGTAGCAGAAAGCAAGAACGCTGTCTTTGCTTCGACTAACATTCAAACTTAAATGGAATAACTACAAATTACACTTTCTATTTTATCTACTCGTATTCAGTTGAATTGTGAATAGGTACCGCGTTGTCTCAATAAATAGCGCTGCAGGATGTCCTAAGGTCTTGACTCACATACACGACTATTCTACAACACCGTTCCCACGCAATACGGCCCTAAAATAAGGCGATAACTCGCAGTCCACATGCCAACAGCTAGCACGCACCCAGCTGTCTACGCGCCGACAGCTAGCTGTCAGCGAATTATATGGTAAATACATACTGTATGGGTGCGGCCAGAGTGCACTCAGATTCAGATTCAGATTTCGAAAACAAGCGCGAGAAATAAACAGTGTAGTCGAAGGGTACGGCCAGAGTGCACTCCTGATTCAGATTCAGATTCAGACTCAGAAAACAAAGCGCGAGAAAAAGCCGGCAACTTGCTTAGACTACACTGTTTATTTCTCGCGCTTGTTTTCGAAATCTGAATCTGAGTGCACTCTGGCCGTACCCTATGACACAGCAATCACAATGTGAGTGGACGTTGTATTGGTAGCGACATGTTTTTTTTTTTGTAAATGTTGCTACTTCTGTTAACTGTTGATGAGTTTCTCGCGCCCATTCTTCTCATCTGCTAAAAGATGTCCTGAATGAGTAGTAGGATAAAATATTGGACGTCATAAAAGCTTCCAATAAGTCAATTTAAATTAAGTATAATTTCATTTCATTTCGAATAATGCTACAATGGCCTACTAGCAGTCAGCGCGCGGACACTGCGCAGACTGCTTGCTTGCAACGCGTGGTAAGCGAGGCGTCAACTACCGAGCAGTATAACGGCGGTAAGCTCGTTGAGAACAAGCTGTCTGCTAATTTATATTGGCAGTGGTGTCGATACTGGCATGATTCTAAACTTAAAACTAAATTTAACATCAGTCTCTACTTTTTATTCTGTATAGAGAATGACAAGGAGACACTGGTGTCAAGTTAAAGTTTAGCTTAAAACGTGAATGTCGTAAAGTCGTTGATGACACAATAAACACGTTATTCTTCTTAATCACTTTAATGTTTTATATAATTCACAAACAAACAGCATTTACTTAACAAAATCGATTTATTCTTTAACAATCATTTTTAGCGGCCAAAAAGATTAGACTTAATATATATGACATCTGTCAATCAAAGACATTTATATAGATTAGTTAAGTGTAACGGCGCGGAACACCAATAGATCGGCCGGACCTCGACATTACGGAACGTGGTGCTTCAAGCTTTAGAGAATCATGTCAGAATTGCCACCAATGTAAAGAATATCTAATGAGCAATACCTTAATCCCATATTTGAATAACTTGTACTGTAATATTTTTGCCGAGTGGGAGCGGAGTCGAGTAAGTGGGCTAGGACTTTTAAAAAATCGAAAGTTTACCTCATGAGGGAATCCTGACATGAGCACAGAGTTACGTGCCAGTTCACACATGTCGCACGAGCTCAGTTTCCAAGCCTGCGCTGCAATACTGTATTCCTCCATCAGCGGCTCCTGCCAGTGTGTAGAATTAAATGAATCAATTAACTGCTATATGTAACTAAGAAATTAGCTTGAAAAATAAACCGTTGTAAGCTGACTATAAAGAGCAGATAACAACCGGGAGCGAAACGCACTCGCTAAGCGAAATCGTGCAAATTGAAATGAAAGAAGTGGAACAACACTTAACGCGAATAAATATTATTCTATTCTATTCTTGGAAAAAAGTCGCTCAGCGCGCTATGGAAAGGGCTATGCTCGGCGTTTCTCTGAAGGATCGCATCAGAAATGAGGTAATCCGACAGAGAACCAGAGTTATCGACATAGCCCACCGGATTAGCAAGTTGAAGTGGCAGTGGGCTGGCCATATTTGTCGAAGAACCGATAACCGTTGGGGTAGACGAGTTCTGGAGTGGAGACCGCGTCTAGGCAAACGTAGTGTAGGACGTCCTCAGCCGCGATGGAGTGACGATTTGCGCAAGGTGTCTGGCAGGAGCTGGATGCGAGTAGCCCAAAATCGATCTGAGTGGCGTGCATTTGGAGGGGCTATGTCCAGTAGTGGACTAAGATAGGTTGTTGATGATGATGATGATTCTTGGGAAATTTCCGTGGATAAGTGCAGCAGCACGATACGACGGCGTCGTGGGTGCTTCACTTCATTGGGTTCGCCTGGCTCTCGAGCTTTCGTCACTAAGGCCGCGTTGTTTGAAACACAGTTAAAATATTTGTTTCTTAGGTTTTCACGCACATCACTCATTAAATAAAACAATTTCAACGGGTTATATGCAGACCCCTCTTTCCCAGTGGGCACTTTGGGCAAGTGCCCAGGGCCACGCGATCGATAGGGGGCCCCCTCAGATCAAACACAAAATCCCTAGTTCCTGTTAAATCATCAAATGGAAGTCATAGACCCCATTATCCTAATATGCCCAGGGTCTCCAATAGGTCAAAGACGGCACTGGTTATATGCACTGAATTTATTTATTTATTGACGTTTCGCATCCTTTGCAGGAATGTGTCATCACAATAATGATTTTTTATTTACTTTGTCGAGCTACCTTCGAAAGAGATTTTATTGAGCGTTCGGATATTTCATTGGAAGATTTATCAAAATTTTAATGACCATTTGTCAAGTATAGTGCAATTTAACTATGTTTCAAACAACGCGGCCTTATGCGACACTTCCGGCAGCGGCATAGCTTAGTTTCCACCAGCCCAGAGCGCAGGCAAAGTTTGCCGCCCAACTTCCAATAAAATAAGCTTTAACTAGAAGTTTCATTAAATGTAAAGAAAACTTTACTTAAAGAAAATCCACGTGATCCACCCATCAGACAGGACTCCAAAATGCACTTTCCGCCATCCGGGCGGACACTAACCAATATGCTGCCGAGACCCGGAAGATATATTTCAAATCCTGTCTGATGTCTGGACCGCGTGGATTTTTGTCTAGTAAAATTTTCTTTAGATTTATAAATATGTTTGGTCGAAATAAATAAATTGAAATTGAAATAAAGATACAGTTGTAGCGTCAGCGTGTACATTGTATGTGAACACGACGAGCACGAAATTTACAGCTGACGCACATAAATATTAGTTAGGAAAATTAGTATATAAGATGTAAATAGTAATAAATTACGCTCTTAGATATCAAGCGACACACTGGCTGTTTCATTCCTCATCTCCCGGCACTAGGAGCTACATTGGTGACCCAGCCGTGATATTTAAAGATCGTACTTAAGAGAGGTAGGGCATTACGGATTTCCCGCTCGAATTGGAGCGCCCGTCTGGGGAATTAACCTCCATTTAACAGAACACCACAGTGGTGTTGTGAGTAAGATTCCAGGCCACGACAACGGCTAACTAGAGCCGAGGTCCGAGTCTCAGAGACGCCCTCTTGAGCCGACGGAGGTTCCAGACGGAGAGGAGACTTCATCCGCCCGGAATACCTCTAGAGGCACTCGCCAATTCTCGGCTTGAGATCCCCTTAGTATCTCACCGCCCCCAAACCCGGTGACGCTGTAAAGGTCATCTGCGACCAACAGCATACACTCAAAAAAAGAAAAGGAAACCGGCTATGCCACGACGGTAAAAGCAACTTAAAGCGCAGCTCAGAGTGATGAGAAAAATGTGCTAAAATGTTTACGCACGCTCCGTAGCGATGCCCACAGCGATGGGCTTAGCGTACATTCCAGCCTACCAAATGGGCGCAGACCGTTCGTAACTAAGCTAAAATTTGTAGATGGGCAGTTCGATTTGATAGTTACTTCTTTTTGATATTAATATATTATAGGGGGGCATCATACGAGCCTGATAGTAAGTAATCAACGTCACCCATAGACATCTGTAACACCAGAAGAGTCGCAAATGCGATGTCGGCCTTTAAGGTGTTCTGAGGATTAATAAAGCTTGTAGGGCTCCACGGGATAGGAGATTGGATCAGTGCAAGTAACAGCGCGAGTAATATTTTTTTAATTGCAAGCGTCTATAGGCTTTGGTGGCCGCTTACCATCATGCGGGTCATTTACTTGTTTGGTAACCCTTAAACATAAAAAAATTAACTTGATCACCGCGGACATGCCACGAACCTCTTTCTTAAGGCCCTTCACTTTAAGAAACCGTACTCTAAAGCTTTAGTGTGAATTACCCTAGTGTAGTGGAATTGCAGCGGATCATCCGTACTCAGCGTGACTCGCAGCCCCTTCGCGAAGAAGTCCGGCAGCGGGTTGCGGTGGTAGCGGAGGAACAGCGAGTTGTTACTGAGCGGCGACATGGCAATGAAGATCTGCGCTAGGTAGTACATGTACTGCAGCACTGGCACCTGGTGTTATGATGATAAATCAACGAATTAGACATGATATGGAAGCATTAGGTTACCTTTAAAAAGGCCTCTCAAACATGGTTCTAAAGCTTAGATTAAAACAAAACAAAAAGCTTAGAAAAAAAAAACAAAGGTAAGATACGGCACTCGCGGCTCAAAAGTGATCCGCTTAAATTGTGGTGTATGACCACAATTCGCTTTAGTCACAATTGGACATTCAAATACGCTGCATGTGCAGTCAATATAACAATATTGAGTAGGTATATTCTGTGGTATAAAGATAAAATAATGCCCACGATGCTTTTATAAAGAACATAAATAGTACAAAATCAAATGACAAATGCAACACATTTCATTCGCAAAACTGTAAAAACATGTGTCATGAATTGCGATTTACGTAATCGCCATTTTGTTATCTAGAAAAGGACAACAATACAGCTCAGCCGTTCGGGCTCTGACGCGGACTCGCCGTTTCGCTCGCTCTGCGTTGAAGCGTACAGTTCTGTCTCGCTCGCTCGATTGAATGTTTATTTACAGACGCGTGCATGTGCGAGTTGCTTATGTCGTTGAGTCGGAGCATATTTTATTTGATGCTAGTATGAGCGTATCGTATCTTCCCTTCTTGTTTTAATCTAAGTTCTAAAGTCATACAACTTAAGTTTAACGCGACAAACAAAATACTTTGACAAATCAAATATCAATAACTATTGTTAGTCAAAAATCCAAACCAAGTTCATAATGAGCGTGTTGATCGCAGATATTCCGCCCAGTACACTTGATCGCAGTTTGTGTGGAACTACTTATAAGCGCAGTTTGTATTCCATTTCATTTCTAATTCGTTGTGATAAATAAATGAAAAGGTTTAATATGGCCTTACAAGCAAGTCAATGGACGTCATTTTCGGATACTATTCTAAGGGGGAAAACTAAATACCCTACTATACTATATTAAAAATATGAAAGTTTGTTAGTTTTGGATGTTTGTTACTCAATCACGCAAAAACGGCTGAACAGATTGAAATGAAAATACTCGCTTAACGTTTATAGTACTTGGATAAAGGTACAGTAGACCCGCGGTAATCCGGACTCCGTCTAATCCGGCGCCCTCTGTAATCCGACACGTTTATTACTGTTGATTTGCACATAAAATCAATTGAAATAGATTTTTAGATTTGTAATTTGTCGGATTACAAGGTACTCTTTGAGGCTATAGAGACTACAGAGTGGGCTGAGACAGTACTATATAATCCGACAAATTCGATAATCCGACATCGCCCTGCAAAACGTTTGTCGGATTGCCGCGGGTCTACTATATTATACTTTTTACGGGATTCTCAAAAAACTAAGAATTGAGTGTTAAAGGTGGAAGCTAAAAAATAATAATTAAGGAAGCCGTTGCAATAGTAAAACCAGACCCTCTCGCCATCCCACCGCGTTGAGCTATACGCCCCCCATATCTACACCGTGGAGCCCTACAATCTTACCTACAAACCATCGAAAGCTAGTAGTGTTATTTACCTGTGGCCTCTTTCATTGTGGAGGTGGACTTCCTTGCTGAAGTTTTCCCAAAAATCCTTCATTTCCTTACCTTCCTCAGTATGAGCCCGTGGGAGATGTTCTCTGCGAGCAGGAAGCCCGCGCACATGTGCGTGGGAGGGCCCGCCTCCCCGCAGTGAGGGCGCAGCACGAATGTGTTTAAACCTTGCTCCCTGGAATTAAGTTACAATATTCTATAATGTGTGTGTCTATGTCTTCTTCTTTGTCATTTCCTCAGGGCTGAGGGTTGTGACCATTTTCCAAAATGTGTGTGAACCAAGTATAATAAATAACCCTACTTTTTTGTATCTAAGTATGAATTATAAATCGAACTGCCCAGTCACAAATTTAAGCTTAGTTATGAACGGTCTGCGCCCATTTGGTAGGCTGGAATGTACGCTAAGCCCATCGCTGTGGGCTTCGCTTCGGAGCGTGCGTAAACATTTAAACATTTTAGCACATTTTTCTCATCACGCTGAGCTGCGCTTTAAGCAGTTTGCTTTTACCGTCGTGGCATAGCCGGTTTTTTTCTTTTTTTGAGTGTGTATGCTGTTGGTCGCAGATTACCTTTATAGCGTCACCGGGTGTGGGGACGGCGAGATCCGAAGAGGACCTCAAGCCGAGAATTGGCGAGTGCCTCTAGAGGTATTCCAGGCGGTTGACATCTCCCCATGGGTGGCGTCTACTCTCCGTCTGGAGCCTCTAGCCCACTCGACCCTGAAGGGGTCGGCTCAACTAGAGGGCTATCTCTGAGACTCGGACCATTGTAGCGGGGCGGGGAAAAACACCCAGGCCCGTACCTGTACCTGGTATAGCGTGTCTTGTGTAGACCGGGTCTTCGCACTCTTATCCTGCGGGTGCGGTGTCTGCCTAATGCTCAGCTAGTGTGCAAGTTTGCTAGCTGTGTAAACCTAACCGTATCGATGATGACTCACTTGCGCAGTTGGTTGAGCATGACCATGTTGGCGTACATATAGTAAAGATAGTACGCGTATGGGGGGTTCTCTTCATCATCCCAGTGCTCCGGCGTCTTCATCGCAGCGTGCAGGTGAGGGTTCTCAGGCTTCGACTCGTCGTCCACGCTGTCAAAGCCGATCACGTGCTGTAGTCCGAATTTGACAACATCATCATCATTAGCATATTTATATCAACCACAAAAACTGCTCGGGCTCAGAATTTGCCTATGGATGGAATAAGTAAAATTGGGCCATGACATGCATGAAGCATATGTGCATACACAGAATATGTGTAGCTGGGACCAACGGCTTAACATGCCTTCAGATTTCAGGTCCAAATCAACCAGACCAAGACCAGACAAATCAAAAGTTGTTTTGCACGCCCACGATCGCAAACCGAACGCGCCCGCCATTGCGTCATCGAATTTGATAACATAGCTCGGCTACATCTGCAGTTGATTTGATAGCATCCACCAATCCACACTGTGCACGCGTAGAGAGTTATGGCCCCATCTTCCTATTTCATCCATAGGGAGAAGGCCTGTGGTCTTCATAATGATGTAAAAAGGCAAGAATATAAAATCTTGTACATCAAATCAGATACATGTCTTACTACTGTATTAATCAAACATCTGGTACCGTGAGGAATTTATGAAGTTCAGGATTCGAATTCGGATCAATAGACACTTGGAACAGCGGGTCGAAAAGGTTGTTCAGGAACTCTTGGAAATTATTCAGCAGCTTGTTGATGCGGTAGATGTCACTGCAAGGTAATGGGAACTTACTGATCGTTGGTTTGTTATAACATCATTTTATTAGTATTAATTATTGTTTGAGAAGTTGAACTATCATTCTACCATTAACTTGACCATAAGCAGTTGCGGGCGGTAGGGACAGTTGACGGATGATGACTATTTTTCTTCGTTTATCAGGTAGATTATCAAAAAGTATTGGACACGTATTTTTTCTTTTTTCACATAATATAAACATTGCAGAGATATATTGATTTGAAAATTCGCATGACAACGTTTTACAATAATACAAGTACAATTTTCACTGAAAAGTGACGTCACGAGCCCCCACTCCCAAACTTTGACGCGCTATAACTTTGTCATTTTTTGGTCGAATGCCCAAAGAAAAAAATACGTGTCCATTCTTTTTTGATCATCTAACTGACGGAATAAATAGAATTTCGTTTACTGTACCCCGTCATCAACCCTATTGCAATAAATCTCAGTTCTATCCTTTAAAGTCACAGAACACAGAGGTTAGAAGGTCCTTGTGGGCGGGGGAGACGCGCCACAGTTATGTGTGAGCAAATGCTCATAACTTGACCAAAACTTCGTTATGATTGCGTCGTTGCTCTCGGGTGTGAGCATTGATTGGTTCAATTGTTTGATGTCGCGTCGTTTGATTGGTTATTATCTATTAGGTTGAAGTGTAGTGGGTACGAGCCGGCGACATCGGTTCCCGTACAAACGGTAATGATCGTCCTTCTAACCTCTTTCTGTGTTCTGTGTCTATGGTAATAGTATTCTTTTAAAAGCGAATCCTTTATTACATTGTCGCAATATTTTTCGTTAATTTTTCGCACGCCTGCTACGCGGGCCGCCCAGGTTCAATTCCCAGCCGAGGAAGGGCTTTTTGTATTAATGATACTATAAAATTTCCACTTAAAACCAAACCATTTTTACAATAAAGATCCGTTTTTAAATCTCATTTCGATGAATCACGAATGGCAATTTCCGTGTATTTTTTCTTTAAATGTGCTTTTCAATCTAAAACTGAAATATCACAGTACCTTGAACACTTACCAATATCGAATTCGAAAAGTCTGTGAGTGCGAAATGTCATTGTTAAATGTGTACTGATTTCTAGTTCTCGTTACGTGCACTGTGGCGCTGCTGTTCAAGTTTCCATACAAAGGAGAATGGGCAAATCCGCCTAGATTGCGCTTGACGCATTTATGTATCAAAAATCTTCTTCTGAATTATCATTTCATATGTGTGTTTATTATGTAAATATTATGCGGATATTTAAAATAATAAATAAATGGCTATTAAACTGAGTAAATAACCAATAACCATAGATAAAAGTTGTATCACCTGGTCGATACTATCGTAGGAAAAAAAATCGATTATATTTCTTTATTTAAATATTCTTAACATAAAAAACAACCTCTAGTGCAAACATCCACACAACAGTCCTGAGACCCTAACATTTACCTATACACGCTGTCACTCTCCCCCCGCTCACGGCCCCAGCGATGCTCTCTCATACGAAGCAAGCACCGCACGCCTCCAGATCACACCGCCACACTGCAATCCACCCCGATCAAACTCAAACCTTGCCCGTACAAATGCACATCTCTTCCTGCTCTTCCACGTACCCTTTCCCGCGCCCTTGCAAACACGCTAGCAACCCTCCCCCCCACCGCACCCGATGACCTGCGCACGCCCGAACACACAAATACAATAACGCCAACACGATCGCACAGCTAACTACCCCCAGCACAAGAGTAGTCGACCCGTGAAGTTACACCTACAACCAGACAAAAAAAAAACTAATAAACTCCTATGCCCACCACTCCCCAATTTACCACTCCAGCCCCCAAAAACCCCCCCCCCCCTGTGACCCAGCCACCTCCCACCATGCTACCATAACGGGGGGGGTTTTGGAGGGGGACGGGGGGGGGGATAGAAGTCCAGTTAATATATAGCGGACAACTATGCGATATGAAAGAAAATAGACATTCACGCATGGCTCGCAACAAAACGCCCCCCCACCACCCGCTCAACCGCTTCCAGGATCGCCAACCGGTGCTTCACCATTAATGTACATACAGTCACCTCTCCAAATTAAACCCCCCAAATAACACCATCACCCTCACCCCAACCCAACCACCCTAACACCGAAATACCGCCCATAGAAGATACACACGACCACTTAACCACCCAGGGCAAGTCACACTAGGACCAAGCCTACACACCACACCCCCTTCCCGAACCAATATGCAGCTCCCCCGAGTCAAGAAATTAAAGCTGGTTGCCTAAAAGAAACCTTCCAAACCTACGCGACTTCAAAGCCAACACACCAAAAAACAACAAATAGACCAACCTATACCCCACAACTCAAGCCCCCCGTGGCCCACACAAAAATAAACCCAACACCTTACAGTTAACACACTATACACGCAACCAACCACCAGACTCACCCAACCGCACCAATTAAAATCCCCAAAAACCTCCATAATCCAATCCCCACCCCCCAAACAACCTCGTGCATGATACTTCCACTCAACCAATATCCACAAACACGAAAATTACCAAGGCAAGTGAAGTAGGTAGCTGTCAAGCAGTTTCCCATTGTTTCGACTTTGAAAATATTTCTGCAATGGCTCCTTTCTTATGCCATTATTGGCTGGGAATGAATGCTGAACAGTTTGATGAACTCTTGGCATGTGTACCAAGCTTATTACAGAGTGTCAAAAATCCCCGTTTAGCACTCTGTATTTACATAGTCAAGTTAAGAACTGGGGACAGCAATGAACGATTAAGTTCCCTCTTTCAAATGTCTCGTAGGACCTTGGAGAGAAAAATGAATATAGCTAGAAGTTGTTTAGTTGAAGATTTTGTGTCAAGACATTTGGGCTTTGGTCATGTAAATGTGGAGCAAGTGGCCAGCAGAAATAAAATAATCCCGGAGGGATTGTTTGGTAACCCAATCCAAAGAGTTTGTAGAAACTCAAAATCTTAACAGAAGACGTGCAATGTTTTCTGCAATTGATGGCAATCATCCTCACTTAGAAACCTTTCCCAGTTTAAGCATCACTGATTTAAAACGCTTTGCATTAGGCACTTATCAGTTAAAGCAGGCGCGATCATATTATGGGGAACATATTCGATCGTCTGGGATATATTCCATAGAAATAAATACAGAAATAGATGAAGATGTTCCCCTTGTATTAGGTTTAAACAATTATCTCCTTAGAGGACGTATTAAGTCTAGACACGTTGGTGGACGCTCCTATTTTGTTTACATTTTAGTCAGCCGTGACACCAATATAGCCAACTCACTAAGTTGTTTAGTTGGCTATTGCTGCAGTTGTGTTGTAGGCAAAAGGACAGTAGGATGTTGCGCACACGTAATGACGGTAGTTTGGTACCTTAGCTGGGGGCGATTTAACGATACACATGCTCCAGCTACATTTTTAGATGAGGTATTTGAAGAAGGTATATAAGTCAATTCTTTTTTAAAAAAAGGCAATATATAAACCAGGATTAGAGCACGCTTAATGTATAAACTGCTGTGTTAATTGAACTTAGCAGAGCTTTAACTGGATATTTCAAACTCAACAGGACATGGTGGCGAGTTACAAAAGATATTTTAGGCGAAGTCACTACAGTTCCACTGGATACGGCATAACCCCAAAAATATAAAATAAAAATATCACATTAATAATGTCGATTTGGATAAATGTGTTATCAATAAATGATTATCATTATTAAAATATTTTGTCTTATTTATTTTTGATTCCTAAACCTTAAATAATATTATATCCATTGTTGGGTTAACAGAGCATCAAAGGTGCAGCTTGAGCGTAAAGAGAATAAGTATAAATAGCACTAATATAACCGCACCTCAACAACGCCACATTTATTAAATCTGAGATGTTTGGAATAAATAGAGATAGATAGCAGCTCACCAACGCAACAGTTTACAAATATACGCTGCCCGTTGATAAGATTTTACGAAGTGCATTCAATTTTTGTTTCACTCCCAGTCCAAAATAAAAGACAAAAGGTCACAACCTAATTAAATACAGTTTAAAGTAGTATACCTAGCAATAATTAAGTATGGTATAAATATCGAATTTAATCGAATCTAAATATGACATAACCTTAAAATGCTTACGTAATTTAATATTTTCTTTAAACCACTACTTAAGTTTCTAATGATATTTTTCCTACGCAATATACACCTGATTCCCTATTGTTGTACACTTATTCCAATAAGACGCAATGAAAAAAACTTAGCCCAACTCCCAAAGTAAAATGACCATTCTCCTTTGACAATGACATTTCGCACTCGCAAACTATTTAAATTCGTTATTTGTTCGTGTTAAGGGTACCAAAAGGAAGTTTTAATAAGGTTTCTAAACATCTCCTATAAGATACATGAATACTAACTATAGGCGGGGCACTTGCACCAGCCAGCGCACGTGGGGCGAGTGCACATCGTTCCTCAACGCCCACGACGCCAGTTTGTCCCATTCGTTTCTGTTCTTGCAGTAGATGGATAAACGCGGCTCCACGTACGTGTACTTCGTCTCTCGTAAGTCCATTATCACTTCCTGCCATAATTTATGCCTAATTACTGTAACTATCGGGCAATTTAGAAGAAAATAGTCAGAACGAAAGAAGTAAAATAATTATAAAGAAAATATTACTAGAAAAAAATCCACGCGGACCAGGCAGCACTGACCATTATGCTACCGCGGCCCTGACTACCGTTTTCTTTCTAGTCTTTCTTAAGCTGCAAGGGCAGCGCTTCGCATTGTAGATTACCCACAATTTCAAATGGATACATTTACAGGTATGTATAAACATTTGAAAGAAGAAATAGCAATTAAATTCATAATTTTTATTTTTTAAGCATGTAACTACTAGATGTTTAAATCTAAACACAATTGCGAAGGAGGTTCGAGTCCCGTCTGCTGCCAGGTCCGCGTGGATTTTTTTCTATTCATATTTATTATAGAAGGTTAATTAATTTTCACGCTCAACTTAAAAAAATTGACTCGGCTTTTAAATTTAGTTATTTTTCAATGGAAGGTAGAAGGTTAGTTGGAATGTCTTATTATATTATACGACCGCCGTGGTCGAGTGGTTTGTACGCCGGGTTTCGTGGTGTCGCCGACTCGAGAGGTCCCGGGTTCGAATCCCGGTGGGGGCAGATGTTTGTGTGATGAATGCGAGCATTTGTACTCCAGTCCTGGATGTTTAATATGTATTTCTATATAAATATACTTATATATGTAAAGTATATGTATTCTATCCGTTACCCTAGTATCCCATAACACAAGCCTTACAGTGCTTACTTTGGGGCTAGGCTAATTGGTGTGAGTGTTAGAAATATTTATTATTTTTATTATTATTATAGAGAGCACTTTGGCTTGCAATGTAAAAGGGAAAATGACTATCACATATCCACTCCGTTATTGTCACTGGCCGTAGTAACCACAACACAGCCCTAGCATCGTCGTTAATTCGAAAATCATTTATTCAATCTAGCATGTCAAAAGCTCTTTTGAAGGTCAACTCTATGCCATCTGTTCGTAAACGGCGGGAGACCTTGTACTGAGAAGAACTGACAAGAAACTCAGCAAGGGTAATTTTTTTCTTCTGTCTATTCTAGACTAGCTCGTTTCCGCAAATAGAGTATAGAGGTCTTCAAGAAGAATTACCTTGATGATACTGGCGAAGTATTGCCCATTCATATGGTTGTCCGTTTTGAGGAACACCTCGCGCAGCCGACTCTCTCCCACTGGATTGTACTTTGCGTTGAATTTGTCGAAACGATGGAATGTATTCCTATCCTGCAATGTAATTAATGGAACATTTTAAAATTCCTTCTTATTCAAATCAGGGAATAACATTAGGGTCCATTTCTCTAGTTATCTAAACTACACTACTCTACTCACAGTAGAGTGTAGGAATTTAAGGGCTCAGTGTAAAAGAATGACTATTCATTACCGCATTCCATTCCTAAAATCCACATGAAGGTGTCCTAATGATTCCTTCATCACCTGTAGTTGAGTTTGTTAAAGATGGAATGTAGGAATTAAATGAGCCTTTTGTTTTATATAACGCAGGTAAAAAATGCTATTTACAGACGACGGCGCCCTTAAGAGGCACACCGCCGAACGGACCTCACACCTGGCTCCCGCAAGTCTTACGGACCCCCCAGTGGCTATCCACCGAGGACCCCGCAACTCTTACGGGCGCTTTACGGCATAATATCCGCTAAAAAAGTCCTGCGAATACCCTCTAAGCTGCTTAGCGCGAAGCCGCGGGATCCTCGTTTAGGGATTCTTCAGCATTCTAGGAATTAAATAAGCCTAGCATAATGCTAAGTTCAGATAGTTTCGTGTCGACGTACGTACATTCTAACGCGCGTATATTTTAGTTAGCTGATCGCGCGTAAAGTGAACGCGCGATCATCAAACAGGAGTGTCATTACCGCATGCACGTCGAGGTTCGAGAATGTCCACGTTTATGCCTCCTATACACGTTGACAGATGCATCTGCAGATGCCATCTTCGGATGTGTCCGCCGACGTATAGACGGGGTAGTTTGCGCGTCTGTGGTAGGTATTTAACGTCCGCAGATACGACTGCCATCAATACATTAGTTGTCGGTTTTTGTGGTACACGACAAAAGACTTCAGCGTGAACGTTTAGCGTGTCTGTCGTGAGAGTGGACGCGTGTTTGCAATTATTTTATGCTCTTTTGTTACTCTCGTTCGCCATATTGGCTAATATGTATTATGAGCACTAACGAAACATTTTACCTGTGGAATCCGAAAAATTGCCAGCAGCCGCCACCTTCTTCTTTTCCATTTCTTTTTAATAATTCTACTGCGATGCACTACAAGTAGTAGTCAAAAGTAGGTACTTAGTTAATAAATATCTGCGGCAGCTTTTAATGTTGTGTGCCTACTACGTGTTGCGTCTGTTAGAATGAACACAGACAGAATGACCTACAGACGTTATCAGACGTGTAGTCGGCTCGTGGTGATCCATCTGCTTATGCATCTGTCGAGGTCTACGGACGCAATTGTCGACTTGTAGAGGAGGCATATGTCGTAAGCGTCGAGCTGCATCTTCCCGAACACCGCTCGCAGGGTCTTTGGCGCGCCCTTGTGAAGCGTCACTACCTTGGCAGCGTGTCGCCGCAGTATCCTCTTGATGAAGCGTGGTTGTGTAAACTAAGTAGTGACATTGTCATTACCGCATGCACGTCAAAGATGTCCACGTTCAAGTCGTACACGTCGAGCTGCATCTCCTCAAACACCGCGCGCAAGGTCATGGGCGCGCCCTTGTGAAACGTCACTACCGCGGCAGCGTGTCGTCGCAGTATCCTCTTGATGAAGAGTCTTTGTGTAAACTAAGTAGTGACATTGTCATTATCGGATGCACGGCGGGGCTGTCCACGTTCAAGTCGTACGCGTCGAGCTGCATCTCCTCAAACACCGCGCGCAAGGTCATGGGCGCGCCCTTGTGAAGCGTCACTACCTCGACGGCGTGTCGTCGCAGTATCCTCTTGGTGAAGCGTGGTTGTGTAAACTAAGTAGTGACATTGTCATTACCGCATGCACGTCGAGGATGTCCACGTTTAAGTCGTATGCGTCGAGCTGCATCTCCTCAAACACCGCGCGCAAGGTCATAAGCGCGCCCTTGTGAAGCGTCACTACCTCGACGGCGTGTCGTCGCAGTATCCTCTTGGTGTAGCGTGGTTGTGTAAACTAAGTAGTGACATTGTCACTACCGCATGCACGTCGAGGATGTCCACGTTTAAGTCGTATGCGTCGAGCTGCATCTCCTCAAACACCGCGCGCAAGGTCATAAGCGCGCCCTTGTCAAACGGCACTACCTCGACGACGTGCTGTCGCAGTATCCTCTTGATGAAGCGTCTTTGTGTAAAATAAGGAGTGACATTGTCATTACCGCATGCACGTCGAGGATGTCCACGTTTAAGTCGTACGCGTCGAGCTGCATCTCCTCAAATACCGCGCGCAGGGTCATGGGTGCGCATTTGTGAAGCGTCATTACCGCGGCAGCCTGTCGTCGCAGTATCCTGTTGATGAAGCGTCTTTGTATAAACTAAGTAGTGACATTGTCATTACCACATGCACGTCGAGGATATCCACGTTCAAGTCGTACGCGTCAAGCTGCATCTCCTCAAACACCGCGTGTAGGGTCATGGGCGCGCCCTTGTGAAGCGTCATTACCTCGGCAGCGTATCGTCACAGTATCCTGTTGATGAAGCGTCTTTGTGTAAAATAAGTAGTGACATTGTCATTACCGCATGCACGTCGAGGATATCCACGTTCAAGTCGTACGCGTCAAGCTGCATCTCCTCAAACACCGCGTGTAGGGTCATGGGCGCGTCCTTGTGAAGCGTCACTACCGCGGCAGCGTGTCGTCGCAGTATCCTCTTGATGAAGCGTCTTTGTGTAAACCAACTAGTGACATTGTCATTACCGCATGCACGTCAAGGATGTCCACGTTCAAGTCGTACGCGTCGAGCTGCATCTCCTCAAACACCGCGCGCAAGGTCATGGGCGCGCCCTTGTGAAGCGTCACCACCTCGGCAGCGTGTTGACGCAGCGTGCGCTTGATGAACCGCAGCAGGTGCTTCTGGTTCATGCATGACGCCGCGTGGATGTGGGTGTCCACTTTCCTGGAAAATACAGACTATAGCTTAAGGTCCCGTAAAAGGTTCTAAACAACGGGTATAGTACCTGGAGTTTATATCCTATCTGTATTCAAATTAAATGATAAACAGAATTTACGCTCCTGCGCCCTTAAAGGATTGCACTGCCCTTAATGAGGGCTATCGCGTATGAATCCGCCGCTAGAGGCGCTAGTGTAGCGTGAGGTCTCCGAAATGTCAAATGTTATTGCTTGTTGGTTGACTACGCGGGTTTATTTCTTATTAAAATAATGTTGTGAATAATTGGTAACAATTCGGCTTAATTATGGCAAATATGAGTTATGTGGCAATGAATGTCAGTTATTAAAAATTTGAGCTTAGAAAAATGATTATGTTCCCATTTTTGCGAATAAAACGGAACTGCGCGTCACTGTGGCATGGCCTATTATGTTTAGGATATGGTTCTTTTGTGTTAAAATACGATCTAAATGTAACCTTTGATTTCATGTGCGTATTAATAAACTTTATAAGTTACAATTTAGGACCTCACTCAACAGTGGCGCCATCTGGTGAGACAGAAAACGGTAGCCCTCATTGTACATGCATTAACCGATCGCCAGATACGTTAAATTATAAAACTATTTTGAAATGTGTAAGCTTTGAATTGTGATCACAGGCAATGTTCTTAGTGAAGAAGAAAAAATAATGACAAACGTATTGTGCAGGTATCCTCTCATTAACGATGATCGCTGTAAGGAAATTCACCAGCTTACCTGACATTATAGAAATCCCGATGAGGCACTGCTTTCTGCAACGCCTGTTCGTGTAGCTCGTTGAGCAGTGCGTGCATCTTGAACTTTGAAGACAGGTACGACAACCGACGATAGCAGAAAGACTTACTGACCGAATAAAACGAGAGATTAATAGTAATTGCAATGTAGCATGATTTGTCTGAGCGCAAATTATATGAGATCTTTAAAAATATACACTCCACTGTAGCCAAAACATTGTAGAATATAAGGCCAGGCAAGGTGAGAATGGCTGGACAGCCATATTTTTTTGTACATCAGCTATCTTCACAATTGGCTATTCAGTTATGAGGATATCTTATGTAACAGAAAAATGTGCAGCTTTAACCAACCTCACTGGCTAAAACCCAATTAAGGAGGAACAAATCATGTTCGCCAAAATTTTCAAGTTTAAAACAATATAAATAGTTCCGACACTCACACTATTTAGCCTAGCCTCAAAGTAAACACTGAAGGCTTGTGTTATGGGATACTAGGGTAACGGATAGAATACATATACTGCGACATATATTTATATAGAAATACATATTGAGCATTCATGTCTGGAGTACAAATGCTCGTATTCACCATACAAAAATCTGCCCCCACCGGGATTCGAACTCTCTCGAGTAGGCGACCCCTTAAAACCCGGTGTTCAAACCACTCGGCCACGGAGGTCGTCAAAAAATCCAAGTGTTCAACTTACAGCGGCCCATCGCTGATCATGTCTGACAGGCGGTTGAGATCCTCCACGTACTGCGTGAAGGGTACGTAGCGGTACGGCAGCGGGACCTCAGCGGCCGCGTCCCGGTACACGCGCACCACGCCGCGCCGCCACCGGCACTCGTACCGCCGGTCCGACGGCATCGGGCACGCCCACGGGTCAAGATCCACTGGCGATGATAGCAAGGGTAATTGTATAGCGAAGGTGAACAGACCTGTCAGCAGTGATTGTTAGTTTGATACAAACTTTACCCAAAGGTGTTACAGAAAACCTAGGAAATGCGTATCTACCCAAGCAGAAGGTCAATACAGCGGTAACAAAAAGGGAAGATACGGCACTCGCGGCTCAAAAAATGATACATTCAAACACGCTGCATGCAGTGTTTCCACAATGAAGTGAAATTCCCCTTTTAAGGGTAAATTGGGGTCCAAAGGGGAAGAAAAGGGGAAAGACATGAAAAGGGGAAATTGCGGGAGATTATGGGTATAGCCGAGCCTAAAATAATGCGGCACGGAACAAATTTTTTATGGACTATACCGTGGACTAGAGTCTTGCCGTATAAAAGAAACTGTGGCAACACGTGCAGATTTTATATATTTTATTTATCTGTTATAGAATAAAATAGATTTAGACCTTTTTTTTCTTTACTTACTACACTAGTGCCACATCTAAAAACTACAGCAGAATAATTTTTGAGGGCAAAAATGTCCTAAGAAGGGGAAAGCTGAATTGAGGCGTGGGGAAAGGAAATCATTAAAGTGGGAACACTGGCTGCATGTGCAATCAGTATAACAATATTGCGTATATTTTGTGTTATAAGGATAAAAACAATGCCTTCGATCCTTTTATAAAGAACACAAATAATTCAAGATCAAGTCACGGCAACACTTTTCATTCGTAAAACTATGAAAACATTTTTTTTTCACAAAAATCACGGTTACTCATGAATTTTATTAACTTTTTTAGCATTTGTTAGCAAGAAAGGACATCGATACAGCTCAGCAGTTTGTAGAGAGAGAAAAGAAAACTCAGTCGCCAAGCCAAGCGACGCGGACTCGCCGTTTCGCTCGCGCTGCATTCAAGCGTACAGTTTTAGCTGTCTCGCTCGCTCGATTGAATGTTTAAGGCTTATTCAGATATAAGCGATAACGCTGTCGCGTTCGGTAGCGATACCGAATCGGTACGCGATAACGCTGCTGTCCTCGGTACGCGATATCGCCTGACAGCGCGACAGGACGATGCGTGGCAAATACCCGCCCCTTCCCGCATACGCAGCGCATCCAGCCAGTCCAATTTGTTTTTGCATGGATGAGTTCGAGATCATGCCGAAATCAATTAAAATAGAAAAAGTTATTGATTTGATAAAATCTTATCCAGTGCTATATGATATGGCTCATTCAGATTACAAAAACATATTTTTGAAAAATAAAATATGGTATGAGATTGGAGGAAAATTAAACATTAGTGGTAATTTTTTGCATATCTTTAATTACTACAATTTACTTATGATTACATTAAGCTAATCTAAGCGCTATTACTAAAGTAGTTTACAAACTTTTCACGTATTTCCTTTTCATCAATATCCATCATAAAAAAATAATCAGTGTTTTCGTGTTTACTCACAGACGGCACAAAAGTAACTAACCATTTACCGAGCGCGACTGCGATTATCGCGCATGTCGCGATATCGCGTACCAATTCGGTATTGCTACCGAGCGCGACAGCGTTATCGCTCATATCTGTATAGGCCTTTATTTACAGAAGTGTGCGTGCGTTTGAGTTGTTTACGTACTTGAGTCGGAGCATATTTTATTTGATGCTAGTATGAGCGTACCGTATAATCCCTTTTTGTTTTAATCTAAGGTTCAGATAATGGCGATAGTATATAGATCAACCCATGAGCCATCAGTGATGCCACTGGCATTCGTAGCGCGTAAGTCTGTTGGTATTTTTATACCTACATACCCAATACACACCCGGTCCTAGATCCACTGACGATAGAAACAATGATTGTATAACTTCAACGCTATTCAGATCTCGTGTTGAGTGCCAAGACAACCTCGATCCTGTCCCCGTAATATGATCACCACAATTGACATTGTATCACGTTTTCTGTTGCACCTAACTGTACCCTTAGTACGAGTTTTACAATTACGAAAACTATGATAGTTTTCTTGAGCTCGCACTCGTACTAATGGTACTGATTTTATTGTTTTCGTTTCTATACAAATACACAGTGTTTAAATTCTATCATTAAATCATTTGTGTCTTCTTAAATTTCAAATATATTTGGTTAGTTTTCACCAAAATGGACATAGAAACATAATTTACAATTACGAAAACTATGATAGTTTTCGAGAGCACAAACTTGTACTAAGGGTACTGTCAAACTCGATAGTAATTTGATAATTGAGTGTGATAAAAACGAGTTATAAATCATATCGCGGTGATCATTCTAGCGGGGCTGGAGACTTTTCGAGAGCCTTAAGTAGGTCGGTTCCTAATTTTTGAATACCTATATTCATATGCATAAGCCTTCTTCGCATTATGAATAATATTTTAAAAATCTTAAGTACAGCATAACTATTGCGGTCAAATGTTTCAGAAGTGCAATGAAAGCATAAGAAAAACTTGCAAAGATCGATCGATTGACAAAGTAGGTATATTATACTACACAAGAGTTTCTTAGTGATACTTCCTTGAAAGAAATGGACATCATTACCTAATTAACTCATATTTTTAGCCTATTATTAGCACAATTTATTATTATTATTACATATTTTTAGTTTGACATAAAAATATTGCTTAGTAATTTTGACATAAACATATTTTGACATTTATTTCTAACTATGACTTGTTGATTGTAATTGTAATATAATAATTTTGAATTTTATATAATTGTAAATCTGATTATTACTTAAAAAATATTGTATACCTTGTAATAAGGTCGAAATGTAGTGACACTAAACTTTTTATCTAACACCAAATTGCTGTACTAACCTACATTTCACAATAAATCTTTTGAATTTGAATTTAAATCGAGCATACAGCCAGTTCCTTTTAATAACACAATCTATCTATCGCACTCTGACAGGTATCATCGTATTTGGCATAGTGAGTAGAAGCTTGAGAAAAGTAATTATGTACTTGGTGTGAGTGGCTCGGCAAGGTCCTCGTGGCTCTCGATGGAGGATCGTGGTGCACTCGCGCGGTGGATAAAGCTCGTCGCATTGAGCTCGTTCACTGCCGACCAAATAAAGACAAAATTATATCACAACTAGCGGCCCGCCCTCGCTTCGCTTCGGTGTAGAGCTGAAGTGTAGACTACAGTTTTGTTCTCAGGCTTGTATTATACACAATGACATTCATCTATGATTCTTCTTATACCTGCATGCAAAGTCTCAGCCCGATCGGTTTAAAATTGACAAAGTTTCATATAAACTTTCATTCCCTATTTTATCCCCTTGGGGGTAGAATTGATCAAAATCCTTTGTTAGCGGAGGCCTACGTCATAACATCTACCTGCATGCTTAGACTGCATGCCAAATTTCAGCCCGATCCGTCACCTTTGAGTTTTCTATATATAGATACTAGCTGACTCGGCGAACTTCGTACCGCCCAAAAGTAATAATTTGCAATAAATTAAAATTGCGACTATAATTTGAGATTTAAACTATCCTATCTCTCAAGTTGGATCGAACTGCACATGGTGTGCGAATTTTATTATAATCGGTTCAGTGGTTTAGGAGTCCATTGAGGACAAACATTGTGACACGAGATTTATATATATTAAGATTAGAGACAATTTAAGAAGTCAACAGTTTGGAGAAATAAAGGATGTGATATGGCATGACTTAAGCGTCTTTAGGCCGCATAAAATAAGGTAGTTTGCCACTCTTTGAAAAATTTTAGGACTTACCGTGACTGAAGGAGTGCTGTGGAGAGTAGCCATCGTGAGCCGAGGGCTGGTCGAGGGCCTCGTCGGAGGAGCAGATCGTCATCTGCAGATAGCGTTCCGCCTCTTCCGCTGAGAGCATACGTACAGGTCATCCGTTTGCGTGAGATAGCGAACATTATGTGCAGTAAAACCATGATAGTATCTGAATACTTCATTTGGCATGGCATGAGAATTGCTTAGAACAAGAACTAAAGCATAGGAGTTTAATTTAAGAATAGAATAGAATAGAATATAATTTTATTAACCCAGATATTACACATTACAGATATAAATAAAAAAAAACCTCGGGGCTAACCAGGACCCTGCCTCAGCATTAGCTGATGCGACATTGTGTCGCAACTAGCGCTGTTATTCTGGCAGGGCCTGTTTAGTGACACAAATTTAACGCATACAGTTGACTCATTTATAAACCAGAATATTTTTACATATAAACCAGAAACAAATAAATGTTGCTACGTACAGCGTGCGTACTACTCTATTGTAAACGTCAAATTGTATATCTTTGGCCTTTGTACGCCGTGTACGGCGAGCTTATGTCAAATGCAACCGCCAACGCAGAACTAATACTTTTCATTGGGTAATATTAGTTCTTGTGCTGAGGCAAATTATACATAGTTACAGGTAGCGGGAGGTAACTCTAGCGCTGAACAAAACGCGTCAGGGATAGCTGCGCATGGGTACGACTGGAGAGACAATCGGCCGGGACTCCACCAAAGCGGAGACGAGACGAGCGGAGAGGAGATGTCTTTTAAACAACCAATAGAATTGTGTTATTGACACATCTCCTCTCAGCTTCAGTGGAGATCGCTGTGCGAAGTTGTGTAATATTTGTATGGCGAACGATGTGATACGAAAGATGTGAGCGGCGTTTAGTGAGCGGTGTCACCCTCCCCCCTCTCGCCCGCCAGCAACCCGCAGAGCCCCGCTGAGCACTCAACGCCTCGTACCATCTCTTCTTGCATAGCACACAGCACACCGCACACATCTCCGCTTTGGTGGAGTCCCCCGAGCTGAAAAACATCTCTTCTCCCACAGCATACATCACACCTAGGGCTGCCATCCGTCCGGGTTTCCCCGGATTTGTCCTAGTTTACGGGGCGTCCGGGGAGCGTCCGGGCGGGGTTTTATTTGTAGTCCGGGTTTAAAAATTTACGGCAACGCATGAGTGGCCCTTGTTGCTGCAAGTGTCCATGGGCAGCAGAGACCACTTATTATGAGGTAGACCGCTAGCTCTTTTGCCTAGATCAACATTTGATTTGTGATATTTTTAACTGTTTTTTATTGGTCTGTCCGGGTTCTGGGCTCCAAAATCCGGGGTTATCACGCGTCTTATCCTGGTTACCATATTTTAGAGATGGCAGCCCTAATCACACCGCACACAACACTGCTTTGGTGAAGTCCCGGTCTTATTCACGCTCACCCGCGCACCTCGTTTCCCCCCGAGACATCTTAATTTTTATTTCTGCGCAATAACGCTCAGCGCAAGAGTTTCATACCGTGACTTATAAGAGATTGTTAATCCGTTACGTTAGCCTCCGAAACTGTTTTGTCTTTTAAGATTTTAATTTTTTACTACTCGTACGTTTGAGTCGAGCACGAAAACGCCGTTAGTGCAATTGGTATTCGATCGATGGAACTATCGCAATATGCGGCCGGTCGGCGGTAAAGTCACAAGTGCATTACACAGAACACAGGAAGAAATTAGAAGGGTGATCTTAGACCATTTGATCGGGATCCGATGTCGCTCGCACTACACTTTCACATAATAGATAATAGCCAATCAAAAGACGTGACATCAAACAATCGAACTAATCATTGATCACATCCGAGAGTGTCGACGCAATCAGAACCATGTTTTGGTCAAGTTATGAGCATTTGCTCACACATAACCGTGGCGAGCCTGCCCCGCCTGCGAGGCCCTTTTTAACACTTTCTATGTTATGTTGTGTATATGTCACCAAGAATTTCTCATAGAAACATATAGTGCGGAGAGGCTAGTAGATAAGCAGGTTAATAATGACATATGAGTAGGAACCTAACGAATTAGAAGCATGGGACCATGTTTAAGCGGCCTTTGTTAGAGAGTTATGCTTTTTACTTATATTTTTTATTTTTAAGCATGTAACTGCTAGATGCATAAATGTAAAGAAATTTTACTAGAAAAAATCTACGCGGTCCAGGCAGCAGACGGTACTTGAACCCGCACCCTTCGCTATCCGAGCGAATGCACTGACCATTATGCTACCGCGGCCCTGTCGTGTCGAATTTTCTCTAGCCTTTCTTAAGCTGCAAGGCAGCGCCATCTCTTCGCATTGTAGGTAACCCACAATTAAGGTTGCCACCCGTACTTTATTATAAAGTATTGTACGTTATTTCGGGTAATCTCTTATCTATTAGACAAGTCCGTCCGTCCGTCCGTCCGTCCGTCTGTCTGTGGTGCTGTTTCAGCGGCCAAACCGTAAGAGATAGATAAAGAGAATGTTTAAGTTATAAGTTAAGAATAGTCTGATAAGACTACAAACCGGATTTTCGAGAAATCACGAATTTCAAACGAAACCACACAAAATCTCCGAAGTTCTCAATTAATTAAATACTTTTTTTTTTTAAATCAGGTTTTGGTGAACATTTGGTTCACTGGTTTGCTAGTTGTACTATATAAAGTATAGAGTCAACAATAAAACACTTTATTTAATGTGGTCTGATACGGACAGACAGTATGTATGTAATGTCGCCCTTAGCTCATTCTTGCAACATTGTCGTTGCTGTATGGCTTTGTACCATGACCCATGATATTTTTTTGTAGCTACAAATTATTTACTAAATTTTGCTAGAAGCAACGTAAAATATATTTTTAAGCTTACTATTAAAGTGGAATAAAAAGTAATTTATTTTGGACACAATGTACTTTTTTTTCTTCTTTTAATATCCAATGTACTTTATTTGGATATAAAAAAGGTAGCAACCCTACCCACAATGTCAAATGACTTGCAAGTATGATTTACAAGTATTAAACATTTGAATGAAGAAATAGCAATTCTAGTTAACTATACGGCCTGGACCGCGTAGATTTGTTTCTAGTAAAATTTTCTTTAGATTTGTGTTGTATAATTTCTAATTCGTTGCAATTACCTTCACACACCATAAACACTTATTTTTTTATTTATTTAATTAATTGCACATGTACAGTATATACAGGATCTTAAAATTATTTTGGCATGGTACATGACCCTGTCAGGGTGTTGCAAGTACAATAACTATATCAACACAACTACTAAACAGTTTCAATTTCAAACAGGTTAGTGAGCTTTCCGTGACAGTTTCACTTATCATTCATAAATTCATTTACCGAATAGTATGCTTTCTTGATTAGATGTTGTTTGAGTTTCATTTTAAATGTATTTATGTTGCTTTCTCTTTTAATTTCTATAGGAATTTTATTATATATTTGAATTGAACGGTATAGAGGGCTTTTTGACGTGACAACGTCTTAAATTAGGTTGCGGCTGGGAGTCACTTATGAAAAAGTGTAACGCTCGGTAACGTTACGATGAGTCTCTCGTGTTAAGTTTAAGTTTACATGTACAATGTTTTAGTAAACAAAATATATTTCTATAGTTAAAATTTGTGCAATTCTTATTTTCATTCAATTCCTTGTTCCTTTTGTGCAATTTAATTATATTCATATCAATAAATATTCTACCGAGAAAAAGACGTTGTCACGTAAAATCTTCGCCCGTAAAACCGACTTTACAGGCAACCATTTTTTTGAACATTTCTAGTTTTGGCACTTACTGCCAATCTGCTTGAGTGCTTTATCAAAGATCATGGAGTAGTGATTCTTGTTTCTGATGTTGCGTTGGGGCAGACCACGTCCAGACAAGTACTGCGCCACTGACTTGTAGAACGACTGCCCCGACACTTCCATGTAGTGTTGCCTCAGCCCTAGAGCAGAGATCAGCAGCGATGCTGCCCTGATCAGGTCCTCCAGGGGAACCTGACAAATTTATTTATTTATTTTATTTATTTATTTAAAAGGCTTACCAACAATTGTAACACTTAAGCAATTATAATTATAGACACGGAGACACATATATCAATGTTACAATTAATTATAGGTAAACACCACATTTACCATATCTATATCAAACAGTATGTGTTAAAATTTTACCTAATATACCATAATATTATAATGATGAAACATAAACGACTGAATCACAACCGTATACTCAGGGCCGGATTTAAGACAGAGCATCCCTGGAGGCACCCACAACAGAAATAAATAAAACTTGGGGTGCCAGATTTTAAAATATTGACTTTGTTTTTTTTCGTCTTCAAATAGGATCTCGTTTACCGCACTTTACCTCTGATTGAAATTCACTGAAGCGACCTCAAATAGAGGAATAAACCTATTCATTTATAAATACCTGTTACCTGATATGGTGGCCGCACGTGTAAGCATAGGTCAAACCAATGCAGCATAGTGCGTACTAGTACAGTGCGTAGAGTAGCAGCTAAAGACTTTGTAATTATGTGAACCATCAGACAATAAAATTCATACGGTTCTCAGCCACCATATTTACATAAACAATAGTGTCGATTCTGGCGTGATTATTTATTTATTTGATCACCAACATAATAAACATAGACACAACAATCTAACCGGTAATGATAAAATACTTAAGCTTAATGTTATTACAATTATAGGTGAAGACCACATGCGTTATGGAATAGAAGCAACAAATGCTGGTAAACTGTGAATAACAAAGCCTTTAAAAGCTTTCTAAGATTTAAAAAAAATACATTTAATCAACAATGTCCCGGTTAAAATCAATGCATTATAAAGTCAACTTATATATATAATAAAAAAAAATATGAATCGAAATTAATTATCTAAACTTAAAACTAAATTTGACATCAGTACCCTTAGTACGAGTTTGAGCTCACGAAAACTATCATAGTTTTCGTAATTGTAAATTATGTTTCTGTGTCCATTTCGGTGAAAAGTAACCAAATATACTTAAAATTTAAGAACATGCAAATGATTTAATGATAGAATCTAAACACTGTTTATTTGTATTGAAACGAAAACAATAAAATCATTAACCTTAATACGAGTGCGAGCTCACGAAAACTATCATAGTTTTCGTAATTGTAAAACTCGTACTAAGGGTACAGTCTCTCCTCTTCATTCTATATAGAGAATGACAAGGGTGCACTGTTGTCAAATTTAAGTTTAGTTTTAGAGAATCATGCCAGAATCGACACCAATACCCTTACCCCGGTGACGTGTATGCCGCTGACTGAGACCCTCTGGAAGGGCACCTGATTCGGGCTGTCGGCGACGCCCATTTGGTCGTACGGACTGCGCACGTACGTACGGGTTACATGACCGACGTTCTTCAGCGTTTCTCTGAAATGATTGTGTTGTAGCTAGGTACATGGTGAGGAAGAGAGGGGGTTAGGTTATACAGCTGATTTCTAAGCAGAGCGTCGGGGGGGGGGGGGGCTTATTAGTTTATCTAAAGAGTATCTTGGTGCTAACACTATTTTTATTTGGTTATTTAGTATGGTGTGTAGGTGGTATATTTTCGCGCGCGCAACACGTAAGGTTGTTGAAAATCTACAGGACAGGAGGTAAGGTTCAGGCCGGCTGCTAAACGCTACTTTCTAAGGTCAGCATGGGATTCAGAGATATCTTTATTTTTTTCTTTTTCTTTTTTTTCAGAGATTTCTTTATTCTTTGGGGCTAGGCTAATTCGAGATATCGAATTAGCCTAGCCCCAAAGAAAGCACTGTAAGGCTTGTGTTATGGGATACTAGGGTAACGGATAGAATGCATATACAGTACATATATGAGTATATTTATATAGAAATAAATATGTTTGTTTTTTCCTCTTCTAAGAATATACTTAAAATTCGGTTGGTTTGTTTTTGAAGTTATACGAGTACTTCTTTAGCCGCGTTATGAAAAAATTATGAGAGTGAAATGTTAAGATGCGCGCGCATCACTGTAACACAAAAGTAACATAATGAATTTAGCCGCGGGCGCGTTATGAAAAAATGATGAGAGTGAAATTTTAAGATGCGCGCGCAACACTGTAACAGAAAAGTAACACCATGAAGTCGGCCGCTAAACCGCACATTACTCGTAAGTCTCGAAAAAAAGCTTCCAACAAAATAGTAATAGGATCTCTTAGTCGCACATGTTGGGACGCTCGTCGCCTCTGATCACTGTTTTCATATTTATAATATTTATCCACATGTTTCTAGTTTCTATATTCTTAACACGCGTTATAATGTTATACAAATGCTAAATTTATATGTGCTAATAAATTTTATTCAGTAGTGATTTAAATTGAATATTTTGATTAATATTTTCAAATTAAAACTGAACTTTATTGACTGCGTTGACTATCCTTTTCCAACCCTTTTATTATGTTATTGTAATTAATTATCTGCATGCAATTAAAAACTATTTTTTAATAATTCCAAAAAGAAGTATAACTTCTCACGCGCGTACTTAAGTACACGTACCCATATTTTTTTTTTAACCAATATGTGCCTCCTCATCATCATCAGCCTATTAATTTCCGCACTGCTAGAGCTCAGGTCTTCCTTATGGATAGAATATGAAGACTGGGCCGTGACCCACCACGCAGGCCCAGTGCGGATTGGTGGGTGCTTACGACTGCAGATGCAGCCGGGACCAACGGCTTAACGTGCCTTCCGAAGCACGGAGGAGCTCGAGGTAATAAGTTTTTGGTCATTAATCCAATGACCGATCATTTTTGAAAGTTGCTTAAGTTTCAAAATCGCATGCCGATTGCGCTAAGCACATGTAATCAGCCTGTTAATGTTCCCACTGCTGGGGCACAGACCTGCCTTATGGATGGAATGAAGAAATTACGCAGTGGCAAACCACGCGGGTAAAAATGCCGATTGTTGGGTGGGTGCTAACTACTGCAGATGCAGCCGGGACCAACGGGTGAACGTGCCTTCAGAAGCACGGAAGAGCTCGAGATAATAAATTTGTAGTCACCCATCCAATGACGGACCATTGCGAAATTGCTGAACTTTTCGCAGGCCTATTGCGCTAAGCACCTGCGCCATTGAGCTCGTCCTTTGTGCATAAGGGTGAAGCCAAACGAGCGTAATTTTGTGAGTTGTGAGTCGCTTATTTTCGGTCACTTATTTTACGTTCAACTGAATTTCTGTTGAGCTGGCATACGAACGTAATTTATTCAGTTACTATTGAGCGTTAGTACGGGGTGTTCGTGTCGTCGAGTGCAATGGATCCATTAAAAATATTGTGTATTTACGAAGCATATTCAGAAGATGAGGCCAGAAAAAGAAACTGGGTAAACCCACTGAATAGTCAGAGTCTGATATGTGGACAGTTCCATACTTTATATGAACGTTTATGTGCAAATCCAGATATGTTTGAAAAGTATTATCATATGCCACTACGTGTTTTTCAAGAATTATTACACCACGCAACTTGTAACAAACTGTTGCTTCCCCACTCCCCTTCCTTGCCCTACCCTCACCCCGACCGAAATTCGGACGAGCTTATGCGCATTGAGTCGGCAGACAACTCATTTTGCGTTGTCGTGTGGCACCAACTGCCTTTTTGTATGAAACCGAATGCAGCAGAATTTCTACGACCGAAATTCTGCGACTCACCACTCACAAAATTACGCTCGTTTGGCCTCACCCTAAAGTCGAAGTTAAATAAAAATCACTTGGTTTTGTACATTTAAGGTGGCGCTGCGCCGCTAGGTAGGCAGACTCACAAGACAGGTTAAATTTTGATGTTATTTATATATTACAGACCATCCTATAATTTAAGCGACGTATTATAGAAAGATTCTCAGTGATTGATCTAGTCTTGAGCATAGTTAGAAAGGGATGTCGCTATATATAGCACATAGCGACATCCCTTTCTAACTGTACCCAAGTAAAGATCAACACTTAGTTGTCATTCTGTAATACGGGCCTGAGAGACTTAGATTATAGTGGACTTTTCCCTCAAACTGGAGCGCCCGTCTTTGAACGTATAATCCTTCATCTTACAAAAAACGCAGTAAAATTACACCAGCTTTGTATTACGTTATTGTATCCCAGTTGGGTTAATAAGGTTCTGAGTCCACGAGTAAAAGGATACCTGCCCCTCTAGCATGACCACCGAAACGGGATAATTATGATAAAGCGATATATCGGCATTAACTGTCAGACTACTGTCAGACTCCATTGTATTCTGACAGTTAATGCCGATATATCGCTATATCATATCCCGTTTCGGTGGTCATGCTAGAGGCGCTGGACCATATCTTTATTTTATTCATGTTTATCTCATTTTTACGCTTATCATTTGGACTAGTATATATAAAAAATCTCGAGAAATTCCTATCATTATCATAATCAGCCTTTTAATGTCCGCACTGCTGAGGCACAGGATTTCCTTGTGGATGGAATGGGGAAATTAGGCCGTGACAAACCATTTGGGCCCAATGCCGATTGGTGGGTGCTAACGACTGCAGATACAGCCGGGACCAAAGGTAAGATTGCGCTGCTGATCGGCGTAGGTAGATTTGCACTAGTATATATTGCATTTTACGGGTGATGTTTCGAGTCTTATAAAATAATTATTAATGAACTAATTATAAAAATATATACATATTTCAGTAGTTCAATGATGGTAGATTAGTTTTATGAAAGTTTTTGATAGTAATTCTATTTAATTCAATATCAAAATACGAGGTAAACCTGCATTATTTTTTGGGAAAACTCACAGAGGTTAGATGTTTTTTTTTTGATAATTAATGAGAGAAAAGATCAAAATTCTAATACATTATGTTATAACAAAAACATATTTCTGATGTCGCAGTAATTAATTTGATCTAATTGATTGAACATTATTGAGAGATTGAAGAGTTTGAAGTTGTGCATATTATCGTTTTTTCCGTAAACAAGCTGCAGTAGAACGATCAGTACAAAAAAAGGAAAATAGTATTTGCAAATATTCTACATTAACTTACAATAGAAAGAATAAATCTACTGTATACTTCTATTGGAAATAGTCCAAATCTTCTCTAAGGGGGTAAACGAGGCGCTCAAAAATTACAATTTTTTGCAAAAAATGTGAAAGGGCTCTTAACGTGCCTTCCGATTTCCGAAGCACGGAGGAGGTCGAGATAATAAGTGTTTGGTCACCCATTAAATGAGCGGGAAGATAAATTTCTATGCCGAAGAATATTTAGAGACAAAAAGTGACCGGCAGAAGTAAGAAAAGAATTGAAAAGAAAGAAGACAGCTATCTACCTTCGAGACCGTGACCACGTCTTACAATCTTTCTGTGTGTTGAACATACTTGTGCTGCAATTTTTCTTTGGTGGATCCTAAACAGTATCGAGGACATTGGGTGGTGTGATATGAAGCTTTTATATATAATTCAAAATTTATCCCATTATTCTAAACATAAGTTACGATAATTTTAATTGTTTACTATTACTCGAGACTTTTGATTATTTCTCTATGCTTTTCTACGTCGTCTAACTGAAGGTTTGTTTATTCTCTTTAGTTTTTATTTGCTCTCCAATATGGGTGACAACGGATCAAAGTAAATCAAAAATATTCAATACTAGCTGTGCCCCGCGCTGTTACCCGGAAAATAATGGACACGTATTTTTTCTTTGGTCAATCAACCAAACATTTACAAAGATCAAGCGCGCCGAAGTTTGGGAGTGGGTCTCCCTTAGAGCATTTACGACGTAAATGCTCTTAACTCTCCAGTAGTAAATGCTCTAAGTGCTGCGTAGGTTGGAGTGATAACAATAAAACTTTGAATAAATAGTTAATGCTTCCTTTATGACGATATTTATTTACAAATTTTCCATCTTATTCTACAAAAAAACAAACATATTTTTAGTTATAACATTTAACGAGTTAAAACGCGCACTTTTTAAAAGGTATACATATATACCTTTAATAAAGTCCGCGTTTGTTAAATGTTATAAGTACATATTTATATTTTTAGTTATTAAAACAATTAAAACTATGTACTCAGTTGCCTACTTTGCGTTACTCTCCGCGAATCATATAGGCGGGAGGGAAATTATTTGATTTAAACTAGGTACATTAATAGTTATACTAGCGAAGGTCTCTTCAGACTGACGATGGGGGCTTTGAAATCCGGCGGGGGCGGCGTCGTCGGCGGCAGCAGTGGGGTCTGGGCCGGTCCGTGGTACACCTGGAAACCCACACACAAACAATGCTTTTGAAAGACATCCTTACTGGCTAATGTCTATGTACGGGAAGATCATAGCCGTTTAACATTTTCATTATTATTACTTTATCAACAACTAGCGGCCCGCCCTCGCTTCGCTTCGGTGTAGAGCTGAAGTGTAGACTACAGTTTTTGTTCTCAGGCTTGTATTATACACAATAACATTCATCTATGATTCTTCTTATACCTGCATGCAAAGTCTCAGCCTTATCGGTTTAAAATTGACAAAGTTTCATACAAACTTTCATTCCCTATTTTATCCCCTTGGTGGTAGAATTAATCAAAATCCTTTCTTAGCGGATGCCTACGTCATAACATCTACCTGCATGCCAAATTTCAGCCCAATCCGTCTAGTAGTTTGGGCTGTGTGTTGATAGATCACTATGTCAGTCAGTCACCTTTGAGTTTTACATATACAGATAAATCCCGCTTCTGCTAAGGTTCCTATCGTCATCAACGTCTTTAATTTTTATCAAAACTGTGCATAATGTGCGCCAATTTTCAATGTTCTTATTAGAGATATTTCTAATCAACTCAACGGTTTCTTTCATTTTAGTAAAGTTAAATAAATTCTAAAACTCCCTTTGTAATTTTTCTCTACCATACCTACTACCTTCTTCTCTCGTAATCATGATATTTTCATATTTTTTTTAAAACTTAAAGTTACCTTAAAATAAGTGATCTCATATATCCATTAATTGTTAGTAATCGGGTTAACACTTGGACGAATAAACTGACAGGGAGTCTTTATAAGGGACTTCAGATTCCATTAATATTTGCCTTGGACACAGGATCTCGCCTATTCATTTAGGTCATGTTATAAGTTATATTGATATAAATCTATGTTGTAAGTTATAATGATTTATGATTTCGTCACAAAGAAATATTGCATCATTACTTATGAATAATGTTAGCACTTATTCTATACTACTATGTACCTTAAAAGAAGAGGGGCGTTCCGCACCGGTTTAGCTAATCCAAAAAACAGATTTATTAAAAATACTATCTGCATTACGTTTATTTTGGATGAAAAAGTTTACTAAATTTTACTTTCTTGATTCCGATATTTGAAATTATTCTATGCTGGAATTCTGCCTGTAATTTCTGTTTACCTATTTGGTAGTCATGGAAAACTCTCTCAAAGAATATATTGTTTTAAACTTTGATGGCCACTAACATTATAGCTATTAACGGGATTGTTACCATGTACCTTGTTTTTTATGAGTCTCCGATATTGGCGCTTGCAACAGTGCCGAAATATCGGAGACTCATAAAAAACAAGGTACATGGTAACAATCCCGTTAATAGCTATAATCTCTCAAGGAAATTTCGATACAGGGCTATGAGAACAAAATACACCAAAAAAGTCTTTTGATTTTATAATTTGGTTGCTTTGATGCCGGAGATTGTTTTCAGGATAATAAACACCATCATTTATGTATGATAAATTTTATTTCCAACAACATGATTAACATTAAATTGATAAAGAAAATCCATTATTATGATTTACAAATAAGTATAAGTGTATAAATGTCTATCAGCGTTAGTAACATGATGTACACAAAGCCATTTTAAGTACAAAACACATAGTAAGTAGGCATATAAGAGATTCTGAATAAGAAAAATAATTCATGCGAACAAGAAATATAACTGTTCAGTCATAAAGATAATGCTCAATGAAATACTTTTTAACATGTAAATGAGCGTAAATATATATTTATTTCTAATTTTGTTTTGTCTACACGTGAAAATAAGAGAAATAAATATATAAACTGAGGAGCTGGCGAACAAAACGGTATAATTACGCATCTGGACAAGCTAATTTTTTTGTACAGACTGGAGGTTTCGGGCCCGTTGAATTTGAATCTCAAAATCTCAAATAAATTTTCAATCAAAACCGCCTAAAACAGTGTTAAATTACTAAATTTATAAATTAAAAACCAGGCCAAAAGCTCACCGTAGGTATGTCATTCAGTTTTATACAGCTCCTGTAATATTGAGTGCCGACTAAACATCTGGTGACCTTTTTAAAAGAGGAGCTTTGGCCGAAAGGTATGGTGTTCCGGCGTTTCAAAGTCATAACCTACCTTTGAAAACGCCTGTTGCACCACTCAGCGCTACACGTCGCTGACTAAACGTAAATAATTTAATTTTATGTAAATATACCGTTTTGTTCGCCAGCTTCTCAACTAATGCTATGAAACCGATTAAAACAAATCAAAACATCAACACGCAGATTATCATATCACAAAAGTAAACAATCACAACATATGACAAGTGTGTCCCATATGACTGCCCGAGAAGCATAAAACATTAGTACCTATTTGAGCGTACAAATGATAATGATTATTGTAAATTAAGAATTCATTTTTACATTAGATTGAAACTTTAACCTTAAATTCGAATCACGAGCCAAAGAAAAATTACTGTATTATTCATCGAGAGAGCTCATGACGTTATCATCCTTCTTGAATAAATACATACAAATTAGCACAAAAAACGGAATGATAAATTAAAAAATATTAAGTTTTAATTTAATGAAATTCATATGTAGAGACACAAAAGCTTACACTTAAATCTAAACAAAGTCAACACGAACGATGCATACACAAAAGATATCGACATTGAACAGGGAAACAACTTTCAGAGATGTCGGGTAGCACCTTTCATTCTACGACCTATCATGACTTAGGATTAAGACCCTAGAAAAATTCGAAGAGAAAGCACGAGGCTCACTTGTATTAGATAAAGCATTAGATACAGTGTATCAATCAATGGCACTTGCAAACCTCTCACATATCACATTCGGAATGTCTATAAATCTAAGTGGTATCTGTTAATAGATTGGGGCACTTCTTAAGCCCTAACATTAATATTATTGTATATTTATTAAACATTGTAAACATTGTTGTTAGTTAAAAATTACATTAAAATAACTCAAGTTAATCCATTGCTGCGTCCACTGTTCTGCTTGTGGACGTGTTTATCTGCGATCTGACATTCCATCCTGAAATATTATTATTAGATGTTAACAATAGGGTGACTTGGGTAAGTGGTTTTGGAATATTAGAATTAATGAAAGCTGTTATTGGAACAGACAGTTAATACACGTCACCAAATATGGACAATTGAGTAATTAATACATGAAATCCAAAAATCAATAATAAGTGTAAAATTAAATATTACAATAAAGCTCTTATTTGTAAAACTTATTTACGATTTAGGAAAGTAATAAATGCTTTTAACGTAAGACTCATAAGATCGTAATGCCGTCATCTAAGTAAGTTTAATTTGTGATAAATAGATTTCAGAAATATTTAAAGGATACTTTGCTTGTTTATGGTTTAAGTTTCCTAATTAGGCCATTTGCCATCAATTTGAAATATTTACATCAATAACACAAACGAAAAATATGCTTGTTTAATTATTTTTGTATGTAATATAATTTGGCTTAAGACTTCACTGAAGTCTAGGAATTTTCTATTGTTCCAAAAGATTTTATTCCTATCGCAAATACTTATTTCCAATTAAATACATATTATGAGGTCGCTCGCTCAATTTAATATGTGATGCACTGAAAACAATTTTTGGTCCCTAGATATGTAGGTAGACGAGACAAATTCAGTTACAGTAACAAAGGCTTAAAGCATTGGCAAATCTTGGCACAAAAAGCGAATTGTTAAAGCAAAAACTAATAGAAAAAAAGTACAGTCAGTAACAAATCAAGCTGTCTTAAGGTGTCAAGTTTCATGTTGATGTGAAACTTATATTAAGTGAGCTAAGCACAAAGTCGATTTATGAAAATTTACATTTTCGGATAACTTAATCTGAACAAAGTTTATAACACCTACAATCAACAACTTTACTGTAACTTTTGTTTCCAAATAAAATCTTGGATATTACCTAATTTTAATGTTTACTTATGGAAGTGTCTTAAATGTTAAACCTTTTGTCTGTTGTGCAGTGTGTCGTGAATTACCTTGAAGATGTTAGTGAGTTCGTCGAGCAGCGTCTCGTGTCGGAAGGAAATGCGGATGTCGGGCACGTTGGTGCGAGTAATATCATTGCCGGCCACACCCTCCTTCATGTAGTTGGGACCCAACCAGTATTGTTTCATCTGATCACGAACAAAATCATAAATAAAATTTCCAGAGAACTCTACCATCATAAATGTAAATGTAAGGTGTTCTTAAAAGTCCTACCAATACATCATAATTTAATAATAATGCAATTTTACTTTGCCAGAAGCTGTGGGCTGATTTTTGCGAACATCAATAGGGTATTTGACAGTATTAAAAATAAAGTGCCAATTGTTAGCATCTGTATTTAGAATGAATATTGGCAGGAGTTTTTAGTATTTTTACAGAAAAAATAGTCATAATTTTACTAAAAACTCACGATAAAGATAATAGTTTTCTTATTTATTGTCACGTAACCCAAAACGCTTCGGATTGGTGGAGCCTAAAATGACGTCACACGCAAGTAAACTTCCGGTTAAAGTAACATTTGATTGTATGGTTTGACGTTTTAATGGCAGTCGTGTGACGTCACAGACCAGTGAGACGCCATGTTGTCCAGAGATACGTTTTTCACGGCAACTTGAAAATAGAGTTTTTGATATGGTTTTTTAGCGAAATACACAACATAATGATGAATATCCAACATATTAGTAAAAACGTGAGATCGTTTTCTAAAACTTGTCAAATACCCTATTCATCACACAGCAGCAGCAGACAGCACCGAAAAAAGGAAGACGAGGAATATTCAGAAACAGTGGTTAATAAGCTGCCAATCTAACATTTATCGTTTTTTAACAAAATCAAATCCTGCCAAATGTGGCGGCGTTCAGATGTGTTTAAGAGTTTTCTATGGATGTTTATAACTTACGCCATATGTTTTGACACTGAAGAAAAAAGCTTTGAAGGGATGCAGAAGCCATAAAAACCCATTCATCACTTTATTATTTGATTTATCAATTCTAGGGGGGGGGGGGCTAGGTGTAAATCGGAAAAAATACGTCCTGCATCTTCTTGCAGCTCTTTCCAGACATCTACTGTTTTTTTTCTGTAATGCCTCCCGATTTAATAAGACGCGAATTGCACTTGATGAAATCCCGCCAAAAACTTCCTTTTTTCTTAGTTGCCTCTTTTAAAGAGAAGGCTAAGGGCTAATCTGACCTGGCAACATGATTATGATGAAGTGAACGTTTAAGTTTTAAAGAAGTTAGTAGCTTTAAGCCAGCCAGAAGCAAACCTCATGAGGGAATCCCGACATGAGCACGGAGTTTCTCGCCAGTTCGCACATGTCGCACGAGCTCAGCTTCCACACCTGCGCCGCGATGCTGTACTCCTCCATCAGCGGCTCCTGTACAAACAACATCACATCATTATGTAAGACTCACAATCTCTTGACAGATGGCGCTTTATATCTAACCAGCTTTGCATTTGTGTTAGTGCACGTACATATTGGTAAATAAGAAACCATCTTCATTTTTGTAATTATAAATTTATTTTGTTTTATCATCTACTGCTATGCTCTATTGTTTGCCTCACTGACGCTTGCTCACTTTACCGACCAACTCTCTTCTCCATCGGTGTTTGTACTATTCGTATGTGATTTCCATCTATATATATAAAACTCAAAGGTGACTGACTGACTGACATAGTGATCTATCAACGCACAGCCCAAACCACTGGACGGATCGGGCTGAAATTTGGCATGCAGGTAGATGTTATGACGTAGGCATCCGCTAAGAAAGGATTTTGATCAATTCTACCCCGAAGGGGATAAAATAGGGAATGAAAGTTTGTCTGATAGTTTGTCAATTTTAAGCCGATCGGGCTGAGACTTTGCATGCAGGTATATGAAGAATCATAGATGAATGTCCTTGTGTATAATACAAGCCTGAGAACAAAAACTTCAGCTCTACACCGAAGCGAAGCGAGGGCGGGCCGCTAGTAAAAAATAAAATTCAACAAAAGTAGTTGTTTTGCTGTTTGGACCTACACCTCTCATCTCTCCACATATGGTAGCGGCACGCTATGATGGCCGTTTTTGACGTTTGTGGGCCCATGAAGGTGGTTGGTGGTTGTGGTATTGGTGGTTAAAAAAAAAAGAAAAATAGTCATAATTTTAATAACGCGGACCCGCGTGGATTTTTTTCTAGTTATATTTTCTTTAGAAAAATAGTCGTTCTTCATTGTTATTAGAGATCTCACGCAAAGGCAATAGAGTTTTTGATTGAACTTAACCCTACGGTTATGCTTTAAGGAATTTTTCGCTTATGGATTAATAAAGGCACAAAATGTTGGACTATCCAAAACAACGTAAAAAACTCTTTCAAATTAAACATCGCATCAATGAAGTTCTGGATTGAACTGCATCTTACGGTTATGCTTTATGAAGTTCTTCGCGCACGGCACAAAACGTTGGACTATCCAAAACATTGGTATTTATGCCGCAGATTTGAAAAAAAATACATTTAAAATAATCCTGGTAAGCATGAAGGCCAGATCTTGGTTTTTATAGCTTATTTATTAGCCCTTTAGGATACGGTCCTTAATACAACATTAGATGAGATTCACACCAACCTTAGTGAAGTGGAATTGCAGCGGATCATCTGTACTGAGCGTGATGCAGAGTCCTCTCGCGAGGAACTCCGGCAGCGGGTTGCGGTGGTAGTTGAGGAACAGCGAGTTGTTGCTGAGCGGCGACATGGCGATGTAGATCTGCGCCAGGTAGTAGAGGTACTGGAGTACCGGCACCTGGTCATCATCAATATTAGGTATTTTAGTGTAAGCCTGTAGCCTTTAAAGCACGGTTTATAGATCAGTATTTACAATCTAGGTTGTAAAAAAGACTTTGACAGAGTTCATGCAAGAAGGGTGAGGGTTGCTTATGCACAAAGTATCATTGGTGCTTCAGCTATTTATCAAAACGGTTGGCATGTCGTGTATGATGAGCTGGGAGGGAAGTGACATTCAACTTACATAATATTTTTTTAAGTGAAACATCTTTTGGCGCACATTAAATCGATTTCTGGCGTGGCAACGCTCGCCCGTAAAATGCAATATATACCAGTACTCAACTATTCGCCGATCAGTACGGCGCCAGGGTCTTTCGAGGAAGGACTTATGTCATTTTTTACCGCACGCATCCCGAGCAATTCTCCGAGTGTATTTATCGGAAACCGGCCAGTGTTCCACTTCTGCCAGGCGTCCCGTGACGGCTCACATTTTTCTTTGATAAACCCCCAGAAATTTAAAGTTATCTGCACATGCCGTACTACTTTACTGTCTACAAAAACTCTACGTCCATGAGTTTATTCGGGAATATACATTTTTTTACGATCTGAATGATCGCATGTACAGAGACAACCTACGAAAAGATAACGCATTCTTTCTCATATTGCTCTTCTACACTACACTTTGCTATTTCTCGTGTTTAATAAAATTGGCATATCGGAAAATTGAGAGATATTGTAACTACGTGCAGTTTCTAGTTTGTCTAGTTTGTCTGATGGCGTCTGATTATCCTCGAATGTGCTGTCGTTGAGGAACTCAATGGCGCAGATGGTTAGCGCGTTCGGCTGCGATCGTTAAAGGTAAGCATCTTTCGCAATGATTGGTCATTGGATGGATGACCAAAAATCTTCTATCTAGAGTTCCTTCGTGCTTCGGAAGGCACGTTAAGCCGTTGATCCCGGCTGCATCTGCATTCGTTAGCACCCGCCAATCCGCACTGGGCCCGCGTGGTGGATCATGGCCCAATCTCCCTATTCCATCCATAGGGAGGGCCTATGCCCCAGGAGTGGGAACATTAACAGGCTGATGATGATGATGTGTAGATACGCTACATACATATATGAAGGAACTTTAAGTCAGCGTGTTATGCTTACCTTTCTCAGCAGCAGTCCGTGGGAGATGTTCTCGGCGAGCAGGAAGCCGCACACGAGATGCTGCACGGGGCCCGCCTCCCCGCAATGGGGCCTCAGCACGAACACGTTCAGACCTTGCTCCCTGGAAATAAGGTTCAATATTGTACCTGCGATAGATTGACAGAACAGATTACTCTTAATAACGGCCATCTCATTAATAGTTGTTACTATCTTGACGACCTCCTTGGCCGAGTGGTTTGTACGCCGGGTTTCATGGTGTCGCCAACTCGAGAGGTCCCGGGTTCGAATCCCGGTGGGGGCAGATGTTTGTGTGATAAATACGAGCATTTGTACTCCAGACATGGATGTTTAATATGTATTTCTACATAAATATGCTTATATATGTACAGTATATGTATTCTATCCGTTACCCTAGTATCCCATAACACAAGCCTTACAGTGCTTACTTTGGGGCTAGGCTAATTGGTATGAGTGTTAGAAATATTTATTTATTTATTTATCATCAGTCAGCTACTGTGGAAAATCTCTAACAATTACTTTTAGTGAAAATTTGAATAGACCGCTTATGTAAGGTCAACCCTTCTTGAACTTCTGGATTGAGCACCTTAAGAGTCCGAAACCTTCGCTCTTTGACTGCAGCTAGTACAGTAGAGTACAAATAGTATATTAAGTATACCAATTCCTATTAAGACGTCCATATCTTCGTCGATTCGAGTGGTCTAGAGGCTCCAGATGGAGAGGAGACGCCATCCGCCTGGAATACCTCTAGAGGCACTCGCCAATTCTCGGCTCGAGGTCCCCTTAGGATCTCGCCGTCCCCAAACCCGGTGACGCTGTAAAGGTCATCTGCGACCAACACACACACTCAAAAAAAAAAACTTCGTCTTCTGTACCCATTTTGCATCTCGGCATCGATTTGTGTATACTTCTATAGCAGAGGTTGGCATGTAGGAAGGCGTAAGGGGAAGATCTTTCTCTGAGCTGGATGATGGTAGCTCGAGGGCCGCGGCCCGACTGATTATGGTCGGGCATTGTATATATGGAGTGTTAGCCACCGAATTTCCATTGCGCGATGTAGTCTTCTATACAATTGTGATCGCAGCGCAGGTAGCGCCATCTCTAGGAGAGGCTTGTTTATTTCCTTCATGTTGGTTATATGTGGGGCATGTAGATGTCGCCGCCACAGGCAAAGTATGGCTCGCGAGTCTACTGCCATCAAGATGGGATTGACTGACGTCAGATAACCCAGAGAGGCGTAGATTACTTGACTATTCCGAGTCTCATATTTGGAATTAAAAAATGGTGTCGATTCTGGCATAATTATCTAAACTTAAATATGTTTTTTTTTTATAGATAGTTCTGACAAACGACTCCATCCCACCTGATGTTAAGTGAAGGTGAAGTCCAGACGCGAAGATAGCTGATAACAGTGTTGTCGATTCTGGCGTGATTCTCTAAACTTAAAGCTAAATTTAACATCAGTCTCTCCTTTTCATTCTGTATAGAGAATGACAGGGATGCACTGTTGTCAAATTTAAAGTTAGTTTTAGAGAATCATGCCAGAATCGACATCAGTGTATCCTTGTCATTCTTCATGCAGAGCGAACCGGATAGACTGGTGTTAATTTAGTTTTAAATTTACAGAATTGTGCCAGAGTCGACACGATTATATAAATTAGTTTATTAACTAGTTGTTGTGATTTTATTTCTATTATAAGTATTAAATTCTTAGATTTTAAAATCTTCTAAAACATATTAGAAGAAATTGAACGCGGTCCAGTTATCAGAGATTTAGGGCCTCTGCAGCATAGCGGTGTTCAGTGCATTCACCCGGATAGCTAAAGGCAGTTCCATCGGATGATACCTACCTGAGTCGAGTAGATTTTTTTCTATGCCTGCAGAAAAAATCAGGTTTCACGTCTCAGCAATTTGCTCCTGACTGCTGGATTGTAAAATATGAAAATACTAGCTGTGCCCCGCGGTGCTAACCGCGGTTTATTAGGGAGAAAGGAGGAGTAAAACGAAAGCCTATGTGTTAATCCAGGGTGTCAGTTAACTCCATACCAAATCTTATTAAAATCGCTCCAGCCTTTAGACGTGAAGAAGTAACAAACATACACACTCACATACTTTCGCCTTTATAATAATAGTGTGATAAATAAAGAATGTGCACTGACATTATAGCTATTATCGGGTTATTACCATGTACCTTGTTTTTTATAATAGGGATGATGACTATTTTTTTTCTTCGTTTATCAGATAGATTATCAAAAAGTATTCGACACGTATTTTTTCTTTTTTCACATAATATAAACATTGCAGAGATATATTGATATGAAAAGTCGCATGACGTCACGTTTTGGTACACTTGAAAGTGAAAACTCACTAAAAAGTGAAGTCACGAGCCTTTACTCCCAAACTTTGACACGCTATAGCTTTGTCATTTTTAGTTGATTGCCCAAAGAAAAAATACGTGTCCATTATTTTTTGATCATCTAACTGACGGACTAAATAGAATTTCGTTTACTGTACCCCGTCATCACCCCTATTCTCCGATATTTCGGCACTGTTGCAAGCGCCATGATCACGGAGTAACTGAAGTAATTGCGGGTAGATGGTACTGGCAGACATATCGGTCTACCCTCAGACGTCGTCTTCTACCGCTCTGGATACCCCTACCACTGGTCACATTCTCACAATAGGGTATTTGACAACTTTAAGAAAACGATCTCACGTTATTGACTAATGTTTATTGAGTCCGTTAAAAGTGGATATTCATCACTCTGTTGTGTATTTCAGTAAAAATAACCAAATCCAAATCTCCATTTTCAAGTTGCCGTGAGAACGTTTTTCTGGACAATATGGCGTCTTACTAGTGTGTGACGTCACACGATTGTTATTAAAACCTCAAACGATACAATGTAATATCACTTTAGCTGGAAGTGTACTTGCGTGTGACGTCATTTTAGGCTCCGCCAATCCCAAGCGTTTTGGGTCAATAGATAAGAAAACTTTTATCTTATTCGTGGGTTTTTAGTAATTTTTTTTTTTTGTATAAGTAGTAAAATCCCCTGCCAACATTCATTCTAAATACAGATGCTAACAATGAGGGCTATCGCGTATGAATCCGCCGCTAGAGGCGCTAGTGTAGCGTGAGGTCTCCGAAATGTCAAATGTTATTGCTTGTTGGTTGACTACGCGGGTTTATTTCTAATTAAAATAATGTTGTGAATAAATGGTAACAATTCGGCTTAATTATGGCAAATATGAGTTATGTGGCAATGAATGTCAGTTATTAAAAATTTGAGCTTAGAAAAATGATTATGTTCCCATTTTTCCGAATAAAACGGAACTGCGCGTCACTGTGGCATGGCCTATTATGTTTAGGATATGGTTCTTTTGTGTTAAAATACGATCTTAATGTAATCTTTGATTTCATGTGCGTATTAATAAACTTTAAAAGTTACAATTTAGGACCTCACTCAACAGTGGCGCCATCTGGTGAGGCAGAAAACGGTAGCCCTCATTGGCACTTTATTTTTAACGCTGTCAAATACCCTATTCTCTTCGATACAGAACACTGGGAGTTTTATTCCATCACAAGCTAAGTCCACAACCATCGCCGTCAAGACTCCTACGTGTACCGGTCCTCCACCCCCAAGTGGGAGTCGGTAACTGCCAGCTACTGCTGCGTCCCGGCGTGCCGCATATTTATTAATATTAGTGCCGATGAAAGTTTAAAACAATAAATGTGCACTGACTTGCGGAAGTGGTTGAGCACGGAGTAACTGAAGTAATTGCGGGTACATGTTATTGGCAGACATGTCGGTCTACCCTCTGACGTCGTCTTCTACCGCTCTCGATACCCCTACCACTGGTCACATTCTCACTATTAATAGCTATAATATTAGTGACGATGAAAGTTTAAAACAATAAATGTGCACTGACTTGCGGAAGTGGTTGAGCACGGTCATGTTGGCGTACATGTAGTACAGGTAGTACGCGTAGGGCGGGTTCTCGTCCTCGTCCCAGGCGGGCGGCGTGCGCACGTCCGCGTCCAACATCGGGTTCTCGGGCTTCGACTCGTCGTCCACGCTGTCGAACCCGATCACGTGCTGTATACAATACAATACAATCATCATCATCATCATTAGCCTATTAATGTCCCCACTGCTGGGGTACAGGCCTTCCCTATGGATGGAATAGGGAGATTGGGCCATGACCCACCACGCGGGCCCAGTGCGGATTGGTGGGTGCTAACGACTGCAGATGCAGCCGGGACCAACGGCTTAACGTGCCTTCCGAAGCACGGAGGAACTCGAGATAGTAAATTTTTGGTCACCCATCCAATGACCGGCCACTGCGAAAGTTGCTTAACTTCAACGATCGCAGCCGAACGCGCTAACCACTTGCGCCATCGAGCTCCTCCTAAGTGTAACTTATGTACACGCGTTATACTTCTTTAGCATCATTAAAAATATTTTTAATTGCATGCAAATAATTAATAATTACAATAAAATAATAAAAGGACTGGAAAAGGATAGTTAACACAGTCAATTAAGTTCAGTTTTATTTTGAAAAATTAAATAAATATTCAAAATATTCAATTAAAATCACTAATGAATTTAAGTTATTAGTCCATATGTAATTAGCATTTGTAAGTAACTAAAACACGTTGTGTCTATATAGAAACTAGAAACATATGGATAAATATTATAAATATGAAAACAGTGATCAGAGGCGACGAGCGTGCCAACATTGTTTTTGACAACGCGATCATCTTATGGAGCTCCGTGGATCGTTCAAAGTACCTTTCGAACAGATGTCTAATAATGGTGGATTATTAACCACTAAGTGGTTAATAATCCACCATTATTAGACACTAACATTCATAACGCGCCCGCGGCCAACTTCATGGTGTTACTATTGTGTTACAGTGATGCGCGCGCATCTCGAAATTTCACTCACATGATTTTTTCATAACGCGCCCGCGGCCAACTTCATGCTGTTACTTTTGAGTTACAGTGATGCGCGCGCATCTAAAAATTTCACTCTCATCATTTTTTCATAACGCGCCTAAAGAAGTATAACTTCAAAAAAAAAGAAAGAATTTCGACGTGGTCCGTGAGGGCCGCGGTAGCATAATTGGTCAGTGCATTCGCCCGGATTGCGAAGGGTGCGGGTTCGAGTCCCGTCTGCTGCCTGGTCCGCGTGGAATTTTTTCTAGTTATATTTTCTTTAGATTTAAACATCAAGCAGTTACATGCTTTAAAAAATAATAAAAATTATAACTATAATTGCTATTTCTTCTTTCAAATGTTTAATACTTGTAAAAGTATTCATTTGACATTGTGGGTTTACCTATAATGCGAAGAGATGGCGCTGCCTTGCAGCTTAAGAATAGCTAGAAAGAATTTCGACGTGGTCCGTGAGGGCCGCGGTAGCATAATTGGTCAGTGCATTCGCCCGGATTGCGAAGGGTGCGGGTTCGAGTCCCGTCTGCTGCCTGGTCCGCGTGGAATTTTTTCTAGTTATATTTTCTTTAGATTTAAACATAATCTTTTTTGAACTTTTGACCGGTGTTTGATATTTTTAATACTCACATTATTTTGTTAATAATAATAACCATTTAGATTTAAACATCTAGCAGTTAAATGCTTAAAATATAAAACAATATCAGTATTAACCAATTTGATTTTTTACTGACTAAAGCAATAAAAACTATTCATTTGACAGACTCTAAGTAAGTATTATATTGCAGAAATATATTAGTGTCTCACCGAAAGTTCGGTTTCGGTTTCGGCCGAGTTTCGGTGAAAAATTAAGTTTCGGCGGCAGTTTCGGTTTCGGCCAAAATTGACTGAAACTTTTGCCGAAACCGAAACTGATTTCGGAAGTTGTCGCGCACGCTCGCCTTACTTCGTTTCTCGCACAGCAGTAATATCCTGTATTGAGAAGTACAGTTTCCTATATTGAGATAAAAGAGATTGATGATTCTTCTAAGTACAAATACAAACCAAAGTATTAATTAATAAGATTTCAAAATACCAATGGGTATTTAATGAAACAATAAAAATTTGTGAATTGATTATTGATAACTGATAAAAATTTGGCTATGAGAACTTAATTTGGAAAAATAATAAAAATATTATTAATATTTTTTTTATATTATATTTAATAAATGATAACCTACAACAAAATTAATATACTGTGTTTCCATTTCATGTCCTAATTAATGCTGAATAATGGGTAAAATACACCAAATTTCAGTATTTTAAGGAATTTTAATCTTGACCACGTGAGTTTCGGTTTCGGCCGAAACTGAAGACACTGCCGAATATTCGGTTTCGACCGGAAAACCAGTATCGGTCGGACTCTAAAATATATATAAACAGTCTGGACTTAGATACGAATGCTCGTAATCATCATCAAACATTTGAACCACCGGAATTCGAACCTGTGAGTAGGCGACACCTTGAAACCAGTGTACATACCATTCACACCACGGATGTCCTCAATTGTCGATACCTAGTCATTGGTGTCGATGCTGGCGTGATTCTCTAAACTTAAAACTAAATTTAACATCAGTCTCACCTTTTCATTCTGTATCGAGAAGGTCAAGGATGCACTGTTGTCAAATTTAAGTTTAGCTTTAGAGAATCATGCCAGAATCGACATCATTACCTCGCGTATTGGGATAGGTCGTAAAGAGTAAGTTAAGACTCACGGTGAGGAACTTGTGCAGCTCGAGATTGCTGTTGGGGTCGTTGGTGACCTCGAACAGAGGCTGGAAGATGTTGCTGAGGAATTCTTGGAAGTTGGTCATTATCTTGTTGCTCTTGAAGATATCACTGCGGGAAGAAAATGAATGTTAACAAAGCAGTAGTTTTGAAGGAGGATTCATTCTTAAACGTGGCCGATTTATAAAATAATTGACGTGAAAATATTTTCATTCCAAAGGATGCATAATACTAATAGGGTATTTGGCAGTATTATAAATAAAGTGCCAATTGTTAGCAGATTAGAATGAATGTTGGCAGGGGTTTTCACTGTTTTTACAGAAAAAATATTCATAATTTTACTAAAAACCCACGAAAAAGATAATAGTTTTCTTATCTATTATCACGTGACCCAAAACGCTTGGGATTGGCGGAGCCTAAAATGACGTCACACGCAAGTAAACTTCCGGTTAAAGTGACATAACATTGTATCGTTTGAGGTTTAAATTACAGTCGTGTGACGTGAGACACACCAGTGAGACGCCATCAAGGAACTGTCCAGAGAAACGTTTTCGCGGCAACTTGAAAACGGAGATTTTGATTTGGTTATTTTTACTGAAATACACAACAGAATGATGAATATTTTTATGGACTCCGTAAACATTAGTCAATAACGTGAGATCTTTTTCTAAAACTTGTCAAATACCCTATATGAATATTGTTTTCCGTAATTTATGCGGGGTCTTCTTTGTAAAATAATAGGATTCTTTAAGTATATAAACTTTTATCCTTCATTACATTAATTTCACGTTTCATGATTTCAAAAAAATGGTTGCCTGTAAAGTCGGTTTTACGGGCGAAGATTTTACGTGACAACGTCTTTTTCTCGGTAGAATATTTATTGATATGAATATAATTAAATTGCACAATAGGAACAAGGAATTGAATGAAAATAAGAATTGCACAAATTTTAACTATAGAAATATATTTTGTTTACTAAAACATTGTACATGTAAACTTAAACTTAACACGAGAGACTCATCGTAACGTTACCGAGCGTTACACTTTTTCATAAGTGACTCCCAGCCGCAACCTAATTTAAGACGTTGTCACGTCAAAAAAGTCTTTTATCAACTTCGAAATTTATTTGTTGTAACTAGAAAAGATTCTGCTGTTATATTTTTCCGTCCGCTGCCTAGCCGCGTGGAATTTCACCTAGTTAAATTTTCTCTACGTTTAAAAAGATTCTACTGTTAAAATAGCGTAGAGAATTAAAACAAACTACGCGGGGTATAGCGACGGGGGTGCAACCCCAAATTATTGTGGCATTATACCAACACTGGATTATTGTCGTATATTATACTAAACTGTGGTTAAGTCCAGGGGGGTGGCAGAGCGACGGGGCTGCATTACTGGATTATTGTGACATTGTAGTTTATTATAAACTGTGGGCCAGTCCTGCCTAGCAATCTTTACGAACACTAGCTGACCGAACTGAAAAAAATGTGATAGTACTCGTAAAACCGTAAGAAAAAATCCGTGGAAAAAAGTGCGTGGAATAAAACCGTTAAATGAGACGTGCGCAGGCGCGCCAGTCGCATACATAAGCGAGTTTGCAATTTGTGTCGATTCTACATTAGCCGAAGGAACTTCGTTCCTACCTGGTGTCCCACGACACCATATCATTTTTTTATACTAGAAATCTGAGTACTCACTAGAGCCTCGGGATTTGTATGAGCCAGCGCACGTTGTCCGAGTGCACGTCGTACTGTATGGCCCACTTGGCGAGCTTGGCCCATTCGTCCGGGCTCTTGCCGTAGATCGACAGCCGCAGTTCCGCGTTCTGGTACTTGCTCTCCTCTAGATCTGAAGCTACTTCCTGAGGGACAATACAAGTATGAAGAATAACTCCAATTTTTGCGAGAACTTTCGCTCTTGCAGTCCAGTTACAGCTCCCTTAGCATGAGCACCGCAATATGATATATAACGCGTTATTATGACGCCCAATTGTCAAATTACTATGGAATTTGAAAGTTAGACGCGTTAAAAAATAGACCATATTTTGTTCTTGAAGTCTGCTATAAAATTCAAAATTCAATATCGTTTATTCAGTCTAGGCTGTTACACAAGGGCGGATCCAGCTTTGGCGCCAGGGGGGGTCATATTGTCGTGGTATATTAAATATTGAAAGTACTTAAATAAAATCCCTCTGGGTTTGGTCCATCTGTACCCAGCCCAGGAGGGAGTCATGACCCCCATGACCTGGATCCGCCCTTGCTGTTACAAGCACTTCACCGTGATACAATGTAAATTGTGCCCCCGTAGCATGAGCACCTCGATATGATATACAACGCGTTATTATCACGCCCAATTGTCATATTACTATGAAGTTTGACAGTTAGTTGTGATAAAAACCATGATATAATGTAAATCGTGGAGCTCATGCTACGGGAGCACAGATTAGCAACTTATCGCACTTGAACCTGTAAGGATGAAATGTGCTACATTCTATTCTGTAGGTGATTCTGTGAAATAAAATCTCATTTTAAACATCAGTTTGATATGCATTACGCCATTACACGGCAAAATGTCGCTATGTCTGTAGAAGCAGTCACTATTAGACATAAGAGATATTAGAGATGTTATATTTGACATTTGTTACAAATCCGAATAAATGAGATTGCATCTTAAAAAATGCCATTGCTGATCTAAGTCGAAATCATTACTCCTATTAAAACCACTGGTAACACCCAAAAAATGCAGGCCAATATCAAATCACATGCTTGAATGAATGAAGATGCAAGCCGAAAACCAAATGACATGCATGATCCTAGGTAAAATTATTTTTTGTAACCCTAAATATTGGAACTAAAGGAATCTATAATGTACGATGACCGATTTTTTATTATTATATATATTTTTTCATATTAGAAATTAAAAAATGTGTTGCGAATTGTAAGATGCTGCTTCCTTCAGGACTTCGACATCTGGACTTTACACTCGAAATCATGCGGGGGAGTAATTGGCCAAACCTGAACAAAGAATTCGTTGTTTTCTGAATAAGGGGAGCGTCACAAACCTTGATGATCCTAGCGAAATATTTCCCGTTCATGTAGTTGTCCGTCTTGAGGAACACCTCGCGCAGCCTGCTCTCTCCGATCGGGTTGTATTTAGCGTTGAACTTGTCGAACCTATGGAATGTGTTGCGGTCCTGCACAAACAACATTTGTTGCAATATCTTTATCAGTTTTGCTAGAAATCTTGGTTGAGTAGCTTCTTAGCATTCAATACTATATGCCCCTTATTAATAAACGAAGACAACTCTTGGATTAGTTACTCCATGTTTTTCTCTGTCCATTGCATGAACAAAACACGGCATTACTAGTCTAAGCTTATTCCTTATTTATTAATAAGGGGATAGAAGTTCATAGTTTAAGTGAATTCTTGGTGATATAGTTTTATATCCACCATACCACCAGGGGTATCACGTGTGGTCAGACCCGTCTTTCCCAGTGGGCACTTTGGGCAAGTGCCCAGGGCCCCGCGATCGATAGGGGGGCCCCTCAGATCAAATACAAAGTAGTTCCTGTTAAACCACCAAACGGAAGTCATAGGGGCCCCGTTATCCTAATATGCCCAGGGCCTCCAATAGGTCAAAGACGGCACTGCGTGTGGTAAAGTAAATCCACCAGAACCGAGAAAAATATCCTAAAATATCTGAATCATTTTCAAGAAGTTTTTGTCTAGTTACACTAATAGACGGAAAGACCAGCGCTGATGGCAACAGCAGCATCATGCTGAGTTTGGACCGATTTGGGATTTTTTTAGATGTTTGATAATATATTCTTTTATTGTTCTTTTGCCTCAATTTCAATTATTTTTCTTTGTTTCTTTCTTTCTATTAGATCTATTAAAAGGACTTTTTGGCGGAATCGGGCAGCGACAGTTTAGCAGTTTTGTTTTTCTTGTTAAAAATTGGGTTGTGGCGGATGTTAGTGTCTAATAATGGTGGATTATTAACCACTAAGTGTTCGGGAACATGCACAAGTGTTGGCAAGTGAAACAAAATAGCGGAAAGTGTATTTCGACGTTCCCTCAAGAAGTCCACGGGGAGGTTCCAGTAAATCCCCACACTTTTACTGAAACATGGGGAAAGGGGGATTAACTTGACTGCCACTTACTTTGACTTGACTTATTACTTTTTATTACCTATGAATGTAAATATACAACAGAAAGCAATCTAGCAACAAAATATCAAAACTCTGCTATGGACATTGTTTTGACGGTTTTCTCTACTTTTAAGAGCTGTTTTATATACTGTCTGATACAATTAAAAGTGATGTTTGTGTTTTCGGTATAGAGTTTATTGTTCAATGTCCTTACCGCATGCACATCGAGCATGTCCACAGTGAGGTCGTAGGTGCTCAGGTTCATGGACTGGAACACCGACTTCAGAGTCATCGGGGTACCTTTATGCAGCGTCACCACCTGGACAACGATACAATTTGCCATCAGACTAATAAAGACCAATTATACCCAGAGATTTTTGTGCAAGAATCATCATCATCATCATCATCAGCCTATTAATGTCCTCACTGCTGAAGCACAGGCCTTCCCTATGGATGGAATAGGGAGATTGGGCTAAGACCCACCACGCGCGCCCATTGCGGATTGGTGGGTGCTAACGACTGCAGATGCAGCCGGGAGCAACGACTTAACGCGCCTTTCGAAGCACAGAGGTGCTCTAGATAGTAAATTTTTTGGTCACCCATCCAATGACTGACCACTGCAAGAATAAGACGATGTAACTACGAAATGGGCGACGTTCTTTAAATATCACACACATCGAACCTCTTTCTGTTCTGTGCATCGAACTACACCCAGCTACATTTCAGGGAAATTAAACTATATCTCTGTGAAAAGTTGGAAATGCTGTCACGTTCTTTGTGATAACAATAGAATAAGATAGCTTGTGACTGATAAAGCATATAATTAATTTGACGTTTCTGAGTACGGCTGTTAGATGTACCTACCGAATATTAAGTTGTCGGTACTTCCGTTGGAGGAACGTTTCATTCCAGAAGTTCATTAAGTATTTGTACTGTAGAATTGATAATTATTTTGTTGTAGAACTTGTTGTGGGTATTCAAATCAGACTAGAAATTTAGTCTAGGACAAGTAAAGAAAGAAGTAGAAATAACATTTACCTCGTCAGCGTGGTTTTTGAGCGTCTTCTTTATGAACCGCAGCAGGTGTTTCTGATTCATGCACGACGCCGCGTGGATGTGAGTGTCCACTTTCCTGCACAAAGGTAAAAACAATATTTTGCAACCTAAGGCTAGAGAAAAGTCGACCGGCCATCAGGGCCGCGGTAGCATAATGGTCAGTGCATGCGCCCGGATAGCGAAGGGTGCGGGTTCGAGTCCCGTCTGCTGCCTGGTCCGCGTGAAATTTTTACCAGTAAAATTCTCTTTAGATTTAAACATCTTGCAGTTAAATGCTTAAAAAAATCATTTTTAAGATTAAATTAAAACTTCTAATGGAGGACCTTAAGTAAATATTATATGTAGGTAGGTACTTTTATTTATTTATTTATTGCATGTCACATTACAGTCATGATGGTACATTAATTTATGTAAGGTAAATATGTGACGCCCTGCAAGGGCATAGCAAATATCAAGCCAGAGGGCTTGTTAAATAATTATATTATAATACTTTGTTCACATTTCATTTTTACACAACAATTAAATTTTATAAAATAGATTTAACAATTTCAATAAATAACAATAATAATAATAATTTAATTTTTACACAACAAACAATTATTTTCTTATGGCCCCGAGTTTGCTATCTTTTATAAGCTATCTTCTAAAACAAGAAAGTACTTGAATGGAATTATAAAAAAGCATCATGTTTCGACATTCATTAACCCTTAAATCACAGGTGCTTTCGAAGACCAGCGTTTTACTCATAAACTTTTCTTTGTTTGTTTCTATTAAAATAGCTTTTTACCTAATGTTGTAGAAATCCCGATGCGGAACAGCTTTCTGCGAGGCCAGCTCACGCAGCTCGTTGAGCAGCACGTGCAGCTGGAACTTGGACGACAAGTACGACAGGCGCCGGTAGCAGAAAGACTTGCTGCAAACAATATCAGGCATCATATTGTATACATGATCGCCATATTTAAATAAATAAATATTTCCAACACTCACACCAATTAGCCTAGCCCCAAAGTAAGCACTATAAGGCTTGTGTTATGGGATACTAGGGTAACGGATATTATACATATACTGTACATATATAAGTATACTTTTATAGATATATATATTAAACAAATGAGTACAAATGCTCGTATTCATCACACAAACATCTGCCCCCACCGGGATTTGAACCCGGGACCTCTCGAGTCGGCGACACCATGAAACCCGTCGTACAAACCACTCGACCACGGAGGTCGTCAATTTAAACACTTCAAATAAATCCTATTGATATCCTTATTGCTGTAGCGCAAAAATGGATGGTAGAGAGATGGAAATGATGGCATGGTGCGAATGAATCCGCCGCTAGAGGCGCTAGTGTAGCGTGAGGTCTCCGAAATGTCAAATGTTATTGCTTGTTGGTTGACTACGCGGGTTTATTTCTTATTAAAATAATGTTGTGAATAATTGGTAACAATTCGGCTTAATTATGGCAAATATGAGTTATGTGGCAATGAATGTCAGTTATTAAAAATTTGAGCTTAGAAAAATGATTATGTTCCCATTTTTTCCGAATAAAACGGAACTGCGCGTCACTGTGGCATGGCCTATTATGTTTAGGATATGGTTCTTTTGTGTTAAAATACGATCTAAATGTAACCTTTGATTTCATGTGCGTATTAATAAACTTTAAAAGTTACAATTTAGGACCTCACTCAACAGTGGCGCCATCTGGTGAGACAGAAAACGGTAGCCCTCATTGGACATAACGACTGCAGATGCAGCCAGGACCAACAGATTAAGAAAGGAGGTGGGCAATGTTTGATCTATACAAACGTTCTCAGCTAATTCCTACTTGATTTTTATCACTAAAGAAATGATTTTTATACATAAAATATATTTTTATTCATTCTATGCTCCAACTAAGAATAATAATATTCTTTATTGACATACACCTCACAGGACATAAAAGACATTAAACATGACAGTGAAAACGTACACAATAGACGGCCTTATTGCAAACAGCAATCTCTTCCAGGCAACCCATGACAGTGAAATAAATAAGAAGAACAAGAAGAGGGTGTAACAGGTATGGTTAAAAATAAAAAAAAAATAACGAATAATAAATGCAATAGGTATATCCAAAGAGAGAGACAAGAGAGAGGTAAGATTTAAAGTTGGGAAAGGAAATAACCTCTAACTTGATTACTAAACGGGCTTAGAGTGCGAGCCTTTCGGATTGTTTCAGGTAGTGAGAGTTCCACAAGCGAACAGAATGCGCAGAGAAGGAATATGAAAAGAAATCAGTTGATTGGAGTAGGACTGGAAGGGTTAGATTCGAAGAGAACCGCAAAGTACGTTCTGATTTAGAATCAAGAAAAGAGAAACATTCTTTTAGATAGGGCGGAGAAGGAAGGAAAAGTACAGAATAGAGAACCGTAAGAGTGTGTAAGTCCCTGCGTCGGCTCCTATTTCTTCTTCTTATGTCTTCCTTTGATCATTCGATAACTTGTTTAAAAAATCAGGAGGCCCATTAAAAAAGAAATATTTTTTTATCACCGCTAAAGACGAGACGAGTCTAGTGACGTTTCAAAAGTGCTTTCAATAAGTCAATTGAATAAAGTATAATTTTATTTTATTTCATTTCAGAGTACGAATCGAAATTTATGACGATTGTGAAGTTAGCAGCAAGCGCAACAATGTCCAGTTTTCAGTTCTATAACATCCTGCGCGCACCTACAGTGGCGGCGCTAGACCACATGTGGACGTCGGCGACATCAAGTTCGCGAGGCCTATTTTACTTCGCAGTTAAAACCGTTAAATTAAGTGAGCCAAATTATAAAATAACCTATGAGTAAACGAGTTTTATTGTTGATAATCAAATGATGACAAAAAATAATTACAAACATAGAAATTTAATTACAAAAATAGTGTTGCCAGACAGACGATTCTGAATACCCGTAAAGTACTACTCGCTTCCATCACGCACGTGTTCGAAAATAATAAAAGTCATTATCATCTGCTTAGCTTTTTCCCCGAATTGTTCGGGGTCGGCTACCTAAGCCAGGCCAGGAGAAACGAAAATAAATAGGTAACTTGTAAAAATGTTTTGCGATGCCCCCTCAGGCGCGAGGCCGTCGGCGGTGGCCGACGTCGCCGACGCCTAGCGCCGCCACTGCGCACCTACATAGCCTTACATTTAGTTTCCTGTACAATGACTTGCGCTAACTTCACAGCTGCCATAAAATATGAATCACACTATACAATTATACATATAAGTAACATTAGCTGACGACCTCCGTGGCCGAGAGGTATGTACGCCGGGTTTCATGGTGTCGCCGACTCGAGCGGTCCCGCGTTGGAATCCCGGTGGCGGCAGATGTTTGTGTGCTAAATATGAGCATTTGTACTCGTGTCATGGATGTTTAATATATATTTCTGAATATATCTTATATACAAAATTCTCGTGTCACAATGTTAGTTACCATACTCCTCCGAAACGGCCTGACCGATTTTTATGAAATTGTATATGCATATTCCGTGGGTCTGAGAATCGGCTACTATCTATTTTTCATATCCTTAAGTGATAATGGTTTTCCACCTGTAACGTTGTGTTCTGAAACCTACAATGCGCCTTCGCGCCAAAATTCAAACTATTGAGTATTGTAACGTAGAGTTCTCATATGGGTTAGGAGGAATCTTATCCCAGGAAATTGATAGAACACTACGTTACACACCCCTAAAATTTTTTTGGACATAATATTTTTGTTATGGTGGTAGTAAAAATACATACAACCCTAAATTTTCTCTTCTACCACCTGCTCCTATTTTTATGGCGGTACGAAGTTCGCTGGGTCAGCTAGTATACTTATATATGTACAGTATATGTATTCTATACGTTACCCTAGTATCCTATAACACAAGCTTTACAGTGCTTACAACTTGTTCTCTTATTGGTCTGTGGTGCTTACTTTGGGGCTAGGCTAATTGGTGTCAGTGTTGGAAATATATATTTATTTATTAGCAAACTCACAGCGGTCCGTCGGCGATCATGCTGCACATGGTGTTCTTGTCCTGCACGTACTGCGCGTACGTGACGTATTCATAAGGCAGGCGGACCAGCTCGCCGGCGCTGTTCTTCTGGTAGAGGTTGAAGATGCCGTCGTCCGCACGGATGGTGTACCCCTTGGCGTCGGGCAGTGGGCCCTCCCACGGTTCCTTGCCGTCACGGAACGGCGGGTGGACGACGTGGTCTGGTGATGAGGATTATTAGTAATAACTATTATTATATTATTGTGACTGGATCAAGGGCTTGATACAGAAGGCAGTGCTCCTTGACACGGCTCGCATTGTGAGGAGGTTCCTCTCTCTGGGGCCCTAACCACCGGGATAATCCCGGATTTCCAGGCCATCTGGCAAGCCTAGCCCTGCCCCTGACCTGAGCCCTGGAATCTTATTCGCTGACAGAAACACAACGTCAGCAAAAGTGAAATTGAAGTGTAGGACACCAATTTTCAACTGTACTCCACCACTTAACATCAGGTTAGACGACGTAATTTGCTTGATCATACTTAAATTTACTTAAGTACTATTTATAAATAAGTTCCTTTCACTGGTACCATTAAGACTTTTGCTTATTTTAAGCATGATAAACGCAGAGAGTCCATAAAATTCATATAACTAGGGTGCTGGGCTACACAAAACTGTCAAAACACTATTCAAAGTATTTGGCAACGCACGTGGTCTGGTGATGAGGATTATTAATAATAACTATTATTATATTATTGTGACTGGATCAAGGGCTTGATACAGAAGGCAGTGCTCCTTGACACGGCTCGCATTGTGAGGAGGTTCCTCTCTCTGGGGCCCTAACCACCGGTAGCTAGGACCCTGTTCCCGCTGCCGGTTGGCTTCTATTTTTTATATTTTTAAATGTCTTTATTTTTATATTAATATTTAAAAATGTAATCAATATGGTATACAATAAATAAATAGAATAATAATAATAATCTTTATTGTATAACACCACAAAGGACATTACAGTAAGATTACACTGACAGAGAGACATTACACAATGGGCGGCCTTATTGCTTAATAGCAATCTCTTCCAGGCAACCCATGACGGAAAATTAAATAAGTATATAAGAATAAAAAAAAGGGGGAGGGTGTAAGAGCATTATTATAAAATAAAAACGGTTATAATAATATAGATGCATATTTTAAAAAAAAAATGGGTGCGTGTACTTATGTAGGCGCGTGAGAAGTTATCCTTCTTTGGCATCGTTTAAAATTAGTTTTTAATTGCATGCAAATAATTAATTACAATAAATTAATAAAAAGTCTGGAAAAGGACGAAGTCAATAAAGTTCAGTTTTAATTTGAAAAAATAAATATATAATCAAAATATTCAATTAAAATCGCTACTGAATATAATTTATTAGAACATATGTGATTTGCACTTGTATGAAACTCAAACACGTATTCCGAATATACAAACTAGAAACATGTGGATAAATATTATAAATATACCTATAACTGTTACTTTATTACAAAAAATAAAGATGTGGTTTTTGGTTCTACTACACCAATGGTCAAGAGATGGCGCTGTAGTCTCCTGAATCGCGCTTTGGTTCCGTTGTTCCAGATTAATAAATACTTTTTGTTACTTTATTACGAAAAATAAAGATGTGGTTTTTGGTTCTACTACACCAATGGTCAAGAGATGGCGCTGTAGTCTCCTGAATCGCGCTTTGGCTTCGTTGTTCCAGATTATTAAATACTTTTGATAGGCCTTCACAATGCAGTCGTTAGCAACCACTAAATAGAGATTCTATTTTGTTGCTAGATTTTCTTAATGTGCGGTAAACACAAAAGTAACGCATGAAGTTTCTTCAGAACTTCATTATGTTAAAATTTTGTGTTACAGTGATGCGCGCGCATCTTAAAATTTCACTCTCATCATTTTTTCATAACGCGCCTAAAGAAGTATAACTTCAAAAAAAACAAATAAATAAAGGAAAGAGGTATTTTCACAGTAAAGATAGGAAATGACGCTTAACTTGCTCACGGAACGAGTCTAGAGTGTCTTTCCTTATTTTTTATGTAAAAAGGGTGACAAAAAGGCAAATGGTATGGCGGCGTTCGTCCTCCTGATGGTAAGCGATAGTGGCCGCTTAGACGGTTGCGATACCAAAGTACGCCGTATGCCCTGACAAGGGTTGCCAGATGCTGGCTTATCAATTCCGGGACATCCCATCATCCCCCAGAATTAAAACATCAAGCTGGTTAGCGGTGTCAATCGTTTTTAGACTATTTTTTTACGAAACTAGCACATTATTGGAATCCGGGACAATATGGTCTAATTACTGGACACGGGACATAGTCCCGGATTTCCAGGGCTCAGGTCAGGGACAGGGCTAGGCTCGCCAGATGGCCTGGAAATCCGGGATTATCCCGGAAAAAAATAGTTTAATAACGATTGACACCGCTGGCCTGCTTGATGTTTTAATTCTGGGGACGGGACAAGACGCAAAATTCCGGGATAATCCCGGATTTCCAGGCCATCTGGCAAGCCTAGCCCTGCCCCTGACCTGAGCCCTGGAATCTTATTCGCTGACAGAAACACAACGTCAGCAAAAGTGAAATTGAAGTGTAGGACACCAATTTTCAACTGTACTCCACCACTTAACATCAGGTTAGACGACGTAATTTGCTTGATCATACTTAAATTTACTTAAGTACTATTTCCTTTCACTTGTACCATTAAGACTTTTGCTTATTTTAAGCATGATAAACGCAGAGAGTCCATAAAATTCATGTAAGATGGGTGCTGGGTTACACAAAACTGTCAAAACACTATTCAAAGTATTTGGCAACTCATTTATCTGTCGTACTATTTGGAATTTCCTCCTTCACACTATCTTGGGCCGTGTTAAAAAAAACTTTACATTCTCCAAACCCAGACTTGGATTTAAATTGTCGAGTGTCTTTAATCCTGTGGTTCGTATGTGTAAAAACTGAAATAATCATAAAAGTGTCGTGTCGCGATCCAATACTGTAAGTGTCGCCGCACACGGGCCTCACGCCATCGCCACAGCCACAAACGCCGCCACGAGAAGCTAGAAGCGGCTACTAAAGTGGCTGAAGCGCGCGACAGCAGCCGACTAAAGCAAGGGAGAGAGGGGTGGGGAATCGCGCGAGTGACGTGTGGCGGCGTTTTGTGTCGGCGCATTAAGTGGCCGGCGTGGGCCACAAGAAGCGAGCAACGACGATTTACCGTATGTAGCGAGTCCATATAAAATGTATGAAATGTATGCGGCGTTTTGCGGTTGTGGTCGACGGCCCGTGTGCGGCGACACTAAGTTTTGTGTGTCGAAAACAGTTTCGAGTGAATAGTGAGAATACGAACAGTGGTACGGGTATCGAACGCAATAAAAGACTTCATCGGAGGGTAGACCGATATGTCCGCCAATAACAGCCTACCCGCAATTACTTCATTTACTCCGTTATCAAGGCGCTTGTAGCAGTGCCGAATATCGGAAACTCGCTAAAAACAAGGTGCATGGTAACAATCCCGGAAATCACTTATATTACTCTGTCACTCACTCTTAAGATTATAACTCATTTGTTCGATAGATCTTCTGTTACACGTAAAGTCTGGTCATATGTATTGTCGTTCCTCTTGAAAATGATAACAATCTAATCCTCTCCTTGCATCTGAAGAGAGCAACCCAACTTTGCTCGGATATAACTTGGAGACTCTTCGTGTTACTGTATTGTTTGATTTGTTAGTAAACAATAAATTGTATATTTCAGGAGTTTAGGCTGATAAAGTCTCTGAAACTGCACATGTCTTCACAGCTAGACTTCTCCCACAAATCATCAAGTAGGGTAAAGTAATATCATCAGCCTATTAATGTCCCCACTGTTGGGGTACAGGCCTTCAATATGGATGGAATAGGGAGATTGGGCCATGATCCACCACGCGGGCCTAGTGCGGATTGGCGGATGCTAACGACTGCAGATGCAGCCGGGATTAACGGTTTAACGTGCCTTCCGAAGTACGGAGAAACTCGAGATAGAAGATTTTTGGTCATCCATCCAGTGACCGACCACTGCGAAAGTTGCTTAGGGGCCGTTCAAGTATTACGTAAGCACTATAGGGGGGCAGGGGGGTCTTTGCATTGCTTATTTTTGATGACATGGGGGGCTGGGGGGGTCGAGATAGGGATTACGTCAGCATCATGGATTCTGGTGCCATGGACTGAAGACTGGAATTAATATGTGTACCAAAAATTTGAAAGAAGTTTGTTTTGTTCGTAATAGTAAAGATTGTTTAAATTTAAGTACTGCTGCTCATGAATACTCATGAATCAATAAAACAAAATAGAATGCATTAAAGGAAAAATGCATATAAGTACCAATGTTTACGTAAGCATGGGGGCGTGAGGTAAGAGCTTTGCTTACTGTTGCTGACGAGGGGGAGGAGGGGGTAAATAATTGTAATAAATCTGCTTACGTAATACTTGAACGGCCCCTTAACTTCAACGATCGCAGCCGAACGCGGTAACCACCTGCGCTATCGAGCTCCTCCGTTATCCTTCCTCCGTTCAGGTAAAGTAACATCATCATCATCATCATGTCAGCCGTATGACGCCCACAGCTGAGCATAGGCCTCCCCCAAGGATCTCCACACCGATCGGTCCTGCGCCACTCGCATCCATCGGCTTCCCGCGACCTTCACAAGATCGTCGGTCCACCTTGTGGGGGGCCTGCCCACAGAGCGTCGTCCGGTGCGTGGTCGCCATTCCAGAACCTTTCCGCCCCAACGGCCATCGGTTCTTCTTGCTACGTGTCCCGCCCACTGCCACTTCAGCAGAGCCATCGTTTGAGCGATATCGGTAACTTTGGTTCTCCTACGGATTTCCTCATTTCTGATTCTATCGCGTAGGGAAACACCAAGCATCGCTCTCTCCATTGCTCGCTGCGTGACCTTGAAGGCTCAGGAAGAAATATAAGAAGGCTCTTATGAGACTGCTCGCTTCCGTAGGTCATCACTGGCAACACACACTGGTCAAAGACTTTTGTCTTGAGACACTGAGGTAATTTGGACGCGAATATTTTTCGTAGCTTCCCGAACGCTGCCCATCCGAGCTGGATACGACGAGAGATCTCTTTCTCAAAGTTGGACCTACCTAATTGGACTGTCTGTCCTAGGTAGACGTAACAGTCGACAACTTCGATTGTAGTGTTCCCAATTTTAACTGGAGCGGGTACTACATGGGCATTCGACATAATTTTCGTCTTCTCCATGTTCATCTTAAGGCCCACTTTTTGGGAAGCACTACTTAGATCTTCGAGCAGGTAAAGTAACGCTCAGGATTTATTCCTACCTGCTATCTCCCTCCTCGGTCCCTTCGAGGCGGGCGTGTGGTGCGGTGCATCTGCATCCATGCTGCGCACGAACCGCGCCGTGATGGTGGAGTAGTCCTGCTGCGACATATCCATGTACTTCTTGCGCAACTCCAGCGCCTGCACCAGGAAGGAAGACGCCACCTGCAGATCCTCTAGCGGAACCTATAGATAAACATGCACATCTTATTATATGATAACTAGCAAACCAGTGAACCAAATGTTCACCAAAACCAGATTTAAAAAAAAGAAAAAGAAATGTATTTTATTAATTGAGAACTTCGGAGATTTTGTGTGGTTTCGTTTGAAATTCGTGATTTCTCGAAAACCAGAAGTGCTACGTTACTCAAATCCAGTTTGTAGTCTTATCAGACTATTCTTAACTTATAACTTAAATATTCTCTTTATCTATCTCTTACGGTTTGGCCGCTGAAACAGCACCACAGACGGACGGACTTGTCTAATAGATAAGAGATAACTCAGAGAAGTATACAGACAAGAGTGCCAAAAAGTTAACAGTTCACTAAAAGCAGAGGCACATTGAGTCACTAATCACGGCCACTAAACGCGTCCACAAGTAGCCGCCACAAAGCCACTAGTGGTCGTCACCAAGCTACTAGTGGCTTCGATTGGTGGCTGCGTCCAGTGGCTTGACTGAGACACAATTGGTCGCTTTTAGGAGCTCAATTAGTATAGCTTTCAAAACATTCAAAGGGTGTCGAAATGAAGCATCCGCTAAGGCGAGTATCTACTTCATCTCTCACAACAACAAACAATATTTAGTGTACTACTAGCTGACTCGGCGAACTTCGTACCGCCCAAAAGTAATAATTTGCAATAAATTAAAATTGCGACTATAATTTGAGATATAAACTATCCTATCTCTCAAGTTGGATCGAACTGCACATGGTGTGCGAATTTTATTATAATCGGGGCAGTGGTTTAGGAGTCCATTGAGGACAAACATTGTGACACGAGATTTATATATATTAAGATAGGCTGCAGATAGGCGACGCGAAAAAATTCTTGCGGTCGCCGCGCGGCAATCGCGCTGTGGCCGCGTAATAACTGTTCAGTCATAGCAGATTTATATTTTATTAACTAGGACTTAACGTTGAAAATTCTTTGTGAGTAACTAACTGCGCGGCGATCGCGCGGCAACCGCTCCTCGATCACACGGCGGCCGCCTCGTTCGAATCACTCGAATATTTTAAAATCAAATGTTTTGTGTGATGTGAATCAAATGATGTATCAAATGTTTTAACATCCATTCGGAAATAATCTGCGATTTGTTTTTCATATTCTCGCAGTTGGTTGTATAGCATATGAAATTCACCAAACCGTTCTCGCCGTGCTACAAAAGGATGAAACCAAATTCTTCTACATTTATTTTTTGCTTTGTCGGTACAAGTAATATGCAATCATGATTTTCTTCTTCTTAGTCAAATAGCCCATAACGAACACGTGTGATTTTTAAAAAAGACAAAGATCAACTGGAAATGGATCGGATTCGCAGTGGCGGGCCCACCAGGCGGTGACCGCTGCTACCGCTAGCGAACAAAGCTGCTTGTCTGCACAAGTTCGGAGTAGCTACAAGTGCAGAATTACATAATGTAATTTATATCATCATCATCATCATCATCATCAGCCTTATTATTGTCCCCACTGCTGGGGCACAGGCCTTCCCTATGGATGGAATAGAGAGATTGGGCCATGACCCACCACGCGGGCCCAGTGCGGATTGGTGGGTGCTAACGACTGCAGATGCAGCCGGGAGCAACGGCTTAACGTGCCTTCCGAAGCACGGAGGAGCTCGAGATAGTAATTTTTGGTCACCCATCCAATGACCGACCACTGCGAAAGTTGCTTAAATTCAACGATCGCAGCCGAACGCGCTAACCACTTGCGCCATCGAGCTCCTCATAGCGACGATGGCCGTGATCGTCTAGTGGTTAGGACCCTACGTTGTGTAATTTATATAATGGTGACAATTACACACCTGGACTCATTCCTCACACTTTTCATCAGTGGCAGTAGAGTTCTATTTATTTTTATTTCTATTTTCTTTTATTTGCTAGGCATTTTATATTCTAGACTTCGTTCTTCTAATTTACAACGACTTCTTTCACTGGTTTGAGAAGAAGATAAACTATGATAGATGCGATGTAACAAACAATACTCCGGGCTATCTCACACCCTCTCCTCTCTTGGGGCAGACGAGTGTGTCGGCTTTACTCAGACGATCACTGATGAGGACACAGAAAACTTCATGAAGACTTCACGTGGTCTCATCTAGTGCGTTTGATAGGACCGCGGCCTGTGTGAGGTTAGGGGCATTGTCAGATTTTCGTGGGCACTCCTCCTCTTAAATAGCTGCTAAGTCAATCTTTGGGCTGGTTGAGCGGGTGTGCTGACCCAGTTTTAGGGAAGACTGAGAGGAGGAGAGGGGAAGAGTTCCATATAAGCAGCTTCCTATAAAGTATACAAACTACAAACTTATTGTAGATAGGAATATGTATTTATTCTAAATTATGTAATGGAAGGTGACTTCACAATTATGTTTGAAGTCATTTTTCTACTTGACGACTCTGTACATTATAAATAATACAGAGAAAATAAACAGCCCTCGCTGAGTTCTTCTCCTTCTGAGGTCTTCTTTTGACGACCTCCGTGGCCGAGTGGTTTATACGCCGGGTTTCATGGTGTCGCCTACTCAAGAGGTCCCGGGTTCAAATCCCGGTGGGGGCAGATGTTTGTGTGATGAATACGAGCTTGAGCATTTGTACTCCAGTCATGGATGTTTAATATGTATTTCTATATAAATATACTTATATATGTACAATATATGTATTCTATCCGTTACCCTAGTATCCCATAACACAAACCTTACAGTGCCTACTTTGGGGCTAGGCTAATTGGTGTGAGTGTTCGAAATATTTATTTATTTTATTCTCAGCACAAGGTCTCCCGCCGTAGATTTGCGAACCGATGGCATAGCCCCTCGACCTCGTTGCCACCTCCAGGTATGCGTCACGGATTTTCCTGGCGTTGAAATAACATAACAATTAATAAGGTATGATGCAGTCCCGTACCCCGGAGGTGTCCTCCCCGCTGATGGCGACCCGCTGGAAGTGCGGCAGGACGATCTCCGCGTCGTCGTCGTCCGGCACCCTCAGCCGCGCCGCCTCCTCGAACAAGCCGCCCGCTTCGCTGCCGGCGAACGAGCGCGTCGATTGTCCGCATTCCGCTGCCCTAAACAACATAAATATAAGGCCTTTAGACGAGTCCTGAATGTAGCGAGGGATTTAAGTTCACCCAAGACTAAGACAGCTTTATCACTGAGGAAAATACTCTACTTTTCGTACCATTTGCGAAACATTTTAATAACAATAGACCTTTTCAAAAATAGTCATCTGTGTTTACATCATACATCACCAGCCTACTGATGTCCCCACTGCTGGAGCACAGGCCTTCCTTATGGATGGAATAGGGAGATTGGGCCGTAACCCACCACGCGGGCCCAGTGCGGATTGGTGGGTGCTAACGACCACAGATGCAGGCGGGATCAACGGCTTAACGTGCCTTCCGAAGCACGGAGGAGCTCGAGATAGTAAATTTTTGGTCACCCATCCCATGACCGACCACTGCGAAAGTTACTTAACTTCAACGATCGCAGCCGAACGCGCTAACCACATGGGCCATATAGCTCCTCAGTGTTTTTAATGTCTAAATTGTAAACCTTGTTTTTGAGTGTATGTTTGAAGTAACCTGTATTCTCATATATTTTACTTCGGAATCTGTGAAAAGTGAGTTTGTTCTTTATAGCACCTATGCAGAGGCGGCCTTACCGATTGCGAGGCTCCGGGCGGCAGGTCTTTGCGAGGCCCTTTGTCCTTCGTGAAAAGTATGTGATGCGAAAGTAGGCCTGGTTGTTTGGTTTAGGTATTTGTCATGTTTAAGGAAAAATGCTTAAATTATACAAATAAATCAAATTTGAATTTTAAAATATTTTACATTGAAAGATTCACAAAATTAACAAATACAGAGATGATAAATTTTAAAATTGATGTTTGCGGCTTTTCCTAAGACTAAAATCTTTAATTAAAGCACAATAATCTAACGAATAAGCTACGTCATTTTCGATTGAAAGAATAGCGAGGGCTGAAAGTCGATCTTGTGTCATTGAAAAAATAGTAGCCCCTGTAGGAGCGAGGCCCCGGGCGATTGTCCTGTTCGCCACCCCCTAAGACCGCCACTGCACCTATGCTGTTACTTATAGATACGGTTGCCAACCCTTCTATATAATGTAGTATCCCACTATATTAGGCGATCAAATACTATATTTCAAAAAAAATAGTTGGCCAATCTACTATATTTTGCTTAAAGCAGACTTTTGCCAAAAAAGGCTTTTGCGATCCCTGTTACTTCGTTTAAGAGAAAAGTACTTGAAACTTTTAAGTAAATAAATCAGAAATCAGAAATTGTATTATGGAGTATGTATTTACATATATAAGTATAATAGACAAATAAAGTAAATTAATAGTAAGTATAAGTTAAATGTATACAGTCTCCCAATGCTAATTACTGTTAGAAACTGATAGTATTAGTTTTTAATGTAACAAGATTGTATCATTGTTTGTTTACCCTAATAAAGAGAGAGAAAAAAAGCTTTCTTAAAAATAAAAACTGAATTATTAAAGTATAGAGCAGCAAAAATAAACTAATTTTAAAAGAAGGTAAATATTTTAAACACATACTGTTTTTTTTTTCAATTTTTTTGCCTTCTACTATATTTTTAAAGGTAAAAGCTTCGAATATACTATATTTGATAGAAAAAAAAAGTTGTTAGCCCTACTTATAGATGTTATTTTTAAAATATTGAAAATATCGGAAAGACGAAAAGTAATTTAGTGTCCATTATAAAAAACATAGATAGTTTACTTATTGAACAAGCCCATTGGATTCTTAAAAAACCAATCTCTGGGAATTTTAAGAAACTTCCACATTAGTGGGAACTGCTCACCACAACACCACTAAAACTTCACCGTTAGGGCGCTTTTTAATTTATGCGTTTCTTGACTGCCTGCTGCGGTGCCGAAGCGGTGCGGGTGCGGCAACAGTCCTGTTGTCGAGCGTTCGCGGTACCGGCGCCGTACGTTTGCCGCACCGCACGTTTTGTGTGAAAAAAAAGGATAGTCCGTACGCTGTACGACAAGGCACTTTGCAGACGACGGGGCGGGGCGGGCCGGTCAATTTCGCCGCGAATAATAGTATAAGGTGAATCCTATACTTCAAACGCACACAGAGGGCAAAAAGACCGCGCCGTAGCTGCCCGGCGCGGGCAGTGGCGGCGCGGCATGTCCGCGGCTGCCCGCCGTGGATCATACAAACCAGTTTATATGCAGTAACGCAGACGGCGGCGCGGGGCGGTCAGCTCAGTCCGCGCCGCGCGCTTATTAGTGATGGACTATTCACTAGAACGACCGTCCTGAACTGACCGCCTCTGCCCGTCGTGTGCTTTGGGTACGCGGCGCGGGCAGCCGCAGACATCGACGGGCAGACGCGGTCTTTATTGCTTCGCGGGCAAAATGCCCGCCCCGCCCCGTCAACGCCCAAACGCACCGCTTCGGCACCGCAGCAGACCGTCAAGAAACGCATAAATTGAAAGCGCCCTTAATGACTCGTAATTTTATTCGAGAGCAAAGCGATTAATTGCTGTGGTGGTTTGACTGGTCTCAGGCAACCCCTGACTGATGAGTGATGACCTAAACGGGTAAGCATTTGACTTTGACGGTTAACTTAATTGCTTTTTAAGTGCTGTTTGCTTTTGATCGAATGTAATTCGGATCGTGCTAATGTGTTTGAACTGGCCATTAATGTTTGCGTATAAATAATATCAATGGAGCTACAAAGCTACGTTTAATTACTTAAAGGAAATGTACTAACAGTTAAAGTAATGTTTACCGATGTATACCTAGCTTTATTTAATAAAATTTCATGAAAGTCAAATATTTTGTGATGTTTCGTATAAAGAATGATTCCGGGTAAGGCAACTGTTTCCTGCACGAACAAAGAAAGGAGATTGCTCAAATTGGCCTAAATGCACAAAAAATATTGGTATACACGGTAATTCTTGGCGTAATTTATAATTTCATTTACAGTCATTAGATTTCAACGGACACCTTTGTATAATATATTTACTTTAAAAAGGACTTTTAATTTTACCGGTTTGGAAAACATACGAATCATTTTTAATGGCTATGGGTGTAGTAACATTCAGCCAAAGACTGATCGAAGTTGTTTAAATAACATAAAAACAAATCTGTTTTGTAAAGATCGATAAAATAAATCATTTTTTTATTACACTGTGGTATTAATATCCACAACTATAATATTATCATTTTCACTGGATGCAAATGTGCTCAGATAATTATTATAGATGGTAGGCGACATCATAAAGTATTGCCATACATTTTTCGCCAAACACCTCCATAAATACATTATAATCTGTATTTATGTTAGACTTTAAGGTATCTATCTATGGGCCTACGTTCCCTGACTATAAATTAATAAATAAATAAAATGATAAGGTGTGGTACACTAAAAATCTAAAATATGGTTATCTTAAAAACGCAACAAAAATAATGAAGCTACTGAATATATGGCTATAGAACCTAAATCTCTTAGCTTTCTTTGGTCAACGAGAGTTTAAAAATTCTCTCTAATCTGTGGCTCATTCACAATCATCACACAGTTTCTGTCACAGAGTACCTTATTTTAACCGGAAATGACACCTGATTTTAAATGTTACTCTTATGCATTAACTTTAAAAACAGGCAACTATCTGTTATTCTACATGCTCTATATACCTGAATCTAATCCATAATTTCGGTACTTGGCTTGATTTCCCTAGTTTACTATATAACTTATTTGTTTTTTATTATTTTAATATGTTCAGTGTATATGGTTTATAGAAGTTCTCAGGGGTGTCCGTCAATAATATTCGTTTCTACAGTAATTTATATATAATTTCGAATCTAGGAAACAATTTTTCATGATTATTGGTCTTTAGGCCAAACATGTATGGAAGCTGAGCAATCTCCTTTGGTGACACATTTCTTTGTCGTACTACATTCTTCAGTGGAATTCTTTGCCCGCGCAGGTCTTTCCCCATTCCTACAATCTGGGGTCCTTTAAGAGAGGCGTGAAGAAGCATTTTTGCAGGCCAGCAAGGTGAGGATGGTTGGTGTGGCAGTTTGTAACTGCTGTACCAGCTATCTTCGCGTTTGGACTTTATCACCACTTAACATCAGGTGAGGTTTATTTGTATACCTGGCTATAAAATAAAACTGTTCCCTTTCAAGCAGCAAATCTGTTATTGGTTTTGTTTGCGATTAGAAAGATGAAGTGAGGTTCGGAGAGGCCAGCCTCGCGATGGGTGACCAGCCTTTGGTTGCGCTATGTTTAAATGTTATGTTAACTACTTGCATGAATATCATATCTAAAGACTAATTTTACTAATTCCATGGTGATTTCACCTTGACTTTGAAAAGACCTGCTCGATGGTGCAGGTGGTAGCGCCTTCGACTGCGATCGTTGAAGTTAAGCAACTTTCTTAGTGGTCGGTAATTGGATGGGTGACCAAAGAATCTTCTATCTCGAGTTCCTCCGTGCTTCGAAAGGCACGTTAAGCCGTTGGTCCCGGCTGCATCTGCAGTCGTTAGCACCCGCCTATCGACACTGGGCCCGCGTGGTGGGTCATGGCCAAATCTTCCTATTCCATCCATAGGGAAGGCCTGTGCCCCAGCAGTAGAGACATTAACAGGCTGATGATGATGTGTCTATAGACCCTGGTGCTACTTATCATCAGACAGGCCATACGCTTATTTACCACGCTTTTCACATTAAAAATACCTTAAAATAAAAACAGCGGTACCTTGCATTTCTCGACGATGTCCACCGTTGACACTCAATTTTACTTCCAAACATTTCAAATGACAAATAATATCAATTCAAGTTTTTAATTACACGCAGCCTGTCACAAATGAGCGCCAAATTTCAAAATAACGTTCATTTTCTTCAATATCTCAATAAATTCTTCACGAGTTTCTACTTTAAATCATTGAAAAGCGAATACCTACAAATGTCTCTATATTAAGTAATTTTGTCACTGAACATGATGCAGTCAGGCAGGATCATACCCTTGACGATGAAAACACGCATATTGTCCATTTGATAACAGATTACACATC